ACATTGCTTAAGAAGAACTGTTTTACATTCAGACCCTGAAAAGGTAGATTTCAGATAAAATGGTAATTCTGTGGGAGGAGCTAGGTCTGTTTAAAAGAAAGAAACGTGCTTCCATTCTCTGCTGACCTCTTTGAAACTGGATTTTCTTCTAGACGGCAGTTCTGCTGCTGAGGATCGACGACATCGTCTCGGGCCACAAAAAGAAGGGTGATGACCAGAGCCAGCAGGGTGGGGCTGCGGGTGCTGGCCAGGAGTGAATGGGACCGGCCTGGGCCAGGGCACTGTGTGCCTCTTTGTTTGCAAGGGATCGGGTTGAGGGGCAGCCCCCAGGCCCTTTCTGTCCCAGCTCAGTTTGCAGAAGGCACTGACAAGTAATTCTTCTCTATTGTAGGCTTTCCATTTAGTTTGCTTCGTATGATTAAATCTGTCATTTGAGATACTTCCTAGTGTTTCAGCCTTGGGTCATACCTCTACCTTCTGGCAGGTGGGGATAGGTAGAACACCTTACTTGGGAGGACAGGAGATGGGAATGAGGTCATCCAGTCTCTCTATTTGCCTTCTTGAAGGGGTGTTCTTCAGATTTCTCCATCGATCATGTTGGGAAGACCTGCAATCATCCTGCAAAGGATGATTCTGTAAAGATTAGGAAACACCTCTTTAGACCTGGGGATTAGCTCAGTGAGAGAATGCTTGCCCAGCACTTGTGAGGCCCTGGGTGCCAGCCCTAGCACAGCAAAATAAAAATAAACACTATTCATCACCTAAAGAACAAGAGGAACCTGCTTGAAGTGCAGGTGTTCCCAGTCCGGTTGTGTGGACACACCCAGTAAGTGCTAGGACTCAGGATTTGTCTTAGAGGACATGTACTTTGTTGGTTTGCGTTTGAGTTTGGGGTGGGGGTGGGGGTGGGTGGTAAGGAGCATGAGCTCAAGACTTTACGCTTTCGAGGCAGGCAAGGGTAGCACCACTGAGCTAAATCCCCAGCCCTCAATCCCTTATTCTTAAGGGATGTAGAGAGGTAAGCGTCTGTCTTATAACTGCTCCAGGCTGAGGCAGGGCATTGATACTGCCTGGCCTTGGATGGAAGGAGAATATTAATGAAAAGTAGCTCAAAAAGTTGTGCAAGTCAGAAAATTATCACCATTTGCATAAGCTTTTCATCTTTAATATTAACATGTTTGTCCAGAGCTGTTAATCTAAGTACAACATGTGGCGTTTAAGAGCATGTGGAGTCTCCCGTTTTGTCAGACAAATCTAATGTTCTTTGAATTATAACAATGGGAGGGAATACACTAAAGATTTTTGTGTTTTTACTGTAGGGCTCTGTTGTAGAATGGATGACCTTTTTTGTAATGACCAGCTCCAGATAATACAAACATGAAGACTGAAGTAGATAACAGGAAGATAACACAGCTTAGTAACTAGAATATATCATTTTTTATTCTGTGGGGACACCTGTACAAGAAGCTAAGTCTTCCCGCGGGCACTTGGAATAATGTTAAAAGAATGAGAATATGCTGAGGCTGAAGGACACATTCTTGGCCTTTTTTTTTTTAAGTTCTTTTATTTGGTACATTTTAGGTATACAGTATGTTTACATTTGTCATTGGGTGCTTGAACCTGTTCATGATGTATCTCGGTTCTTATTTTTCATTCTTGGCTTTTTGAGGCAAGGTCTGCCTGTGCAGTTCAGGCTGGGTCTCGAACTCCTGGCAGTCCTGTCTCAGCTGGAATTGCCACCATCCCCTGCAAGGGACAGTTGTTTGGAAGGGCCAGTGGGATTGAGAAGCACTCTTTTTTTTTTTTTTGTACTGGGAATCAAACTCAGCCTTGAGCTTGCCAGGCAGGTGCTGCACTGCTGAGCTACATCCCTGGCCCAGAATCACAGCTTCTTATTTTTCCTTCCTCTTGCAAAGGGTCCTTTCATTGGTGGCGAACCCATGGCACCGGGTCCTTCCCTTCAGCCTTTACCTTGGTCCTTGATTCACACATTCAGACTATAAGCTGAATATTTGGTAAATAACATACTGCTTACCAGGGACGTACTAGATACTTTGTATGTGTTAACTAGTTTTCACAGCAACCCCATATGAGAGGTAATGGCCCTCATTTTGTGAGTGGGAATCTAAAATAGAAAGTAACACATCCAAGGGTCCCAAGTGTGGGATCACACAGTGTGATGGAGCACATCTGTAGTTTGATCTAGCATGTGGGAGGCTGAGGCAGGAGGATCATTTTGAGTGGCCAGCCTGGGCTACTTTGAACTACATAGCAAGACCCTGTCTTGAAAAGAAAAAGGAACACTGGGGAAGGCCAGCCAGGGTCCCTGCTGGCTCTTGTGACTGAATTGGGGAGTGGAGAGCCAATGACTGAGTCCACTTCTGGACACTGCCTTGTCCATCCCTAACCTGAGCTGCTTTGCTGGGCCTAAAGCCATCACCTTTTACGCAGAATTCTACAAGACTAACCCTAAGGCCTTTGCTGAAGTCCTTGCCTCTATTAAGAGTGTCAGTTGCCTCTGAGCACTAAGTCCTGAGAGGGATGATGGGTAAATTCTCAAATTGACAATTAAGATCTTGGTGAGGTCTGGGGATTTGGCTTAGTGGCACCATGCCTGCCTTGGAAGCACAAGGTCCTGAGTTCAATCCCTGTTACCAAAAAAAAAATCTTGATGAAATACTACTCTGAGGGGTTGGAGATGCAATTTAGGGGTAGAGAATAAGCCTAGCATGTGTGAAGTCCTGGATTCCATCCTGAGCTCTGCAAAGAAAAAAAAATATTTCCAAGAGCTGAGCATGGTGGCACAAGCCTGTAATTCTAGCACTCAGGAGGCTGAGGCAGGAAGATCTCCACAATTTCAAAGCCAGCCTGAATTTAGACCCTGTCTAAAAACCAGAGCTGGTGGTTTTGCCACCTGCTGTGCAAGTGCAAGGACCCAAGTTCAATCCCCAGTAACAACAAAAATAAATAAAAACCAGAGCTGAAGAATTAGGGAAGTCCTGAAGAAGCTAGTCACATCCTGTGGATTCTTACCATCTGTGCACATTTTGATGGCAGTTCTAATATCTAAGCATAGATAGTGCGGTTTTTCCAGTCCTTTTTTTGGCTTTTGGACCTACAGTGTCCTTCCTCAAAAACTGTACATCTGTGACATGCTAGATGCATCTGGGTTCTTCGCTCTAGCTTTTGGAATCCTTCATTCTAAAAGTTAACAGTGGTTAAAAGTCTGCATGAACCCTGTTCACTAAACCTAGCAAGTCCGTGAGTACTTTTGCTGCCGCCTCTGTTGATTATTCCCACTCTCAGTTCCAGCCAAGTCTTATCCCCCCCCCCCCATAAATCAGGATTAATTTTCCCAACAACCAGGTCAGAACCCAGGGATGCTCTATCACTGAACTATGTCCCAGCCCTTTATTTTGAGACAGGGTCTTCCTCAGGGCTTTGCCCAGGCTGTCCTTGAACTTGGGTCCCCTCCCTCAGCCTTCTGAGTAGGGGGAATTACAGGCATGTACCAGATCTAAGACTTGTTTTTATTCTCCCTTACAGATCCCAGAGTTGATAAAGGATACATGTGCTTTTCTCAAGGGAGTTTTAGGATTAACACTTCATCCTAGAGTAGCCATTTGGAAGGAAAAAAACAATGAAGTTCGATCCCTATTTTACTATAGCAAAATTAGCTCCAGGCAGCTAAACCGAGTGCAATAATCTCAGCACTTGGGAAGCTAAGGCAGGAGGATTGCAGCAAGTTTGAGTGTGGGCTACAGTGAGTTCAAGACCAGCCTGCATTACATATCCAGGCCCTGTCTCAAAAAACAAATCAAGCCAACCACAAAAATACCTAAGGGAGGAGAGATTGGGGGGAAAAGCAAAATCAAGATATGTACAGGTACAAATTCCCTATGATGAATGTTATGTATATCTAAAATGTACGAATAAAAATTTTAGGGCTGGAGCCAGGGATTTAGCTCAGTGGTTTTGCCACCTGCTGCACAAGCGAAAGGACCTGAGTTCGATCCCTGGTACCCCCCCCCAAAAAAAATTTAGGCCCGGGGATGTAGCTCAGCAGCACAGTGCAGCACCTGCCTGGCAAGTGCAAGGCCCTGAGTTCAATTCCCAGTACCCCAAAAAAAATTAATTAAAAAAAATAAAACACGGGCCGGGGATTTAGCTCTGGTTCTGTCGCCTGCCTCGCAAGCGCAAGGACCCGAGTTCAATCTCTGGTACCAAAAAATAAAATAAAATGCTTATTTTAAAAAAAAACAAGTAGAAGAGCCAGCCATGATGGGATACACCTATAATCCTAGCTGATCTGGAGGCTAAGGCAGGCAGATTACAAGTTTGAGGCCAAAAACAAAGGGCTGAATCTCAGTACTATATGGTGATTCTAGTTTCAACCTCCAGTACCCAAAAAAAAACAAAAATGGAAAGAGAATGTTTCAACATGAGAATGTCCTTAAAGAACTTTTAAGGGCCAGGGATTTACCTCAGTGGTTCTGCCTCCTGCCTCGCAAGCGCAAGGACCCGAATTCGATCCTCGGTACGGAAAAAAAAAGTTGGCAGTTAAGCCCGGTTGTGGTGGTACACGCCTGTAATCCCAGCACCCTGGAAGCTGAGGCGGGAGGATCGCCCCGAGTTCAAAGCCAGCCTGGACTGCATAGACCGTATCTCAAAAACATATATATAAAATAAATAGGTTGACAGTAGAACCCTCTCTGCGACGTTCCACAGAATTCCTTCCAGTTCCACTCTGGACCTTCCCGCCAGACACTAGGATCCCATTGGGATCTTCAATCCAGACTCCCGCCCCCCCCGCCCCCCGCTCACTATCGGTGACTCAGTGGGACTGGCTGTGTAGGAGAGGCCAGGAGGGCGTCCACAAAGCTGACCTGGAATATCTTGTTTGCCAGCCTTGCGGGGATGATGCACGCCCAGCCTCCCTAGTTCTGGTCCAGCGCATGCTGAAACTGGGTTAAAGGAGGCAGACTCTAAAACCTAGTGTGGTGCCCCGCCCTCCGCAGGGATCGGCTGAGTCCCAGTCACATGACTTCGCGACTTCCGGCAGCTGGGGCTGCTCCGCATGTGCAGTTGTGGGGAGTCCCGCCGGGGTTGGGGGCCCTACGCCCCCAGCCCCGTGCTCTTCCTGAGTCTGTTTGTGTCTGCGGCCCCGTTTGGGCTGCTGGGGGAGGAGACCCGTCAGGTGAGGGCCTGGACCGCAGTGAAGAGGTCTCCGGCAGAGCTGCAACGTGGGGGACCCCGGGGAGGAGGGCGGCTGCCGGAGAAGCGGGTGCGGCTGTGGGCCATAGGGAGGGACTGTGGAATGGCAGGTACGTGGCTCCCAGGCTTCCAGCTCTGGATGACCCAGGTCCGGGTAGATGTTGGCTTTTTTCTTCTAGGCTCTGTGCCTGGCCGCCTTCCCACCAGGCCCGGGCAGTGCTGGCTCGACCCCCAACCCTTGCCCCATCCCAACTCTGCCCGCTTAGCTTCCCTTGCGCTCCAGGCCCCACACTTCCCCCGGCGCTGTGTCTCTCCCTGGTCCCGTCCCCGCCCTTCCACTACTCCATGTTCTAGGTGTCTCTGGAGGTGCCGGGCTGGCCAGACCATCCCCAGAACCTGCTTCATATCCGGGCGGTGGGCCCCAACTCCACCCTGCACTACGTGTGGAGCAGCCTGGGGCCTCCCGCAGTGGTGCTGGTGGCCACCAACACCCCCCACAGTGTCCTGAGCATCAACTGGACCCGCCTGCTGTCCCCTGAGCCAGACGGGGGCCTGGCGGTGCTCCCCAAGGACAGCATCCAGTTTTCGTCTGCTCTCGTCTTTACCAGGGTGAGGAGGTTGGGGGAGATCAGGAGGGAAAGAGCACAGAGGAGGGCTTACCCCCATGAAGGCCGCGACTACAGGTGCGGGGGTGGGGTGGGCGAAGAGGGTCAGGTGAGGGCCTGGCCGAGGGAGGTGAGGCCTCTGGGGAAACCCAGGCTAGGCAAGCCCCGGTCCACCCCACCGCCCCACAGCTGCTGGAGTTTGACAGCGCGGCCTCGGGCGCTGCAGCAGAGCCCCCGGGAAAACCCTATCCTCCGTACTCCTTGGCCGAGTTCTGGTGGAACAACATCACCGACTCACTGCAGCCTGCCACCCTGAGCGCCACCTTTTGGGGCCACCCTGCACGTGACCCAGCCGGGACTTTTGCCAATGGTAGCCTGGCCTTCAGGGTGAGTGTGGGGAAAGAGGAGGAGTCTGAAGGCTGGTTCCTGAGGGTGGGAGTTGAGCCGGGTACCCCCCAGCCCAGGCATGGGTCTACTTCCACCCCTCCCACGTCCTCCTTCCTAGGTCCAGGCCTTCGACAGAGCGGGCCGAGCTGCTCAGCCCCCTCGCCTCCTGCACACAGCAGACACCTGCCAGCTAGAGCTGGTCCTGGCTGGGGCCTCTCCCCGAGGGAACCGCTCCCTGTTTGGGATCGAGGTGGCCACCTTGGGGCAGGGCCCCGGCTGCCCCGTGATTCAGGAGCGGCATTCCATCGACGATGAATATGCGCCTGCTGTCTTCCAGGTCAGGCCCCGCAGAGACCAGGATGTAGGCGGGACCTCTTGGGACCTCAGAATCCTGCAAGCACTTAGCATTTCGGAACACTTTCTCCCGGCCCCTTTATAAATGCTGGGTGGGTGCTAAGGAGTCCCACCTTCTGCCTCCCAGAGACAAAGGGCAGAGGCAGATGACTGGTCTGTGGATGAGGCTCTCCACCGGGGCCTGGGGCCCAGGAGGAGCTGGGTGCAGCAGAGCTCTGCTGGAAGGACTGTGGGCCGGGTGCCCTGGACTGTTAGGTCCGGGCCCAGCAGGGTCCTCAAAACTGTCACAGATGGGGACCGAGAGAGGCAGAGCCCGCCCCACTGTGGTCCTTCTCACGCTTCGCGTTCACCTTTCTCTCCAGCTGGACCAGCTGCTGTGGGGCTCGCCCCCTTCTGGCTTTGTGCAGTGGCGCCCCGTGGTGTTCTCCCAGGAACAGGCAGACCGAGACTCAGCCCTGTCCTGCCAGGCTTCCCCTCTTCACCCCACCTTGGCACACTCTCTTCCCCCCACCTTGGCACACTCTCTTCCCCAGTCGCCTGTTGTCCAAGCCTTCTTTGGACCCCAGCAAAACTACTGTACCTTCAGCCTGACATTTGGGGCTTCCACAGGCCCTGGCTACTGGGACCAGCACTACCTCAGCTGGTGAGGGCATGGTTGGGCTGAGGATGTGGTGAGGCCCGCCCTCCCTGGAGACTGCTGACCTCTTTTTCCCCTCCTGTTCCAGGTCTGTGCTTCTGGGGTTGGGCCCCCCGCCAGTGGATGCCTTGTCCCCACTCATCCTGGGAATCATGGCCGTGGCCCTGGGTGCTCCAGGGCTCCTGTTGCTGGGGGTAGGCGTGGCCCTGCTCCTGCACCGCACGCACCCCTCAGAGTACCGATCCATAACCTGAGGCCCACTCACCAGGGAGGCCATGGCGGGACCTGCCGTGCTGGAAGGTCAATGTTCCCAGCCCTTTTCCCTCGCCTATCTTGCTTTTCTACAGAGCCTCAGAGAACAGCCTCAACATCTGAGGACCCCCAGGTGGGGTTTCTCGAGTTCACTGGGGAGGGGCCAGCATTATTGCTGAAAGAAGGTCCCCTTTGTGTTGCTTCCATGTGTAGTCACTCCTTCCAATCCGTGTTCCAAGTAGGGTATCGTGGCGCACGCCTGTAATCCTACCACTGGGGAGGCTGAGGGAGTAGGATCACCATGAGTTCCAGGCCAGCCTGGGCTACATGGTGAGTTCAAGGCCAGCCCAAACTACATAAACCCAGGCCCCTTTCCACTGGATGACATTCAAAGCCCTGAAAGAGTGTCTAGCTGGCTGCCTCTGCCAGCATAAAATAGAATTATTTTTTCACAAGGTTTCAGGCTCACTGTGTGAGTGGCGTTGGGTGGGCTTGAGGCTGATTCCCCGGAATGGGAGTGTAAGAGATGGGCTAGAAGGCAGGCGTCTGAGGCCCCGTTGTGCCCCTCCCCTGGAGCTGGGGTCCTGCTAGCCACCCTCCATGTCCAGTCGGAATCAGACAAGGAGGAACGCCTGAGGCCAGGGGCGCAAAGAGGGAGAAAGCCAGTGCAGACCGTGGCGCTGATTTATTGTTACACACCCACTCAACAGGCTAACCTCAGCCATGCACTTCAGCACCCCGGGCGCTGCGCGGACGAGATGGTCAGACGCATGCGCACTGCCTGCGGAGGCGGCAGGACGCCCGACGCCCTACGCCCTGTCCGCTATTCTCTCCCTGTGGAAGGCGTGACTTCCGGGAGGTCTGGAGGCGGGAAGTCCCAGGGCCTTGCACAGCTCGGATGGGAGGAGGTGGCAGCTCTGGGGAGGTGACAGGGCCCCAGGAGGGTCCTCACTAAACATCTGCAGTGTTTCCAGTGGCCTTGAGTTCTGTCTGCACCACTGGCATAGAACAGGACAGAGTTGGGCCTCACGGGAAGCTGGGGAGGGGCCAGAGTCCAAAATTGGGGGCCTATCGGCAGTTTGCAAGGCGGCTCAGGAAGGAGCCATGCTTCTCCTCCTGGTCTTGGCCCCTTGTCCTCAGTATCCTTAAGGGACATCCACATCTTTCCCTGCAAGAAAAGTCCCTTACCAGGCTTGGTGGCGCACACCTGTGATCTCAGCACTCAGGAGGCTGAGGCAGCAGGATTGCCCGAGTTCAAGGCCAGCCTGGGCTACAGAGTGAGACCCTGTGTCAAAAAAAAAAAAAAAGCCCCTCCCAAAGCAAAGGGAAGCGGTGACTCAGGAAAGCCAGGGTGGACCCCGTCTCTTCCCATGGGGCAGCAAGCTTCCTCTCACCCGTCTGGTCGGTCTAGCCTGGGCCTGTAGCTGGGTACGGAAAGGTGTGTCTCGGAGCTACTCAGCCCCAGGGACGAGGCCAGTAGTCAGAGGCAGCGCGGGCATGGTCCGGATAGTCCAGGCGGCTCTCCGAGGCCGTGAGCATGCGCTCTGGCTCCACCATGAACATGTAGTAGAGATTCCACACCAGCATGGCCAGCAGCGGCAGGAACGTCAGGCCGTAGCCGAAGCCTCGGAAGGAGCGGCCCACGGCGAAGGACAGCCAGTATATCAGCCTGTAGGCAGACAAGTGTCGAGGGGGCTACTCCAGGGACCCAGCTCAACTAACAGGCAGAAGGCTGATGGCAGGGAGAAGAGGGTTGGTGTCTATGCCTGGTACTGTATTTCTAAAAACAGCCAAACTGGGTGTGGTGGCGCATGCCTGTGATCCTAGCACTCAGGAGGCTGAGGCAGAAGGATTCCCCAAGTTCAAGGCCAGCCTGGGCTACATAGCAAGGCCCTACCTCAAAGAAAGCCAGAGTTTATGCATTTACTGTGTGGCAGGAATAGGGCTTGTTACTGTAAGTGCACTATTTAATTTTGACTTTCCCACATCCCAACTAGTTAAGTACATTATTCCTCTCCCCTCTTTATTTACTTAGTTTTCAATTTTTAATTAAAAATCTTTGAGTCGGTAGCGGGGCATAATGGCACAAGCCTGTAATCCCAGGACTCTGGGAGGCTGAGATAGGAGGATTGCAAGTCCCCACCACCACCAGGGATCGAACTCAGGACCTTGTGCTTGCAAGGCAGGTGTGGTGCCACTGAGTTAACTCTCCAGTCCTAGGATTGCAAGTTTTTTTGTCTTTGTTTTTGGTACCAGGGATGGAACTCAGGTCCTTGTGCTTGTGAGGCAGGTGGCGGAACCACTGAGCTAAATCCCTGGCCCAGGATTGCAAGCTTTGAGCCCAGCCTGGGCAATTTAAGGACTTAATAAGATCTTGTCTCAAATTTTTTTTTTTGGTACCAGGGATCGAACTTGGGTCCTTGTGCTTGCACAGCAGGTTGTCTCAAATTTTTAAAAATGAAAAAGATTGGAGATGTAGCTCAATCAAAGACCTTGGATTCAATCCCCAGTACCAGAAAAAAAAAAAAATCAAAGAGCATTATATATCCACATGGCTCTAAATCCAATGCATATTGACAAACATCTTACTCCCTTGGGTGATTCCCACCTATTCTCCCCTATTTGCACCCCATGTATCCAGTATTAGGGTTTCTCATGCATTTTTTTTTTTTTTTTTTTTTGGAGACAGGGTCTTGCTATGTAGCCCAGGCTGGCTGTGAACTAGAGGTGATCTTCTTGCTTCAGCCTCCTTCAGTGTTGGAATCACAGGCATGTGCTACCACACTCGGTTTAGTCTTGTGCATTGATTGTTCTATATATATGTAAATAAAATGTGTGCACTGCTGGGATGGAATCCAAGGCCTCCTCGAGGCCAGAGGCCTTGCTGTGCTAGGCCAGCTCTCTACCACCAAGCTACACGCTAGCCTGAATGAAAAGTTTTTTGCTTTTTTTTGGTACTGGGGATCAACTCGGGTTCTTGTGCTTGCGAGGCAAGCAGCAGAACCACTGAGTTAAATCCCCAGCCCTCTGGATGAAAAGTTTTGATTTCTTTGTCCCTTTTTTGAAGTATGGCAGCAGACTATATAGACCTCTGCATGCTGACATTTTCCCATGTCATTTATCGTGGAGATCACCGTAAATATGTGCAGTTTCCTCATTCTTTTATGGCTGGGGTGTGGCCCATCCTATATTTGCCTTTTGCAGATTAAGAAACTAGGATTCCAAAGGGCTCTAAGGTCACATCTGGAAAATAGCAAAGCCACGATTTGAACCCAAGCCTGTTGTTCATCACCCCCTCTTCGCACATTTCAGGGGGGCAGAAGGAAAAATGAGAGTAAGGAGGCCAGCTTAAGTGGGCTTTCAGCCTTGAAGATCAGAGGAATGAATCAACTACCACCAAAATGCAAAACCCCCTGCTGGAGAATTCCCTCCAGGAGGGAGAGAAGGAGAATAAAGAGAGTGAAAGTGTGTGATGTATGTCTGAGTCCCTGCCCTAAATGTAACCTCTGTGTACTGCAAACATGGACTAGTGAAAACAAAAAAAGGACTATTTAAAGAAAAAAAATCTACCAAAAATGCACGCCCCTCTTTGTGGAGGGGTGATGACGTGCTACAAACCTGGCTTCTGCTCCTGCTGAAAGTAACAGAGGAAATGTACCTGGGAAGAATGAAAACACTTCCTTTTTTTGTTTTGGGGTTTTGGCTGTGTGTGTGTGTGGTTGGGTGTTGTCTGTTTGTTTGTTTTTGAGACAGGGTCTCACTATGTAGTTCAGGTAAGACTTGACCTCACTGTGCAGCCCAGGCTGGCTTCAAACTGACAGCCATCCCGTTCCCTCAGCCTCCTGAGCACTGGATTACAGGCCTGTGGCACTACACTCGGCAAAACATCTCCATTTGGATCCAAGCAACCCAGGCCTCAGGAGAGGCTGAGTCACGACAATGGTGAGTTCAAGGCCAGCCCCGGCTACATAGCAAGATTCCGACTCAAAGAACAAAATCAACCAAACACACAAAATCCTGGGATGGAGTGCACTCTGAGAGGCTTCAGTAGGAGGGTCACAAGTCCTGCCTGGGGATTTAGCAAGATCCTGTCTCAAAATAAAAAAATAAAAAAGGGCTGGGGATGTAACTCAGTGTGAAGGTCCTGGGTTCAATCCCCAGTACCACACACACACAGTCTCAACCCTTGGGAGGCTGAGGCAGGAGGGTCACACAGAGTTTAGGCCCAGTCTGGGATAGATTGTGAGTTGAAGGCCAGCGGTGAACTATGTAGCAAGACCCTGTCTCAAAATAAAAAATAAAGGGGTGAGGATGTAGCTCAGAGTGAAGGCCCTGGGGTACAATCACTAGAACCGAGAGACAGAGAGAGAAAGAGAGAGAGAGAACGCCAGGAGAGTGAGCGCTGTCTGTCACCTCCCTCGCCCCAGCCCAGCCCCTACTCACCTGGAGATGGCGAACAGCCCGGTGAGCAGAGGGAGCAGCTTGAGGGTGTCCTGGGGCAGGTAGGTAGAAAGCACAGCCAGGTTGAAGAAGTAGAGGATAAAGAGCTGTACAGACTGGGCCACGTACTGTCGGTGGATCTCCACCTCCCGCCTTGGCTCTCCAAAGGGCCGCAGGGCAGAAAAGCACAGCAGGCTCAGGCCTTGCACCAGGAGTCCTGGGGGGAGGGGCCCAGGGTCAGAAGAGGCGGAGGGGCGTGCACAGCGAGGACTGGGGGCACTACAGGGCGCTATGCATGGGGCAGAAGTGGTTCCGGGAGCGGATGGGCCCCAAGTGTCAAGAGCTGGCCTGGGGTACAGGCTGAGCAAAGGCCAGGCATGTGGGCCCTGCGCCGCAAGTTCACTCCCCAGATCCCCTTTCTTCTCCCAGGGTGCAGACTCACCCAGCACGATGGGGAAGGTAGCGAAGACCCCGCAGCGCAGTGTGTAGACCAGGCGGGAGCTCATGGTGGGCAGCCGCGGGGCGTCAAAAGGCAAGAAGGCATATGCCCCGTAGAGCAGGCAGGGGAAGAGGAGCAGAGCAGCTCCCACTGAGGCCATGGCTCTCAGCCCCTCGCGGCCTCTGCAGCTCCTGCAGCCCCCAAAGGACTGGCCAGGTGGCCTCACGACTGCCTCAGCCCACTTGCACTCGGGGGGCTCAGGATGGGTGGCCCGGGGGGGCACGAAGGTCCGGCGCTTGCCCTCACCCGCCTCAAAGCACACAATGAGGTCCTCCTGGGGCTTCCGCTCGATGCACTGCAGGTCAATGGGCACAAAGGCGCGGGCCACCTTCTCAGGCAGCACATTGCTGTCATCTCCAGGTAGCTCCTCTGCCTTGGTGAGTGGCTCCAGAGGGTCCGGCTCAATGTCCCGCCAGCCCGGGGGGTCACAGAGTGGGGCGCTAGGCTGAGGGTCACTCCCCCAGGGCAGAGTGGCAGCCTCACTTACTGTGCTCTCCAGCCCATCCTCGGTCCCCTCTCTGGCTGTGGGAGACCCAACTGATGACCCCACTCTGAGGGACTCAGCTCCGGGGGACTCAGCCTCACTTCCCCCTTCTGGCTGCTCGCCATTGGGGATCAGAGTCTGGGGCGGGCTCTTCTCTGGGGCTTCAGGCCCCTTCACTTCCAATAGGGCCAGCGTCTCGGGTTCTGTCATGCTGGGGGCTCCACAAGCTCATGTCATCCTGGAAGAGCAGAGGGAACCTCTGTCAGAAGCCCCTGTCTTCTGGCCTTCTGAAGGTTCCATGAGAGTGAGGCTCTCCAGGCCAGATGGTCTCACGGCTCCAGCCCCCGCCCCCCGCCCGGGACCTTAGGGAGAATGTGGTGCAGAGGAGGTGTTGAAACAGGGATGCCGGAGCTTGGTGAGCAGCTGCAATGGAACCACCATTTCACCACCAAATGCCGTCCAGCAGGACGGTGAGTCAGGGGGCACAGGCCCTGGCAGCTCTGGCCTCTTGTCAGCCCCACCCACGCTTCTGCCCCTACACCAAAAACCCTGGGGTCATGGCCAGCCTGGAGTAGGAACGGGAGGAAGAGGAGGTGTTAGAACTTTGTCAAGAGCTTCTTTCCCACCAAGCTCGTCCCTCCTCCCTGCAGAGCCCAAGGAGCTGGCAACTGCAGGACACTCAGTCTTTCTGTCTGCATTCTAGGTGCTCAGTCAGTTCACGAATGCCTCAGTACCCACCCTGGTCACCTCCACGTGTCCTGGCTCTATCTATTCTGACTTGTAGGTCTAATCATGGCTGTTTTTCATGCTGTGTCTCCTGTCATCCTCCCCTCCTCGCTACCTCCATCTAGCTTGCTCTGGATGGAACTGATTCCCCTCCTTCACCTCCTCCAGGGCTCTCCCACCCTTGCCATTTGGACCCATGACACCCTCTTACTTTTTCATCTGGAGAGAGGTGAGGGTTCCCAGTATCCGGGAAGGAGCTGCCCAGGTCTCTGCTGGCTCGGCAAGTGTTTCTCTCAGTCTCAGTCTGACTCCTTTTACCTGTGTCTCCAAACCTGTCTGACCAGAGCAGGTGGGGCCTGAATTAAAGGGGCAGGCCCTGCCCTGCTGACTCCGCCGCCGGCCCGCTGACAGAAAAAGCAGTGAACAAGGTCGTGCTTTGTGAAAGGAGTGCAGCCCGGCAGGTGTTAAGTTTATGTTCCAGGCACCTGGGAGGTGTCAGGATGCCCAGCTCAGGCAAGCAGAGGGGGAAGAGTGAGTTTGTGCCCCGAAAGGTGCTTGGAGTAACCATGGGATACCTAGAAAAGGAGATGGAATTTGTACATTTACTCATTCAGTGATTTTTATTTTTTTTGGTACCGGGGATCGAACTTGGGTCTTTGCGCTTGCGAAGCAGGCGGCAAAACCACTGAGCTAAATCCCCGGCCCAAAGTACAAGTGACTGTTTATTGTCAGATGTGGAGCACACCTGTAATTCCAGCACTCTGGGAGGCTGAGGCAGGAGGACTGCAAGTTCGGGTCCATCCTGGGCAATTTAGTGACTCAGTGAGATCCTGCCTCAAAATAAAAAATAAGGGCTGAATGTGCAGCTCAGTGCAGAGGCCCTAGATTGAATCTGAAGTACTGGGAAAAAAAGAAAAAGTTTTATAAATTGACCATTGGCTGTGCACTATTCTAGGGACAGACGAAGAAGATAAGGTCAAGGTCTCTGGCCTTGAGTTCATGTTCTGTGGCATAACAGATGGTAAGAAGCCTCACAATTCAATCCGTAAGAGCATTTCAGTAGGGAAAACCTCACTGCTAAGGCAACATGAGCTGGAATGAGGGTGTTCCATGCAGAGGAAATGCAAGGGAAAGGCCAGTAGGTGGGACTTGGGCTGTTTCAGGAACAGAAAGTTTTGGCAGCGGGAGCCAGGAGCGTGGTGGTAGAACGGGAGTCCCATTATACTGTGTACACAGGACCCGGAACACCTGCTTTTTAGTTCCCGTTTAAGGTTTAAAAAAACTAAAAGGAATCCAAGACAGGAATGGTGTCGCACACCTGTAATCCCAGCACTGGAGAGGCTGAGGCAGGAGGATTGCTGTGAGTTTGAGGCCAGCGTGGACTACGTAGTGAGTTCAAGGCCAGCCTGAACCACACAGTAAGACCTGTCTCTAAACAAAACAAAACAACTCCCCAAACCAAAACTCTAACCCAAATTAGGGAGGAGGTAGTCTTTCTTTTTTTGTGAACTCAAGGCTTCTTGAATGCTAAGCAAATGGTCTTCCACAGACCTACTACATCCTCAGCCCAGAGGCGCCCTAGTGGGAGGAGCAGGGGCCAAAATGTGAGGAGGGACTTCTCATTCCTATGAGACCTTAACCCTAGAGTCATCTGAGCTTTGTGAGGGGAGGGACAGGCTCTAGCTTGCTCATCTGTGTCCCCAGAAGCCAGTCCGGGCTTGGGAAAGACCACTGTAGGGCACAGCAAAGTCACGCTCCCAGCTGAGTCCCCCTGCCCGTGTACAGTTTCGCAGCAGTCGCCTCTCCCGGCCCACTGTCGGTTCTCCGTTGCCTTTGTCAATAAAGTTTTTCTCAAGGGCTCGGAGAAGCCAGAAAGAGGCCATGCTGCCCAGAGTTAGTTCTGGCAACTTCCCGGGAGGGAAACCGATTTCGCGAGATTTGGTACCAGCCGGTCACTTTTCTGAAGCAAGGCGGCTGCTATCGCGAGATTTGGTGGGGGGAGGCGGAGCCGTCGCACGCAGCCGCCTCACAGCAATGGCGGCCGAGCAGGGCCGGTGGCGGCAGAGGCCACGGCTACGGCCGGAGACGGCGGCGGCAGTAGTAGCGGGTGGCGGGGGCCTGTGACCAGGAGCCGCCCGCGGGCCCGGGCATCATGAGCCAGGGCCCCCCCGCCGGGGAGAGCAGCGAGCCCGAAGCTAAGGTTCTGCACACCAAGCGGCTTTACCGGTGAGAGGAGCCGGGGCTGGGCTGCGGGCGGGGGGCGGAGCCGCGGGCCGGGAGCGGGAGGGTGCGGTTCCAGAGAGAGCCGATTGCCAAAGGGGCGGGGTCCCGGATCCCAGGTGGACCTGGCGGGAGGGACTGGGTGGTGGGAAGCACGTGGAGGAATCCCCTCCGCTGTGGGCGTGGGCTTCGCAGAGTTGGGGTCACGAGGTGGGAATTGGGGGCGGAGGGGTTTGGTAGGTTAGGGTGGAGGTCGCGGCGAAGAACCCGCCAGTGAACGGTCCTACTTAGAACCGGGTAGGATTTACAGGGAAGCACCCTAGACCCAAGTCCACCGAGCCAGGTCGGGTCCTTGCTTTGCCGCTCTCTGGCTCTGTGACCTTGAACCTCAGTTTTCTCTTACTTAAAAGGAGAGATTTGAATTGGATGCACTCTGAAATTCCTGACGGCTCTAATTTTGGAGAATCTTAATGAGAAGAAGACTACAAGGCTAGTTGTGTTGGCTTGGAAGCGCCATGAAGGGCTTTGGGTCCAGAGTGTTCTTAGGCCGTGGGATCCCATTTCAGGAAAGCTTGGGACTCGCCAGTCCTGCCTTCCTCCCAGCCTCATGATTACGAGTCTCCTGCCAGGCAGCTTCCATTCCTGGTTTCTGATTTCCACGGTGCCACCCACACTCCTTCAGTCACATCTTCAGCCCTTCAACCCTCTCTGTTGGGAACAGACCAGCATGAGCTCTTCCCGCCCTAGGTGTTGGAGTTTTTGTGTAGGTCATCTAGAACACAGGCCTACGAACTGGCTTGCAACACGATGAAGCAGAGAGACCAAGCTGTGTTCTGTCTTCTAGCCGGAAGTAGGGTGTGGGGTTTCCATTTAACCCTCAGAGCCGCGGGGTCTATCTTGGTAGTGAAAGGGTCCAGAGCTTGTTGCCTTTTCCTCCCTGAATAGGCATCCTGTCAGCTCTGGCCTTGTAAACCAGAAGGCAGAGGGGAATGGAATATAGGCTGCTCCAGAAATAGAAAAGCGGTCCAATCCTGTAACCCCTGAGCTCCCACTGTGGGCTGCCCCAAGCCAGTCCCCAGGTGGTCTCGGTGCACGTGTGCCTTGTCACGCTGCTGAGTGTGGTGCTGCCTGTCAGACAGCGAGTGGGCAGTGTCTGCATATTCCTTACTTGTTTCCAGCTTTGGAGGTGACTGCCCAGCCTTCTGATTTTTCTCAAATCGAGTTCTCTCTCACAGGACTGTCATTATGGGACTGACTTGAGCTGGTGTGTTTGCATGTGTGGCTTTATGTGTGCACAGGGATGTCTCCCTGTCATCGTGTATTGTTGACTTTGAGTGGGGAGGACATTGGAGGCAGTCAGTCTCTAGTTTTATTATTATTATTATTTTTTTTTTTTTCTTGAGACAGGGTCTCACTATGTAGTTCAGGCTGGCCTTGAACTTGCGGCAATCCTCCTGCCTCAGCCTCCCAAGTGCTGAAATTACAGGCGTGTGCCACCATGCCCGATGTTTTTATTATTTATTAAAGCAATAGTAATTGGTGGAAGGAACTGGGAGGAAGGTCTAATTTCTTTGCCTAAGATAAATTTGTTGTTGAGACTATGGACTTGTCTGTCTTAGGACCTCAGTAAATTTGGGAAAGTCATACGCTAACCTGTGTACAGATGTGATGTTCTGAAGTAATTTAAGACTGTCAGAAGAAAAAGAAGCAAAAGAGGGTGCTGGAAGGAACATAGCACCAGTTACTCCATTAGCCCAGTTATTGTTTTATGTTTATTTATTTATTTATTTTTGGTACCGGAGATCGAACTCGGGTCCTCGTGCTTGCGTAGCAGGCGTCGAAACCACTGAGCTAAATCCCCGGTCCTCAGTTACTGTTTAAAAACACTTTTTCTGGGCCAGGGATTTAGCTCAGTGGTTCCGTCGCCTGCCTTGCAAGCGCAAGGACCCGAGTTCGATCCCTGGGACAAAAAACAAAAAACACTTTTTCTGAACACTGGTGGCTTGGCATTATGAAAGTTTTGTTTGTTTGGTGTTTTTTTTTTTTTTGATACCAGGGATCAAACTCGGGTCCTTCCGCTTTCGAGTCAGGTGGCAAAACCACTGAGCTAGATCCCCAGCCCTGTGTTTTGTTTTTTGAGACAGAGTCTCCCTATGTAGTCCAGGCTGGCCTTGAACTTATGGTGATCCTCCTATCTCAGTTTACCAAGTGCTGGGGTACAGGCATGTGCTAGCACATGTAGCCTGGCTATAAAACTAATTTGTTTGTCTGTTGTATGCCCCCCCCTCCAGTACTGGGAATCGAGCTCAGGACCTTGCTCTTTCGAGGGAGGTGCAGTGCCACTGAGCTATGTCCCTGGCCCTATTTGTTTGTTTTTTGAGACTGGGTCTCCCTATGTAGTTCAGGCTGGCTTTGACCTCACTTATGTCACCCAGGGTACCCTGGAACTTGTGGTGATTCTCCTGTCTCATCCTCCGCGCAGTGCTGGGATTACAGGCATGCATCACCATGCCCAGCTTTACACAACTAATTTTTGTTCTAAAGGAAATTATAGTTTATTGGGTGAGCTTATGGTCTGATGGGGAATGGAGAAAAAAATGCTGAGCCCTTTCAGATTTAACTATTTGTGATTAGAGCTTTCCAAAGTAGTGGCTATTAATAAAGTATTTTTTATTGGTTTTTATTTTCAGGATTTTTTTCTTTTTTGAACAGTGCAGGGGATCAGATCTAGGCCCGCATCATGCACATTAGGGAAATGCCCTATCACTGAGCTATGTCCCCAGCCCTTATTCATATTTTTTGGCTTGAGAATCTAAGGAGAGCGTGAGAATCTTTCCATAAAAATCACACCTTTGGGCTGAGGTTGTAGCTTAGTGAAAACCCTAGGTTCAGTCCTTAGCATGAAAAGAAAAAAATGCTCCTCTTGTTAGATCTGCCTGCAGGACTGAAGTTGAGAGCTTGGCCTGCCTGCCAGGCACAGAGGTGTGTGGCTGTAGTCTCAGCTACTCAGCAGTCTGAGGTAGATAGAGCTCGAGCCCAGGAGTTAGAGGCCACAGCCTGCAGACCCTGTCTCTGTATCAAGTAAGTCACTGCTGCTGCCCTGGCATCTGGGACAGGCTGGCTGGAAGGGCTTGGCTTCCTCCAAGGGTGGCCCAGAAGGTTTGCGAAATGTTGAGCTCTTGGGATGGCTGCGAGAAGGTTGTGCTTGCCTCCCCACCCTCATCCTGAGTCCTGCAGTCACCTGGCCCTGTGCAGGGCTGCTCTGCACCGTCATCACCGAGGAGCACTGGCCTACTGTGCACTGGTCTCCCAGCTCGGGCGCGTGTGGTTTATCAGGGAATGAGCACCCTTGTTTTTATGTTGCTCAAGTGTCCACAGCCATGTCTAATTCACACGTTCTCACAGCCACTGTCTGTTGTCCTCTGGGTTTTACCCTTCCAGAGGTGACATCTGCCTCTGGGACTAGTTGGCCATCCACTGTAGTTTCTGTGATTCTTACTTGCAGCGGTGACAGACTTACCTTACACTGTTTGGAGTTTCCCCTCATACTTACAGTAGAAAGGCATGTTGGGTGTTCACTAGGTAACAGGCACTGTCACAAGGGCTTTTTGTACTAGCTGATTTAATCCTCCCAAGGTAGGTGATTGATTTTATTCTCAGTTTTATGGGGTGAACTGAGACCTAAGGAAGTTAGGTGTTTTGCTCAGAATTTCATAGGAAGCACTCGCCTATAATCCCAGCACTTGGGAGGCTGAGTCAGGAGGATCACTACAAGTTCCAGGCCAGCCTGGGCTACATAATGAGACCCTGTCTCAAAAAAACCCCAAACAAACCAGAGAGATAGGATTTGAATCCAGGCAGTCTAGTTGCAAGCCTGCATTCTTTAGCCACTGTACTGTACAAATACTCCTTTATCAGAAATCAGGAGACTTTACGACTGAGCACCTCAGCAGTCCTCTCTGGTTTCCCCTATGCTGCAATTACAAAGCAAAATTTTATATCAAGAATGCTTTTCCTTGATGTCAGAGATCATAAGCCTTATATAATAATAATTCATTCATTCCACTGTTCTTTGTTAGATGCTTACTATATTCCAAAGCTTTTGACAAATGATTGTATTTAATCCTCACAAAAGTCTGAGTAGCTGCTGTTATTACCTCTGTTATCACATATATTGATATGATATATATATATATATATATATACACATACACACATACATACATACACACACACACATATGTATATATATTTTTTTGGTCCTGGGATCGAACTCGGGTCTTTGAGCTTGCGCAGCAGGCAGAAACCACTGAGCTAAATACCCGGCCCTTGATATGGTAATCTTTAAAAGGTTAGGTAATTGGCCCAAAGACACAGCCAGGGCACAAAGTTTTTTGTTTGTTTGTTTTTTGTACTGGAGACCGAACTTAGGACCCTGTGCTTTCGAACCTTAGATTTTTGCCTGGCATCACAGCCTGTGCATTGGGAGAGTCTGCTGTCTGGTGTCACAGAGTTTCTCTATGTCAGTACTGTTGACATTTGGGCAAGTAATTCGCTATTATGGCAGACTGACCTGTGGATTGTGGGATGTCTAGCTGGACCTGCTAAATGCAGGAGCAACCCCTATGCCTCACAGGTTATGACACCTGAACATGTCTCCATCATTGCTGCATCTTCCCTGGCTGGGGCTGCTGTATCAGGGTGGAGACCAGTCATTTTGTTTGTGCAGAGCTTAGCTTGTAGCTTTCTGCTTTCCTCATCCCTACTTCTTCAGCCTTTCCTTTGAATTAGTATCTGAGATGATCCATGTACACGGCTGAGGGCTCTGCCTGTGTTTCCTTGTAGGGCTGTGGTGGAGGCTGTGCATCGACTTGACCTCATTCTTTGCAACAAAACTGCTTATCAAGAAGTGTTCAAACCTGAGAACATTAGCCTGAGGAACAAGTAAGCTGGAGACTCAAAAACCACAAATCCTTACTGTTTCCCTGCCTGTCTCTGTCAGAAACCCTGCTGGATATTAACGTGTGTTTTCTTTTTTAACCTCTGGACCAATGGGACCAATAACGGGCTGTAAAATCTCTTGTCTTCCTAAGGGAGGAGATGGGTGTGAGCCAAATTAGAGTTCTCTTCCTTCGTTTTTTATTTTTATTTATGGGTTTTTTTGAGACAAGGTCTTGCTTGGTAGTTCAGGCTGGCCTTGAACTCACTATTGTAGCCCAGGCTGGCCTCAAGCTTGCAGTGATCTTCCTGTTTCAGCCTCCTGAGCCCTAGGATTACAGGTGTGCCCACCAGCCTGGCTTTCTGGCTTTTTTTTTTCTTTCTCCTTTAAAAAACAAAAAAGGAGCTGGGGGGCCGGGGATTTAGCTCAGTGGTTTCACCACCTGCTGTGCAAGTGCAAGGACCCAAGTTTGATCCCCGGTATCAAAAAAAAAAAAAAAAAAGGAGCTGGGGATCCATGCTCCGTTTGCAGCTTTACTATATCCATTGGGCTGGTACCATAAGAATGGCATACAAAGCCAGGCCTGGTGTAGTCCCAGCACTTGGGAGGCTGAGGCAAGAGGATTGCCGTGAGTTCAAGGCCAGCTTGGGCAACATAGTGAGACCCTGTTTCAAAAAGGAATGACAGAGCTGGGGATTTAGCTCCGTGGCACCGCGCCTGCCTCCCAAGTGCAGGGTCCTGAGTTCGATCCCCGGTACCCCCCCCCCCCAAAACGATCCTCAAAATAAAAAAAGAAATGAGGCCTGTGGCTCAGTAGTAGAGTGCCTGCCTAGCATGTGGGAAGCCCTGGGTTTGATCCTCCGTACCACATACATATGCATAAAAGAATGGCTTATGAGTGAAACCAATTGGCTGTACAATTGGCACAATGGAGGGAAAGAAAGGGGAGACAAAGGGAGGGAAGGGTAAAAGAGTGCAGGGTGCAGGAAAAGATTGTTAAAATTCTGATTGCTTTCTGCTTCTATCCTTTTTTTTCTTTGGTACTGGGGATTGAACTCTGGACCTTGCGCTTGCAAGGCAGACAGCTGAACCACTGAGCTAAATCCCCAACCTTCTGCTCCTGTCTTCTGTTGCTCCTAGTGCTTTGCTAGACCATTGTTGTTGTGCTCATGCAGACTCTGGATGTCACTTGAGAGGCGTGCAGATTCCTTGGTGGGGGTGCTGCCCATACTTCCAGTCTCATTCCTGTGTCCCCTGCTGCTGGATGGGCAGTCTCTCATGCTCCCTCCCCTTCTCTCCCAGGCTGCGTGAACTCTGTGTCAAGCTTATGTTCCTCCATCCCGTGGACTATGGGAGGAAGGCTGAGGAGCTGCTGTGGAGAAAGGTGTACTATGAAGTTATCCAGCTTATCAAGACAAACAAGAAGGTAGGGCAGGGCCCTAGAATGTGGAAGGCTAAGGAAGGAAGATTCAGCTAGGAAAGTGGGCCTAGCATGTGGCTCAAGGCAGGTTAGCCCAGGAAAAGATGGCAGAAAGGAGGGAGGGGTCAGACGGAACTGGGATTGGAGAAGGAAGGATGTAGGGGTAAATTTGTGAGAGAGGAGATGTGGACAGGTTCCAAGGTGAAGAGGTTCAGTTAATTCCCTTGGTAAGATGCACAGGTTGAGGGGGGGGAGTGGTACTCTGACCTACTGCTTAGCCAGCCCCTTCTTTTCCCAACCTCCAGCACATCCATAGCCGGAGCACCTTGGAATGTGCCTACCGGACGCATCTGGTTGCTGGCATTGGCTTCTACCAGCATCTCCTCCTCTATATCCAGTCCCACTACCAGCTGGAGCTGCAGTGCTGCATTGACTGGACCCATGTCACCGACCCCCTCATCGGTCAGTGAGACCTGAAAGGTGTTCTCTTTGGGGTTTTTTGGTACTGGGGATAGAACTCAAAACCTTGCATTTGCCAGGCAGGCGAGGCGCCACAGAGCTACATCCCTGACCCTTTTTGTTTTTTGAGCCAGGGTCTCAAAAAACAAGCCTTTTTGAGTTCAGGCTGGCTACAAACGGGTGGAGATCCCCCTGTTTAAGCCCAAGGGCTAGGATTACAGGCACCTGACACCATGGTTGGTGCCCAAAATGTGGTATCGAGTAAGAAGATTCTCATGTTTTTTTCTCTGACCTTCATGTGTCTCAGGGTTTGTACAGCTTGTGCCCAGCCTGGCAGACGGCGTTCTGGGCACACCTGCAAATGCTTCCTGAGACTTGGATGTGTCCACACATGCACATGAGTCAGGGTAGAATGTTAAAGGGGAAGAGAGGCCTGGGTCTGTGAGCTGTCATGGAGGAGGGGAGGGACAGAAGGCTCTAGAGTAGGTTGGGGTCTGGCAGGTGGCATTAATTAATGTCTTTTCTCTGAGTTGAAATTTGCTGGCACTGTTTCCTTTGACTTTAAAGATTGTTTCCCAGTATTTGATGAAAATACTGAAATTTTTGGCTTGGTGTAGTGGTGCATGTTTGATACGAGGCAGGTGGATTACCATGAGTTCGAGGCTGAGCTACATAGTGAGTTCAAGGCTAGCCTGAACTAATAACGAGACCCTGCCTCAAAAAACCAAAAGAAAGAGAAAGAAAAAAAGGAAAAGAAAGAAAGAAAATAAATAAATATTGAAGTCTTTGAAAACATTGGGAAATGGGGACATTCAAGACAGTGCAAATCGGCTGGGGATTTAGCTCAGTGGTTTTGCTGCCTGCTGGGCAAGTGCAAGGACCCGAGTTGGATCCCCAGTACCAAAAACAAAAACAAACGAAAAAAAAGACTGCAAATCTCTTTTCAGCAACTGGAGTACTGACTGCTGTTTTGTTTTGTTTTGTTTTTTGGTACTGGGAATCAAACTCAGGACCTTATGCTTGCCAGGCAGGTGTGGCACCACTGAGCTCCATCCCTGGCCCTGGCTGCAGTTTTATTCCATTTCTAGCTGGTACTTTTCTCTTTGCTTCAGCCATTCTGTAGAGCTTCTTCCCAGCTCTCCTTGCTGTGGTCCCTTCTTCCCCACAGCCCCCCACCATGAGGCAGCCCCACTGGTCAGAAGCTGAGCATCTAGGCTTTGTGCACTGAACGCACCTGAAACAACAGCTGTGCGGCTGGGCACAGTGGCCGGCATCGGGCCCCCACGTGTCAGCCTGGGCTCTGTCCCCAGCACCTCACTGAGGCATGTGCTGGGGAGGCTTCCGAGGGTCAGTTCCCAGCCCCGCTAGCTTTTCCCTCCAGTCTTCTCCTTCAGCCAACTAAGAGGTGTCTGCGGGAAGTACTGGGGAGCACTTACACACCGAGGAGAGGCTGCAAGGGGCAGTGGGTTAGGGGATGATTCCTGGATCCCAGGGCCAGGCTGCTTTTTTATTTTGTTTTTTTAGTTTTGGGCTTTTTTTTTTTTTTTTGGTACCAGGGATCGAACTCAGGACCTTGCACTTGTGAGGCAGGCACTGGAACCACTGAGCTAAATCCGTGGCCCAGTTTTTGGGTTTTTGAGACAAGATCTTACTAGGTAGTCCAGGCTGGCCTCAAAAACTCATGATCTCCCTGCTTTGGCCTCCCAAATTCTGAGATTATTGGTGTGGACTGTCATACCTGGCTCAGATTGCTTTTTTCTTTTTCTTTCTTTTTGTGGAGATAGTCTTGCTACATAGCCCAGGCTGGCCTTGAACTCATGACGATCCTCCTGCCTCAGTGTCCTGAGTGCTGGGATTAGAAGGATGCACCACTGCTCCTGGCCTCAGGTTGCTTTTTCCATCCTGGCTGTGCCACTTACCAGCTGTGTGACTTAGTAGCAGTGACCTCCTGGAATTGCTGTGAGATTTGTTGATGCTATGGACATTTAATCCGGTGCCTGGCATGGGAGGAAATTGGCACCCAGGGAGCTGAAATTTTCTGAACTGAGATGACAGGGTGGGTAGGGGAGGAAGAGAGCCCAGGCATATTCGGCTGTGGTTGTCACTGGTCCTGAGGCAAGAGGAGCTTATCTCCTTCACGGGCAGACCTTCCAGTGGCCGCCGGCTCCTGGGGGACCCCCCACTAGGCAGAGGCCAGGAGCTTTTCCCTGGGCTCACTCATATTCCATCCTTTAGCAGGTTAGCGTCCCTTTGTCCCCTAGGCCTTCTGTCTTTACAGAGCTGGCTTCTATGCCAGGAACTCTGGGTCTTTGTGGTATAGGCACCGTATCTCCCCCTTCCAGACACCTGTCTATTGTGACTGCTGAAATGACCTGCCTCGGTGGTGCCGTCCTGGGTTAGAGCCCAGCCCTCCTTGTCCAGCTCCTCTCACCCTGCGAAGGAGCCCTGTCTTTCTGAGCCCTAGACATTCCCAAAGTCAGGCCATGGCCTGGTAGGGCATTCCTCCCCAGGTGCAGGCAGGGGCTGGGCGTTTACACTTCTTCCCTCTCTCTGCAGGATGCAAGAAGCCAGTGTTGGCCTCGGGGAAGGAGATGGACTGGGCACAGATGGCCTGCCACCGATGTCTCGTGTACCTGGGGGACCTGTGTAAGAGTCCAGGCCTTTTGTTTGCTCTGATTTGGGGCACATGCAAGGCCCCAGCTACTTCAGTAGTTGGTTCCACCTTTCACATGATGAGAGAGCAGAAGGAACAATTTGGCCTCTGATGATCTTTCCCTTCCAGGCCTTTTATTTACTCTTTTAGACAGGGTCTCGCTCAGTGGCCCAGGCTGTCCTGAAGTCATGACCCTCCTGCCTCAGCTGGGGACGAGCTGGGGTTAGAGGCGAGCATCCGCGCGCCTGGCCTTTCCCTCCCTCTGCTTCCTGGGGTCCTTTGGTTCACTGCCTGCCTTAGGCACAGAGGGTCAGTGCTTATAGGAAAGGGGAAGTACTTTTGGGCTTGAGAAGTCAGGGTGATATCTGTTGCTGTAGTGGATTCACAAGATTTTGACTTGACTTCCTCCTCCCTCCTTCCTCTTTCTTTTTCTTTTCTTTCTTCCTCTTCCTTTTCCAAATAGCTGATGGATGTTCCTGAGGACAGAAAATGATCTTTTTTTTTTTTTGGTACTGGGGATCAAACTTTGGACCTTGCACTTGCGAGGCAGGTGGTGGTACCACTGAGCTACAGCCCCAGGCCCAGAAAGTGCTTTTTGCTTGTGGCCCCTGAGTCTCTGTCCTTGTCAGGTGGCTGGGGTGTGGCTGCGAGGTGTGTTACCTGTTACAGACTTGGCTCCCTGCAGTACCTCTAGCCCTGCCCTGGCACCTTGTGGCCATTGTGCATGGAGGTGGACACTTCACAGTGGGTGGACCAGAGTGCCCTTGCAGTGTCTTTGTAGCATCAGGCATTTGGATTCTGGAACCAAATATCAGAGGTCTTTGCAAGCAGCCGGACATGCTGTGGTTCCTCTCATGGGGAGGACATAGTCAAGAAGCCTTTCTGCTTCACACACACCAGGTCCTCTTTATCTTTTGAACCAACCAGTGAGGAAGAGCCTTTGGGTGATTGGACTGTAGTCGTGCGGGCCTAAGACTGTGCCAGAGACCCCTCAGCCTGCCTCCTCACCTGGGTCCCTTCCTCCCAGGCTCTAGTCACAGCTCTTCAGAGTGGGCTCCTGGTGAAGGGGGAGTGCTCTGAAACACAGAGTCACTGCATCTCCCTTCCTCTCTGTCCTGTAGCACGCTATCAGAATGAACTAGCCGGTGTAGACACTGAACTGCTCGCTGAGAGATTCTACTACCAGGCCCTGTCAGTAGCTCCCCAGATTGGTAAGTGAAGCCCTGCTGGAGTCTCCTGACCAGTAGCTTTTCCAAGAGGAAGACATGCTTTGAGAAGGGAGGCAGTCTCCTCCTCCTTTCCCCAGGGCCTTGCCACCCTGAGCTCTCTACACTTCACCTCTATGCCCCATCCACCTTGTCGCACACTAGAGATAGAGGAATGGGAAGGTCTTATCTAAGAAGGAGGGAGACGGAAGAGAAAGAGGGGAGAAGATGGCTCCCTTGTCCACAAGGTCACTTCCCCACAGGAGGTGGAGCGAGAGGAGGAGTGTGATTGCATGGTGGGGAAAGATGGGGTAGCAAGGAACTCAGAGGTACGAAATGGAGCTGGGGGAGAGGAGAGGGCTCCATGGAGGCCCATCGCCCTTGGAGAGGCCGCAGTGGAAGTGGAAGGCATACGCACATGGGGGCAGGCAGCTCCGGCACAGCAGGCTGGAAGTCAGTAATGCCCCAGAGGGACAGAGGCTCCAGCATTGCCTGCAGACCCAGCTGGTCTCCCATGAGTGCACTGGTCCTTAGTGGCAGCCGGGCTTGGAGCACTGATTGACTTGTGCTGCATGGACGCTCTCTGCAGGAATGCCCTTCAACCAGCTTGGCACGCTCGCGGGCAGCAAGTACTACAACGTGGAGGCCATGTACTGCTACCTGCGCTGGTGAGTGTTCACCAGCCCTCTCCAGCCCTGCTCTGAGGAACTTCAGCTCCTGGTGGGGTAGATGGGGGAGGTTGGAGCGAGGAGTCCCTCCATCCAGGGGCCCTGACTCAGCTCTGCTGCTTTTCAGAGAGCCATGAGGGTTTGTAGGCGTGGGTGCAGCCAAAATGACTATACATTATTTTATGCAAAATAGATATTTCTATCTGTCCTTGCAAGAAAATAAATTTGATATGTTTGATAAAATGGTTCCGAAGTGGCTCTGGAAAGATCCTCAGGACTCTACAGCTCCAGTGTGTTAATGTGGTCACAGCGTGGAGCAACCTGCTCAGCAGCAGGGTAGGTCTGACCCTTAGCTCTTAGAATAAAAATAAAAATTTCAGGGCACCCGGAATGGCTTGGATGTCAGGTACGAGTCCTCCTCAGGAAGACATAGCACAGATGCCGCTGCTGAAGGGATTGCATGGGGACCTGCCCAGGAAGCTTGTGGCCACTGTGGAGTGGGGGAAGAAAGCCAGCTCCTCCTCGGGAGAGGGTGGGGTGATCTGGGCTGTATGCAGGCAGGATAGGGTCATCTTCAGGGACCAAAGCAAATGCAAGTCAGGTGTGTGCCCACCCGAAATCTCAGAACTCAGAGGCTGAGGGAAGGGGATGGCGGTGAGCTCACACCTACCTGGGCCGCACAGCAAGACCCCGTCTCAAAAAAGAGGGAACTCAAATAGTAGCCACACATCTGATCATGAAGCAGTGAAATGCCTAATTCTATCTCCTAATTCCACGTCCTGTGGTCCCTACCTCAGCTGGGAGAGGAAACTTACTCAATAGCAAGACAGTGCTGGCTCCCGGGCACACACCCCCCCCCCCCCCCCCCGGTCAGTGCAGATGGTCTCACTGTATAGTTCAGGCTGGCCTTGAACTCACTGTGTAGCCCAGGCTGACCTCTTCACTCCCAGTGATCCTCCTGTCTCGCCTCCCAAGTGCTGGGATTACAGTCATGTGCCACCATGCCTGGTCCTAACCTTTTTTTCTTTTTTTTTTTTTTTTTTTTTTTGGTGTTTTCAGACAGGGTTTCCCTATGTATTCCAAGACTTGATAACTATGTAGCCCAGGGTGCCCTCAAACTCTTGGTAATCCTCTTGCCTCAGCCGCTGAGTGTTGGGATTACAGGCATGTGCCAACATGCTTGGCCATGGCTTCTTGTTTGTTTGTTTGTTTGTTTCTCAGTATTGGGGATTGAGCTCAGTACCTTGAGTTTGCAAGGAAGGTGTGGTGCCACTGAGCTAAATCCCCGGCCCTCTTTTTTTTTTGGGGTTTTGAGAGTCTTGCTATGTAGTTCAGGCTGTATTTGAAGTTACTGTGTAGCCCAGGCTGACCTTGAACTTGTGGTGATCTTCCTGTCTCAGCTTCCCAAGTGCTAGGATTATAGGTGTATGGCACCACAACTGGCCCCCTTTTGAAAATTTTGTTTTGATTTTTATTTTTTATTAGTATATTTCTGTTTTATCTTTGAAATTTTGAGTTGCTAAATTGACCCGGCTGGACTCAAAATTGTGATCCTCCTGCCTCAGCCTCCCAGAGTGCAGGTTTACAGGTATGTGCCACTATACCCAGCCCATGTGTCTTTCCTGTCCTCAAGTGTTTTCCAGAGAATGCCCCTCTTACTTGCCCTAGGTCCCTCCTCACACTCAGAAGCTTGCTATAGGGTGAGTCCCTTCCCAAATAGAGCCAGGCACGTCCAAGTTGGGAGGTAACCACTAAGAGCGAACCCGAACCCTCTGTGCTGAAACGGTTAGCTTTTGGACGGGCTGGGCTCAGTTGGGGGTTTTCCTCCCCGTGGCATTGTCTGGGGTTAGTCATTGTGGTTCTGCTGATCTGGAGGGCAAGAATCTGGAGATACTGGATGTGGCAGCATATTTGTAATCCCAGCTCTCTGCGACCTGAGGCAGGGGTATTTGGAGCCCAGCCTGGGCAACTCAAGGAGACCCTATCTCAGAAGGGCTGGGGAGGTAGGTCATTGTGAAGGCCCTGGGTTCAAGCCCCAGCACTGCCAAAAAAGGAGAACTCTGGAGGGTTGGCCCAGGTGGTGCCTCCCCTTTCCCTGTCCACAAAGTCTCAGGGCCTCTATTTCTTAGTGGAAGGAGTATCAAAGAATTAGTGACTCTTTTTTTTTTTGGTACCGGGGATTGAACTTGGGACCTTACGCTTGCGAGGCAGGCAGCGGAACCACTGAGCTAAATCCCTGGCCCTTGTATTGTTTTGTTTTGTTTTGTTTTGTGGTACTGGGGATCGATCGAACTCAGGACCTTGCACTTGCCAGGCAGGTTCTGTGCCACTGAGCTACATCCCTGGCCCACTTGTATTGTTTTTATAAATAAAAAGTTGGGGTTTTTTTTTTTCCCCCCGATACCAGGAATCGAACTCAGGACGTTGCACTTGCGAGGCAGGCACGGCACCACTGAGCTAAAGCCCAGGCCCTGTTTTTTTGTTTTTTGGTGCTCAGGGTGGAACCCAGAGCCTTGTGCATACTCTGCCCCTAAACTATACCTCTGGCCCTGAAAAGCTGACTTTGTTTTGGTTTTGCCTTCTGAGATGGGGGTCTTCCTATGTAGCCCAGGCTGGTCCTGAACTCACTCTCCTGCCTCCATCTCTCGAGTGCTGGGATTACCGGTGTGCCCCACTGCATCTGGTTGACCTAGAAAGTTGTTTTCAAAAATAAGATAGAAGGGCCGGGGATTTAGCTCAGTGGTTCTGGCACCTGCCTCACAAGTGCAAGGTCCTGAGTTCGATCCCCAGTATCCAAAAAAAAAACAAAGTATGGCGCGTAGTACCATACTTTTGGGGGGAGGTGCTGAGGATTGAACCCCAGGGCTTTGCACATGCTAGGCAAGCACTTTACCACTGAGCTATATCCTCGACCCTTTCAATGTTTTTTTTTGTTTCTGTAGTACTGGGTGTTGAACCCATGGCCTTCATACTGAGCTACACTGAGCTGGGTCTTGCTCAGTTGCCCAGGTTGGGCTCAGACTCAATATTCCTGTCTCAGCCTCTCAGAGTGCTGAGATTGTAGATGTGCTCCATCACACCGGGTCTGGCTTTGTTTAGTTTTATTTTGAGACAGGGTCTTGTTAAACGTTGCACAGGTGCCCTTGAACTTGTGATTCTCCTGCTTTAGCCTCCTGAGTAGCCGGGATTACACATGTGCACCCTTGTGTCTAGCAGGTCCCTGGTTTTGTAGTGAGATGGAGGGGACTGGAGATTCAGCTCTGCTCTATGTTATCAGTGTGGCCTTGGCAACATGCTTGTTCTCTGAGCTCCACTTCCCCATTTTATTTTATTTATTTTTTTATCTTTATTTTTGGTACCAGGGATTGAACTGGGGTCCTTGGCGGAGCCACTGAGCTAAATCCCCAGCCCCCACTTCCCAATTTTAGTGCGGACAGTGTTGGCATTCATTGTACCCTGATGCAGCAGGGTGTGAGCTCTGTGTGAGTGCTGAATGCGTGCTGAGAGAACTAACTGGCGTAAGGCAGGAACTGTGCTTCTTTGTAGTAGGTGCTTATCAGATGCTGCCTATTACAAAGTTAGGATGACATACTTCAGGGTTACTAAGTTTGTAATAGAGTAGGATAAATTGCAGAGAATATGGGGAGGAGAGTAAAAGCATTGTCTTTACTCAGATTAATCTGGAAGTTGGTGTGTGTATTTCACATGAGCGTGTAGGAGGAAGGTGAGGCTGCAGGCGGTGAGACCAGGGCCACCAAGACTTACTGGGAACATGGTCCTGAAGGCCATGGTGGAATGACACTCGCGTCCCCACCTCTCCCTGCCAAGACACAGCAGCTTCCCCTGTGTCTCCTCAGCATCCAGTCAGAAGTGTCCTTCGAGGGGGCCTATGGGAACCTGAAGCGGCTGTACGATAAGGCAGCCAAAATGTACCACCAGCTGAAGAAGGGTGAGACTCGGAAACTCTCTCCTGGCAGAAAGCGGTGAGTGGGGCTGGGCCCAGTGCCTGCTTTCTGCCCTGGTGTGGCTGGACCAGTCCGCATTCACCTGGGGTCCTGTCATTGCAGATGCAAAGACATTAAGAGGTTGCTGGTGAACTTCATGTATCTACAGAGCCTCCTGCAGCCCAAAAGCAGGTGAGTGGAGGAGGAGAGGCACCATCACGGTGTGCTGAGGACCCAGCCAGGACTGCAGTCTGCCTTCCTGGGCCAACCCCAGCCAGCCAGGCCGTGCTGGGTGTCCCTCCGTGCTGGGTCCTGTGCTGAGCTCATAGCAGCTGACCGCACCCAGAGCAGGTGCTGAACGGGCTGCAGGAGCAACGCACCCTTTCCCTGCTGTCTGCTCTGCTCGCTGTGTTTGGTTTTGCGGCGGTGGGGATGGAACCGCTCGCAGGTGGCCTGCACCCTCAGCAAGCTCTCCCACTGAGTTACACCCCATTTTATTTTGTCTGCTTTGGTAGCCAGTCCGGTGCTGCCACCCTCCCCCGTCTCTGAAGTCCCCTCAAATCTTTTGTTTGAGTTTGTGTGGCCAAGTCCTCGCCTCTTCCCGCCCATCCCTGACCGACATTACCTCTGCCCTTCTGTAGCTCTGTGGACTCCGAGCTCACTTCGCTTTGCCAGTCAGTCCTGGAGGACTTCAACCTGTGTCTCTTCTACCTGCCCTCCTCACCCAGCCTCAGCCTGGCCAGTGAGGTGGAGGAGGAGTATGAGGGCGGGTGTGCTTTCCTCCCAGACCTGCTCCTCTTTCAGATGCTCATCATCTGCCTCATGGGTGTGCACAGCCTGAAGAGAGCAGGTGACCTTCCTGTGTCCCCCGGCCCCACAGCACTGCCCACTGCCCGGTCACCACCTGGCTGTGGGAGAGTGAGGGCAGCGGGGCCTGCCCTTTGGCGCCTCCTGGGGATGAGCAGAGGGAGCAGTGTGTCCCCTACACACACACACACACACACGCACACGCACACGCACACGCTGGGGGCCAGCGAGCTCAGCCGGGATCAGTCAGATTTGCACCGTGCTCAGGGGCACTCAGGCCCTGCTGGGAAGCTTTCTGGTGGAAGTGTACAGAGAAGAGGGAGGGAGGGAGGGGTCGGGCGGGCTGGCTCCTGGGCTCTCTGAGTACTTGAAGCCAGGGCGGATGAGCTGAGATCAGAGGATCCTTGCAGAGGGAGTGTGTTCTGGTGTAGGGGATGGTGGGTTGGGGCTCAGGCAGGCTCTTACCCTAGGAGCTTTGCGGGACAGTGCATCCGTGGTAACTGAGTGCGGGTGAGACAGGGCTGGAATGATGTGATGGTTCCTGCTCCTCATTCAGGGCCAGGGCCCTGACGCCTGGCTCTCCTGGCTTCAGGATCCAAGCAGTACAGTGCAGCCATTGCTTTCACCCTGGCCCTCTTCTCCCACCTCGTCAACCATGTCAACATTCGGCTGCAGGCTGAGCTGGAGGAGGGCGAGAACCCCGTCCCAGCGTTCCAGAATGATGGCGCAGGTGGGAAAGGGCAGGAGGCTGGGGCTGGGGAGCAAGCGAGGGAAGGAGGGAGGGAGGGACAGACTCTGGGGAGGTGTCAGAGACACCATCCAGCGTCCAGCCCCTCATTCTTCCCGCCACAGATGAGGCAGAGTCCAGGGAAGCACTGGAGAAAGAGGAGGAAACGGACCCCGAGCCGCCTCCCATGGCACCCCACATTGCTGGAGGCAGAAAGAACCGGAAGTTCTCGCGCCTCTCCTGCCTCCGCCGCCGCCACCACCGCCGCCCACCCAACGCTGGTGATGACAGTGACTTGAGTGAAGGCTTTGAATCAGACTCAAGCTGTGACTCAGCCCGGGCCAGTGAAGGCTCGGACAGCGGCTCTGACAAGAGTCTAGAAGGTGGGGGCACAGCCTTTGATGCTGAGACAGACTCAGAAATGAACAGCCAGGAGTCCCGGTCAGACCTGGAAGACATGGAGGACGAGGACGGGACCCGGTCCCTAGCCCTGGAGCCGCCTCGGGCCAGATCAGAGGCTCCCGAGGCCCTCAACGGCTCTCTGGGCCCCAGTGAGGCTAGCATTGCCAGCAATCTGCAAGCCATGTCCACCCAGATGTTCCAGACCAAGCGCTGCTTCCGACTGGCCCCTACCTTCAGCAACCTGCTCCTGCAGCCCCCCGCTGCCCCTCAGGGCTTGGCTGGCTGCAGGCCCTGTGTCAATGGGGATGTGGATAAGCCCTCAGAGCCAGGTACCTGGGCCTCTGCGCCTCCCTGCCACAGGCCCTGTCCTCTCTATGCGCGGCTTCTCGTCTCCAGCCTGCTGCCTCGCTGGTGTGCAGCCCAGGAGTTTGCTCCTGTCGCGTCCTTTCCCACTCCCTTCGTCATTTCCAGCCTCCAGCTCTTCTTGCCTTGCCCTCTCTCCTGCTGCGTGCTGCCCTGACTTTGGGGCTGTCCTCCCCACACATTTGGAACTGCAGCTTCTTCCCGGTGTCACCTGGATCCCTCCAGGGCCCATCAGGGCAGTGGGTTGGGTGAGACTTGGGCTGAGGCAGAGGAGCATTCATCACAGCAGTGTTAGTCGGGCCCCTCTGCCGAGCTCAGGCCAGGCCAGTGGCGGGAACCCACAGCATGTGTGCCACAGCGGGCTGTTTGTGTCATCGAAAGCTGTAAAAGGTTTGCCATCGCTGGGCTAGACTCTTCTAGGATGTTGTATTTTTTCCAGCTTTCATAGAGTTTTGTGGAAAAGTTAGTTTGCCTCCTGTAAAGGCTGTCTTTTACCTCCGAACTTCTACATGGGCTACTTCTGTCTGGAACATAGCTTTTCCTCCCTCAGCCCAACCCTGTCACTTGGCTAAGTCTTCCTTGCCCCCTAGACTGTAGTTTATTGTTGTTGGTTTTTTGTTTTTTTGGTACCGGGGATTGAACTTGGGACCTTTTGCTTTCAAGGCAGGCAGCGGCACCACTGAGCTAAATCCCTGGCCCCCTAGACTATAGTTTAAAAGTTGTGCGCGCTTTGGCAGCACATGTACTAAAATTGGAATGATACAGAGAAGGTTAGCATGGCCCCTGCTCAAGAATGACAGGCAAATTCATGAAGCGTTCCGTATTTTTTTTTAAAAAGTAACTTGGGGCCAGAGTGCACCGCAGTGGCAGAGCACATGTGTGGGGTGCTCGGGCTCAGAGCAGAAGTTGCCTGGTTTGGGACTCCTCCAAGTCCAGGCCAGTTCGTGTCTTGTGGGCTCCCATGGGTGCCTGCCCTGCGCAGCCCCTGCCCTTCTCCCTCGGCCAGGCAGGGTGCTGAGCTGTCTGCCGTCGTGTCCTCAGGCCAGGTGAGGCCTGAGACATCTGAGTGACTGCAGGAGATGTGGCGCTATTGCGTAGAGAGGTGAAGCAACCCGCCCCGGGTCTGCCGGACAGAGAAGAGCTGGGAGGTGACAGAGATGGCGCAGCCCCATGCCCCGCACTTTGCCCGCTTGCAGCCCTGCGGCAGCGTGAGCTCTTAAACCCTGGCTGATGAGCCGCTGCAGAGTGGCTGGACACATTGGCTCGAGTCTGAATCACTCTGAAGGTTTCAGAGCAGCCAGTTAGTGGGCCTGAAGAATTGCTCAGGGCTTTGACCCCAAGTCCCCGCCTCTTGTACCAGAATCTCCCTGCAGAGTCTAGGTCAGGTGGCAGCTGCCATTTGTTCACCCTGCTCTCCCCCTGCCCCAGCCTCTGAGGAGGGCTCGGAGTCGGAGGGCAGCGAGTCCAGCGGGCGCTCGTGCCAGAATGAGCGCAGCCTGCAGGAGAAGCTGCAGGTCCTGACCGCCGAGGGCCTGCTCCCTGCTGTGAAGGTTTTCCTGGACTGGCTGCGGACCAACCCCGACCTCATCGTCGTGTGCGCACAGGTGCCTTCGTCCGCTCCCTTGCCAGCTCCCCTGGAGGGCAGGGCGGGGCCTCACCCTCAGCCTGTGGCTGGAGTCGGAGAGCTGCCAGTGCTGTTCTGTCCCCAGTGCTGGGCATAGTGCCCGCCCTTGTGAGCAGTGCCAGTGAGATGTGAGGACAGGCACAGTGCAGAGTGCAGAGCGCAGAGTGGGGACGTGGAGGAGGAGGAGGAAGAGGAGGAGGGAGAGCAGGAGCAGCAGCTCTGGACAGAGGTGGAGGAGGCCTAGGGGCCCGGGCAGCGGCTGGAGAAGGCTGCGAGGAGGTGTGGGCTTGGGGCCCTGGGCTGCACAGCTTCGCCTGCCACCTTCTCTTCTTCCTCGTCCTTGGGTTCAGAGCCTCAGTCCCTCTAACCTGGCTCAGGGTTTTTTTGGGGGGCGGGGTACTGGGGATCGAATGCAGGACCTTGCGTTTCTGAGGCAGGGGCGGTGCCGCTGAGCTACATCCCCGGCCCCTGGGTTTGGTTTGGTTTGGTTTGGTGCCGGGGATCGAACTTGGGTCCTTGCGCTTGTGCAGCAGGCGGTGAAACCACTGAGCTAAATTCCCGGCCCCCCTGGGTTTTTTTTTTTTTTTTTTTTTGGTACTGGGGATTGAACTTGGGACCTTGTGCTTGCAAGGCAGGCGCCGGAACTACTGAGCTAAATCCCCAGCCCTCCCCCTGGGTTTTTAAGACGGCCTCACTGTGTAGTCCAGGCTGGCCTTGAGCTCATTCATTTAAGTAGCCTAGAGTGGTCTCAAACTTATGATCCTCCTGCCTCAGCCTCCCAGGTGCTGGGGCTGCAGTTGTGCAGCTTCGAGCCTCAGACACCCCCAGCTTACATGTGGAGTGTTTTCTCTAAGAACTTTGCCTCCCCAAGGTGGGAGCTGTGTCCCTGCCCTTGGGTGCAAGCACACCCCTCTGCGGGCCAGTTACTCAGCCCTAGTCAGGGGAGGTGCTGGTGCTGATCACCCTGCTGGAGAGCTGTACTGGGCCGGGAACGCCAAGGAGGGGAGAAGGGAAAGGTTTCTGTAGTCAGGTGGCAGCACAGGCCTGTAACCTCAGCCCTCCGGAAGGCTGAGACAGGAGGACTGTAAGTTCAAGCCCAGCCTGGGCAACTCAGTGACTCAGGAAGATCCTGTCTCAATTTAAAAAATAAAAACTGGGTGAGGGTATGGCTTAGTGGTAAGGCCCAGGGTTCAGTCTCCAGTACTGCAAATTTAAAAAGAAGGAAAAGAAAGTGTGAGATGCAGACGCCACCTCCTCTGGCGCTCGGCTTTCTGCTGTCAGGGTCCGGAAGTCCTTCCCAGCCTCAGCCTTCTGTCATGGAGCAGCAAGGGGGGACCAGCCCCCTCTGCGGCCCCTGCACGTGCCCAGGCCCCTGTGCTTCCTTTCGGGGCCACTGCCCTCAGCACAGTGCTGGCTCATATGCCCTCCCTTCTCCCCTCCCAGAGCTCTCAGAGTCTGTGGAATCGCCTGTCTGTGTTGCTGAATCTGTTGCCTGCTGCTGGTGAGCTCCAGGAGTCTGGTGAGTGGGTCCCTGGCATTGCATCCCTCTTTGCCCCCTCTGGCCCCACTCCACACCCCTCTCCTGCGACTCAGCCCTAGGGTAGGAGGTTACCGGGACGCGCACACAGCAGTCATTGTACGGGCCAGGCCTCTCGGGTTTCCACCCCGCACTGCCTTACTGGGCAGGAGGCCTGGTATGCAGGGGCAGCAGGGTGGGCAAGGGGACAGCACAGGGTCTGCTGCCACACTGCTGTCCGTGGACCTTCAGAGTTCCGTTGGAGGCTGAGGCAGGAGGATCATGAGGTGCAGGCCAGCCTGGAGTACATAGTGAGACCCTGTCACAAACAAAAGAATTGGCTTTGACCTCCCAGAGCCCATCTGCCCAGCTCTTCCCTCCTAGACACATCCTCATCTCTGTCCTGTGGTTCCCAGCCAAGCTGCTCCTGTTCTTCCAGAGCCATGCCTGGAGCTCAGCCTAGTGTGTCGGTCTCTGCCCGCGGCTCCCTGATGGTGCCTTCTCCCCACCCAGGCCTGGCCCTGTGTCCTGAGGTCCAGGATCTCCTGGGAGGCTGTGAACTGCCGGACCTCCCCTCCAGCCTGCTGCTCCCAGAGGACATGGCGCTGCGCAACCTGCCTCCCCTCCGGGCTGCTCACAGGTGCTTTAACCTGGATGCGGACCGGCCCCTGCTCAGCACCTTGGAGGAGGTGAGAGTGTCATGCAGGCAGGGAAAGGTCTCAGGGCTGCATGTCCTGCAGAGGTCCTGCTGTGGGTGGCGGTGTCTGTTGGAGAACAGGTCCCTCCTCTGCCTTCTGAAACGGACAGGGCAAGTGAGTGAGGCCTGGGAACCTGCATCAGCTGCTGGGCCCAGCCTTCTGAGCTGCAGCGGGCATGTGGCCTGCTGAGAGTGCTCCGGACTGCAGTTTGCACCCACGTGGGCCAGCGGGGGGCAGCAGAGGGCAGCCCCACAGACAGGCTGGGCCCCAGCCCCTCCCCAGCCACCTGCCTCCATCCAGCCAGAGCCGCTTGGCTGAGATCTGTTTTATATTTGGGGGATCCAGGTAAGATTTTTGTGTGAGAAGAAAGACACTTTTGCTGAAAAATAATTCTCAAAATGTCTATCTGTTTTGAAGCAGAGACCCTGAGGAGAGATGGCCTTAGCAGGCTCCTCACCTGCAGCCCCACGGCCCTGCTCCTCCCCAGGGTCACCCACTCCCCTCGCCCTGCTCACTTTCCCCTTCTCTGGCAGCCAGTGCTCCTCTTTCCCAGGGGAAGGGGAGGTGGGGAGCCAGGCACTCAGCAGCACCTGATGCTGTGTCCTCCCAGTCGGTGGTTCGCATCTGCTGCATCCGGAGCTTCGGGCACTTTGTGTCCCGCCTGCAAGGCAGCATCCTGCAATTCAACCCAGAAGTCGGCATCTTTGTCAGCACGGCCCAGGCGGAGCAGGAGAGCCTGCTGCAGCAGGCCCAGGCGCAGTTCCGCATGGTGAGCCACGGGGCGAAGGCCTTGCCTGGGCAGGGGCAGGGGCAGGGGCAGGTCCGGACTTCCTGGACTGGAGGAGGCCTGGCAGGGACCAAGGGGGGCTGGCAGGAGGGGATGGTGAGGCTGCTCGGCACAGACTGGCTCAGGACAGCTGTGGACTGACGGGGGCTTGAGGCCCCTCTGACTTCCTGGTCTGTGTTGAGTAAGTCACTCAAATCATTGCTGTCAGTGGGGACAATTAGCTTACTGGGCGTGGTGGCGCACACTTGTGACCCCAGCCCTGGGGAGGCCGAGGTAGGAGGACTGTGAGTTTGAGGCCAGCCTGGGCCACACGGTGAGACCTGAGACCTTGTGAAGATGGATGGCTGGTGCACACAGTCCCTGTGGGGCAGGTGCCAGGACGCCCGGCCTTAGAGCGCAGCAGAGGCCTGGAAGGCCCTGGAGGCTCTGCACTCTCAGCCCAGACCCCATCCCTCCTCGTCCGGCAGAGGGCCCAAGGGTGGGGAGCAGCCTGTGATATCTATTCAATCTCCTCCTGCTTACCGAGAGCCAGGCTCTGCCAGATCAGTCATTCCCGCCCCGGTGTTGCTGAGGTGAGCACAGTGCCTTCTCCCAGGGCCTGACACTGAGCAGCAGGCTGGTTTTCCAGTCGGGGCCTCTACAGCCCTGTGCCATCAGCGCATTTGGGGTCGAGAGGGACCACCAGGGGTCTGTGCCAGCCTGAGGGTCTCTTCCTCCCAGCCTGGTCCCTTCCCAATGTAGGGTCCGCAGCACCCACCCTCAGCCTGTATGTGGTGGACACTACCATGCTGGGAATGGGCCCAGCTCCCCAGAAACTCCTTTCCTGCTGCCTCATAAACAAGCACATTTTGTTAAAAACAAACCTTTTGTGTTAGGGCTTTTACTGCTGTTCCACAGGGGAAAACACGGGTTACAAAAATAATTATGGGGAAGTTGCACAGCTTCAAAACCTGTCAGCGTAGTTGCAGGCATTTCCTCAGCGGAAAGCTTTGGAGACTGGGGAGGGGGTTGCAGGGAGCCCCAGGCCACCCTGCTCCTGCTGTGCCGACTTCCGCCCCAGGCCTTGACCTGGCAGCAGCAGTGTCACCCTCTCCTGTCATCTCCAGACCTGACTAGGTGCAAAGCCTGGTTTTCACTGGGCTCGTTTGCCCCTTGCAGCAGCTGTGAGGTGGGTGCTTGCGTCCTGATTTGATTGGATTTGATTCATTTTGAGACTTGGTCTCGCCAGGTAGCCCAGGCTGCCCGTGAATTCGCAGTGACCCTCCTGCCTCAGCCTCCGAATGGTGGCATCACAGGTGCCCACCTCCCTGTCTGGCCTGCCTCCTGACTCAGTGGGTGAGGACGAGTATAGTTACACTTCCAAGGTCAGCAGGCATAGTCAGGGCAGAGTCGGGCCAACTCCACTTCTTTGTTGCTCATTCCTCTTCGGGTCTCTGGTGGAGGGTGGGACCAGTCCTCGTGCCAGCCAGGCAGGTGCTGTGCCAGGGCCGCACCTCTGCCTGCCAAGCTCCACTCCCGGCTCCTCAGCACCTGCTGGGTGGCAGGGCTGTCTGCTCAGAGCACACGGGGCAGGGGGCTGGCAGTGCTGGCACAGCTGCCTGAGCGGCTGGCCCGGGGCCTCAGAGTCCGCTCCAGGTGGCTCCCACTCCCTGCACACAGTGCCCTGGCTCTGGGCCACGGTTCCGCAGCAACAGTCTCAGCACGAAAGTCAGACTCCCGGCTGACTTGTGCAGGCAGGAGAGGGAAGTCTGTCCCTGTACTCCCTTCCTAGTCCACCCGCAGGCCTGTCAGGAAATGGCTCTCCTGGGCTCTTTGCCTCCTGCTGTCCTCCGGTGCTACTGCTTTCTAGAGGGACACTCTTGGCACGTTGGGAAGAACAGACCCTTACTGTAGACATTGCAGGCTTGAAGTAGATCTTGTCTAACCGTATTATAATTATCAAAATGTGAAACTTGCAGGGCATGGAGGCGCAGGCCTGTGATCCCAGCACTCAGGAGGCCGAGGCAGGAGGATCTCCATAAATTCAAGGCCAACATGGGGTCCATAGTGAGTTCAAGGTCAGCCTGAACCACATAGCAAGACCTGCCTCAAAAAAACAAAAGAAGGGCTGGGGATTTAGCTCAATGGTGCCGCCACCTGCCTCGAAAGCGCAAGGTCCTGATTTTGATCCCCTGTACCAAAAGAAAAGAAAAAGAACGAGATTAATATTTGAAAGCTCCAACCTGCCAATGGTAACACTTGGCTCATTTAGGAGCCAGCCTTTGTCAGCTCACAGGATAGAGGCCCATGTCCACTTTTAGACCATATTAAGGAATTTGGACTTTATCCAGAAAACAAAGGAAAGATTAAAAGTTTATTTTTGCCTTGTTTTGTTTTGTTTTTGAGGCAGGACCTCACTGTGTAGTCTGGGCTGGACTCAACTCATGATCCTCCTGGCTCAGCCTCCTTACGCTTACAGGCGTGCGCCCCAACGCCTAGCTTGGGATTTAAGCAGAGCCATGGTGGGCACTCAGTTTTGGAAGATTGCCTGGATGCTGGTGGACAAGAGCTTGGCTAGCGAGGAGACATGTCGGCGGGCGAGGCCTCTCTGCACAGGGAGAGGGAGGCGCAGGACTGGGAGCAACTGGCTCCTAGGCTGAGAGAAAGGGAAGACAGGCAGCTTTGCACTTCTAACTCAGCCAGAGGAGTCACTTAGCAAGCAAGGAACTTCGGAGGGAATCAGCAGGGTTTAGTTTTGAGGGTCTCGCTATGTAGTTCAGGCTGGCTTGGACTTGCAGCAATCCTCCTGCCTCAGCCTCCTGAGAGCTGGGACTGTAGGCATGGCCACCACGCCAGCTGAAAGTAGCAGGTTTGAGGAGAGGAAGGGCTGCTTGCCAGCAGGCAGGTGATGTTCGGGGCTGGAGGTCACAGTGCTCGGTTGGGTTGAGGCTGCAGATCAGGAAGACATTGGCAGGTGTGACAGGTGAGGGCCCACAGCCCGGAGGGAGACCTGGCTGAGAGCAGAGCAGGGAGCGCAGGAGGCTGCAGACAGCCCTCCCTGGGCGCCCCAGCTGGAGGGCGGTGTGGGTGTGGTCCTAGCAGCCCCCAGCGTGTGTGAGCCGGGCCTGGAAGGCCTCCTCCCGGGCTGAGCTGCCGGGAGGGGTCGCCCTCCCAGCTCCCCACTCTGGTCCCTGCAGGCGCAGGAGGAGGCCCGGCGCAACCGGCTGATGCGGGACATGGCCCAGCTGCGGCTTCAGGTAGGCACAGGCCCGGTGCCTGCTCTCGGGTGCCTCCCTGGGTCTGGGCTGCTCCCAGTCAGACTGCCCTTGCTGTGCCGTTCTTCCCGAGGCTGTGTGCCCTCTGTGCCCTCTGTGCCTTTCCGTCTCTCCCTTAACCTTCATTCTCTCTGTGTTTCCTGTGCTCCTCATAGCAGCAGGAGGAGCCCCTATGGGCCACCATAGCCACCCTGCTGCTGGCTCTTGGCTGCTCCCGTCCCCCTGCCGAGGCCGGGAACCCGCAGCCCCCCTCTCTGCCTTCTCTCACAGCTCGAAGTCTCTCAGCTGGAAGGCAGCCTGCAGCAACCCAAGGCTCAGTCGGCCATGTCTCCCTACCTCGTCCCTGACACCCAGGCCCTCTGCCACCACCTCCCTGTCATCCGCCAGCTGGCCACCAGTGGCCGCTTCATTGTCATCATCCCAAGGACAGGTGGGCATACTGGGGAGCAGGACAGGTGGAATGTGGCTAAAAGGGGCTCTTGGTGTAGGATTGAGAAACCCTTATTTGGGGCCCACATGTGGACTGGGTGTACTTGTGAACACTATAATCCCAGCTATTTGGGAAGCTGAGGCAGGAGGATTTCAAGTTCAAGGCCAGCCTGGGCAACTTAGTGACTCAGCAAGACCCGGTCTCAAAAAATAAAGACCTAGGGGCTGGGGATTTAGCTCAGTGGTGCCACCGCCTGCTTCAAAAGCTCAAGGTCCTGAGTTCGATTAATTAAAATTAATCAGGCAAATAATAAAAAGACCTGGGGATGAGCTCAGTGATGGAGCTCTTGCCAGCAGGCACAAGGCCCTGGTTCGGTCCGTGACAGTCCCCATTAAACCTGGCCACACAGAACTGGAAGGAATGGGTGGAAGACCCGTGTGCGCACTTGGGAACTGGCTGGCAGGCGGGAGCCGGGGTCCTGGCTCCTCCTGGGGTGTCCAGGGCAGGCACAGCGGCTCCTTCGGAGCGGGTCCGCGGTGCGAGCCCAGCTGTCTGTGCCGCAGTGATTGATGGCCTGGATTTGCTGAAGAAGGAGCACCCGGGGGCCCGGGACGGCATCCGTTACCTGGAGGCGGAGTTTAAGAAAGGAAACAGGTGGGAGCGCGAGCGGCAGCGCCAGGCCGTGAGGCGGGGTCCTGCCTACCAAGGACAAGCGGGCAGGGCAGGCTGTGCGGAGCGCGACCTCAGAAGCCCGGCCTTGGAAAGGCCCTGCCCCGGGGCCAGCTTCTCCCGAGGGCCTGGAGGGACGGGCCTGGAGGGACCACCGAGGGCCCAGTCCCCAGTGCCGCCCCCCCCCCGCCCGACCGCGCCCGACCGTGCCTGACCGCGCCTGCCTCCCCGCAGGTACATTCGCTGCCAGAAGGAGGTGGGGAGGAGCTTGGAGCGGCACAAGCTGAAGCGGCAGGACGCGGACGCCTGGTACCGCCTCACCCCTCCCGGGCGGTCAGCGCACGCCTGCCTCGGCCCGCCTGGGGGCAGCTGAGCGCCCCGCCCGGGAGCCCCGGGTTCTCCTGGGCACTGGGGACCGCCCCGCGAGGGCTGTGCTAATGCGGGTCCCCTGCCCCCAGGACCCTCTATAAGATCCTGGACAGTTGCAAGCAGCTGACTCTGGCCCAGGGGGCAGCAGAGGAGGACCCGAGCGGCATGGTGACCATCGTCACAGGCCTTCCGCTGGACAGCCCCGGGGCGCTCTCGGGCCCCATGCAGGTGCGTCGGCGGGCGCGGCCGGGCTGGGCAGGGGCGCAGAGGAGCCTGCCCGCCCGTCCGGACCTGCTTCACTTTTCCCGTGCCCGCAGGCCGCCCTGCAGGCCGCTGCCCATGCCAGCGTGGACATCAAGAACGTTCTGGACTTCTACAGGCAGTGGAAGGAGATGGGCTGAGGCTGGCCCGCCTGCAGAGCACACCCCCCTGCTCTCCCGGCCAGGGCGCCTCCTGTAGCCCCCAGCAGCGCCGGAGCCCCAGCCAGCTGGGGGGCGGGGGGGGTCCCCCTGTTGCCAAGGCGATGGCAGGAGCCCTGGGCAGGTGCTTGGAGCAGGAGAGGCGGGCGCGGGCGTTTGTTTGGCCGCAGCGGTCGGGTCGCTGGACTGCGGCTGGGGCGGCAGTGGCAGCCTCCAGGCTCAGGCGGACGGCGGCGGTAGCAGGTGTCCGTGGTGTCTGAGACCCTCCTGCCTCCCTCCGGGCCGGGGGTCTGGAGCCAGCTGTGAGCTCTAGGGAAACGGGCTTCCCGCCTGCCCTGTGGCTCGGAGCGGGGCCCTGCGCACTGCCCCGCTGCGGGATGTGGCCCGCGTGCCCCGCAGGTGCTGGGCTGTGCTGGGCAGAAGGGCGCCACCAAGAGAGAAGGGGCGCAGGAGGCCGCCACCCCGGTCTGTCGAGAGGCCCGAGGACCCGGGGCCGGCTCGCTGGGCAGCAGGAGGGCCGCCCTCCCGGGACGGCGGGAGCAGAGGTCAGGGGCAGTGAGCAGGCCTGGCCGCTCTCTTTCCAGGCCGTGCTCCGAGAGGAGGTTGCCTCCTGCCCGCTTCCTCCGCGATAGTGTCCAGAGAACGGGGGGTGGGGGGATGGGGATGGGGTCGCCCCAGTTCCTGGCAGGTTGAGACGAAAGCATCACTAAATAAAGACCCCGAGTCCGTCCGTCTGCTGTCTGCCGTCTGTGGGGCGGGGACGGGTCGCTGGGCCCTGGAGGAGCCCGCACTGCAGGGCTGCGGGGGGGGGGGGGGCTGGGTCCCGGGGCCGGGCCTGGGGCTGCACTGCGCCCCCGCAGCTGGGCCTGGTCGCACCCCGCTGCCCCAGCTGGGCCTGTGCTCGGCGAGGCCGGGTCAGGAGCCGAGTGAGCTGCCTGCTAATGGGGCTGGGCCGCCCCGCGCTGCCCCTTCAGACTGGACAAGGCCGGGATTGTTCCGGGCGCCCTTGTGTCCTGCTCCCCGCCCAGCCCCGGCTGTCCTGCCACTCGGCTGTCGGCCGCTCCGAGCCCCAAGCTCTGGGTACGGACGCTCCCCTTCTCGGGCTGACTCCTCCCAAGGTAAAGCTCTTCCCTGGGCCCCCCGCTGTCTTGAAATCTCCAGCGCACGTGGTGGGGGGGGACACCCCAGTACCCTCGCCCTCCCCCAGGCAGCTGGGCAGCCCTCGGGAAAGGGGACACTTCCCACCCCTCGGGGGGGGGGCGCTCGTGGCCCCGGCCCCAGCGCAGGCGGGTTCCCCAGACCGGCAGGGAGCAGAGGCCCGGGGGTCCCGAAGCAGGCGGGCACGGGAAGGGCGGGCCCGGACCTGGAGTACGGGAAGTTTGGCCAGGGAGGGGGAGTGACTTCGCTCTCGGCTAGGGCGCCACCCACCTCGCCGGCCCTGCCCCTCCGCCGGTGCCAAGGAATGTGCCGGAGCGCGGGGGAGCTTGGCGGCGCGCAAGTCTGGGCTGGGGGTGCGGGCTCCGGAGGGACAGGGCCTGGGGGCCCCGAGGCACAAGTGTGGCCTCAGAAGGGCCCGGCCAGCCCTGGATTCCTTGCCCTACTGGCTGGTATCCTGCTCCTTCAGGAATTTTCCCCGAGGGCGAGAGTTACGGCGCGCGGTGCGGTGCTGCGGTCTACGAGCGTGCTGCTGGGGGTGCCCGGCCGCCGCCTGCCGCTGCCTCGGAGAACAGGCTGTCCCCGGTGGGGCAGGACTGGGAGGGAGGCCTGGGGACAGCTCCCGTGCACCGAGCCCATCAGCCGTGACCGAGGTTGCCCCGGAGCCAGTGACCAGGGGTCTCCGCTGGGGCCGGTGCCCGATGCCCGATTCGCCTCCGTCTGTTCCAGGTCAGCGTGGAGGTGCCGGGCGTCATGCTCAGTCTCAAGCTGCCCCAGCTCCTCCGAGTCCACCAGGTCCCCCGGGTGAGGGCTCGACCCACCGCGCCGGCCCCTCGGGCGGCCGCAGCAGTCTTCCCGCTCTGGCGCTAAGTCCTGTGCCAGGGCAACCCTGTCCTCGGAGGACAGGGGCGCCCCGCCCCAGCGCCCTCTCTGCCACGGGTGAGCTGGGGGCCGGGCCGCCGGCCCTGCCCCCGGGTGACGCCCCTCCGCCCGGCCCAGGTGTTCTGGGAAGACGGCATCATGTCCGGCTACCGCCGCCCCACCAGCTCGGCCGTAGACTGCGTGCTTAGCTCCTTCCAGATGACCAACGAGACGGTCAACATCTGGACGCACTTCCTGCCCACCTGGTGAGCGGAGGCGGGGGCGGGGCGGGGCGCGGGGTCCCGCTGAGCGGCCGCCCCCGCAGGTACTTCCTGTGGCGGCTGCTGGCGCTGGCCGAGGGCCCGGGCGGCGCGGAGCCGTACCGCCGGCCGCTGCTCGTCTTCCTGCTGCCCGCCTGCCTCTACCCCTTCGCGTCGTGCTGCGCGCACACCTTCAGCTCCATGTCGCCCCGCGCGCGCCACATCTGCTATTTCCTGGACTACGGCGCGCTCAGCCTCTACAGCCTGGGTGAGCCGCGGGCGTCAGCCGGGCGGGGGAAGGCGGGAGGGGCGCCGCGGCCTCAACCCCCGCCTACCGCAGGCTGCGCCTTCCCCTACGCCGCCTACTCCATGCCGGCCTCCTGGCTGCACGGCCGCCTGCACCGGCTCTTCGTGCCTGCCGCCGCGCTCAACTCCTTCTTGTGCACCAGCCTCTCCTGCTACTCCCGGTGGGTTCTCAGGCGGCCGAGGGGCGCAGGGCAAGACGCAGGGCGAGGGCCTCCGCACGGCCACAGCATCGGCCACTGCGCCCTATTCCGGGCTTTCAGAACCTGCAGGCTAGCACTTTCTGCGCCATCTCTTTTTTCTCTCTTTTGCAGTACTGGGAGGGATCAAACCCAGGCCTTTGCACTGAGCCACATCCTCAGCCCCTTTATGTTTGAGACAGAGTCTCGTTAAGTCTCTAAATTGCCCACCCTGGGTTTGAATTCGAGGTCCTCCTGCCTCAGCCTGCCAAGTGTTGGGATGATAGGTGTGCCCCCCCCCATGCTCACTCCTTTAAGGCTCAGCCTCCCCGCCTGTTGGCCTGTTGTTACGGGCAAGGTCCCGTGACTTGAGGGCCTCCTTAGCCAATGAGCTTCCTTGACACCAGTTTTGGCCCCAGGCCCTGTTGCCTGCCCACCCCTGCCTGGCCAAGCCAGGGGCGGTGATCAGCCTGTCCCTCCTGCACCCCAGGTTCCCGGAGCTAGAAAGCCCGGGGCTCAGTAAGGTCCTGCGCACAGCTGCCTTCGCCTACCCCTTCCTGTTCGACAACCTCCCACTCTTCTACCGGGTAAGAGCATTCGAGGCCCCAGGACCCCGGCCCCAGTCTTGGCCCTAAGCTCTCCCAGCCCAGCGCCTGACCCCTCTCAGGCCTTCTCCCTGCCTTGCTGTTCCTTTGCCAGCTCGGGCTATGCTGGGGCAGGACCCACAGCTGTGGGCAGGAGGAGCTGAGCCCCAGCCACGGCTACCACCTCCTGTGCGCACTGCTCACTGGCTTCCTCTTCGCCTCCCACCTGCCTGAGCGGCTGGCACCTGGGCGCTTTGACTACATTGGTGAGGGCCTGGGGCCAAGGGCCAGGTGAACGGGGAGCTTGGGCAGGAGGAGCCACCCTCCCTCAGCCCCTCGTCCTCCCTGAGGCTGATGGCAGAACCAGCAGCAGGTGTGCTAGGGGCTTCGTGGGCCCAGCTGGGTGTGGTGGGCCCAGGAGATGGGGCTGGTGCTGAGTGACAGGGCGGGCACCCTGACCTGCCCCTCCCTGCAGGCCACAGCCACCAGCTGTTCCACATCTGTGCCGTGCTGGGCACCCACTTTCAGCTGGAGGCGGTGCTGGCCGACATGGGAGCGCGCCAAGCCTGGCTGGCCACACAGGAGCCACCCCTGGGCCTGCAGGGCACTGTGGCCACCTTGGGCCTGGCGGTGGCTGGGAACCTGCTCATCATTGCTGCCTTCACAGCCGCTCTGCTTCGGGCCCCCAGAACCTGCCTCCTGCTGCAGGGCAGCCCCCCAGACGGGGGAGCCCAAGTCAAAGAGCAGTAAGGCCCTTCCGGAGCCCAGCCGGAGGGCAGCAGAGGCCAGGCCCCGGGCTGCGCCTGGAAGCAGAGTGGCTGAACAGGGAGAGGGCACAGGACGCGGGCACCCAGGGCATCCGCAGAGAGGGCCGTGGGGGTCGGGATGTGCTGAGGGTCTGCGAGGGGAGATGCATATGTCCAGGCCCCACTCTGGTGCTTGTGAGTGCTTAGCCTGGGGCACCTGACACAACTAACCTACGCCTGCCCGACGCTTGCTAACAGGCTAGAGGCCGCCTTCCGCCCGGAAACAGCCTGCACCCAGGCTGCGGCAGCCTAGCATAGGGCCGGGCTGGGCGATGGGAGGGGCCTCGCTAGACTAGGGCGCAGCTTTCACTTCCTGGAGCCGAGCAGAGCAGAGCACTGAATAAACGACTTGGGAAATACTTTGTGGGACTCAGGAGGTGGGGACTCCCCTCCGCCGCGGGCCCTCCCCTCCCAACCAGCTCCGCAGACTGGACACACACACAGGTCACCAGCTCCTCCCCTGGGCTTTATTTGGGAGCAGCGGGGCTGCCCACGCTGGAAGGCTGGCGGAGGCTGCGAGGGGAGGGAGTGAGGGGAGGGAGCGAGGGTCTGGCGGGCGGGCGGCGGGCAGGCCTAGGCCGTGCCGTAGAAGCGCTGGTAGGCATCCTGGAAGCCCATGTGGTCCGCCAGCTCGTCACAGTCTGGGTTCAGCTCACACACCTCCCTCCGGGGCTCCAGGGGGTCTGGAGCGGGCGCGGGGGCCCTGGGGCCCCACAGTGGCATCAGCCCAGGTGAGGTCCGGGCCACACCGCCCTCCGCTCCTCTGTGTCCCGGCGCCCCCTCTTACCCCAGCCCTTGGTCCAGGTAGCGCCGGGGTCTCTTCACCACTTCACTGCCCTCCTGCTTGGACAAGAAGGCTGCGGAGAAGGAACAGGTCAGGCAGTGTGGGCCAGGCCAGGCGGGCAGAGGGGCAGCAGAGGGGAGTGAGGTGAGGCTGGGTCCCAAGCGAGCCCCCAGGCCCACATACCTGTCCCCGTGCTGGACTCTGCGCCACTGGGCTTTGCATCTGCGGAGACAAAGGAGCAGGCTCACCCTGACCAGCCCCGGTCTCCCTCGCCGGCCAGGTGGGCAAGACACTCACCTGCCCAGGCAGCCAGGCAGAGCACAGCCAGGGCCAGCAGGGCGAGCTCCGTGGGGCCCTTCATGGTGTCTGTCCGTGCGGCTGGGCTGCTGCAGGGACTCAGTCTGCCCTTCCTGCGCCAGCACCATTTATACCTGCTGGGGCGGGTGGGACGCAAGGGATGCGGCCAGGACTAATTGGGGGCCATCATTTGGCTCTGGCCAACCCCAGAGGATGTGGCTGGGCCCTACGGGGCGGAGGACTGCCAACCGCAGGACACTGCCCGGCCCCTTCCTCAGGAAGGGCTGCCCGGAGCCCAGCCAAAGCCTGAAATACTGGCTGGGGCCTAGGGAGAGCCCAGAGAGGGAGGGAGGGGGCCTCTGAGGCCCGAAATAGGCCAGAGAAGAGCATCCCTCACAGGCTGTGATTTGCAGTCTGCCCCTGGGCAGGAGCCAGACCCCAGGGAGGGCTGGCCTGGCAGTGTAAGACCACAAGGGCAGCTCCGTGGCTCAGGCCTGCATGTCAGGGCAGGGGGCAGGGCTGTGAGACAAGACAGCCCCTCCCTCTCAGGACACAGGGAGACGGCGCACTGCCCAGGCACCCCACCTTCGTCTCCTCCTGGAAGGGACAGGAAGGCCAAAGCATCCCAGCCTGAGCGCCACTGCCCCAGCTAACGGGGCCTGGCACTCCTGTCTGGCCTGTCCTCACTCTGCCCAGGCTCAACCTCTGCCCAGCCGGACTGAACAGGAGGCATGTGTCTGGGTGAGGAAGGGGCAGGGGGGAAGATAGAGCTGGGCTCAGCTGCTGGGGACTGGAGTTCTAGCAGGGCCAGCCGGGGTCTTCCTGTCCAGGCCTCTGCCCACAGGGTGAGGGGAGGCTCTGCAGGGAAAAGCCCAGTCGCATCATCCTGCTTTTGGGGGCCCTGCCTGGCTGGAGATCAAAGGGAGGCAAGAAGATCCACCTCCATGGAGCCCCCATTCACAACACCGAGCAGCCCACCACTGTCCCTGCTCAGGACTGAGCCGGAGGGTGGGCAGCTGTCCCCGGGACGCAGAAACCTGGCCTCCCATACCCTCTGCCACCCCAGCCCCAGGCTCTTGGGACATGGCTCCAGCCTTGATCAGCGCAGGGCTCCAGAACCCCAAAGTGGGTCTTGGCCAAGAAGACGCCAGGCCCGGAAGCGTCCTCGAAGATTACAGTGTGACAGAGAAAGTTTATTTACAGATGTGGGTAGGACATGGCAAGGGCCCCTGGGCTGGCCAGCAAGACGGCAATCAGTGGAGCCCGAAGACACTCCCAGGCCAGGGATGGGGCAGCACAGGCCACACCTCGGAGAAAGCCCACCGTCCCACTCCCAGGTGGAGGGCAGTGGGGACCACTGGAGTGGGGAGTGGACGCTGCTGTTCTCCGCTGGTCCTTGTCACCCTGGCATGGGCACCGGTTCACCTGTCCTTGGGTTAGGACCCAGCATGCTGGCCACCGCCCTGGGCCTTGACTGCTCTCTGCTCCAGGGCTCCCGCCCCTCACTCGGGCTCTGTCAGCACAGCTGCCAGCTCCTGCCGCTCTCTGTGCAGGGCCTGAGATGGCAGAGAACGAATAGCCTGTCAGGGTCCAAGGAGACCAGCCCCTTTCTCCTGTGGCACCACACTCCAACCCTCTGACCGCCCCAAAGCTTTCTATCAGGATGGAGCCCAGGCCCTCACACATGCCAGGGACAACTCTATCCCCGGGCCACATCCCAGCCCTAAGAACTTTTGGTTGGGCTGCAGACAGCGCATCTTTGGAGCTCCCATGTGGGGCTCAGCACCAAACACCCACTTAAGGGAAGCCAGAAGCCAGAGCTGGGATGGGCAGGGTGTGGCTTCCGGAGCAGGGGCTGCGTTCTCCCTCCTAGGACAGGAGCCTGGGGTGCAAAGCCAGTGGAGCTCAGGGTCAGCACTCAGCCCATGCAGGAACCAGGGTCTTGTGATGGGGGCAAGGTGGAGCCGTGGCCAGGACACCACCCTGCAGCCTGCCCTGAGACAGCAATAGGCTGAGGGGCTCAGTCACTGCAACCCTTATGCCTGCGGTGTGGTCCCCGGCAGTCTGGCACACAGAGACTAGACGGGCAGAGAGAGCAGGGCTCCAGCCTCCCCTGCTGCCCCCTCACCGAGGCCTGGGCAGAGCAGGTGGGGCACCAAGAGCCACATCTGGGGACCCGCTTGTCTCAGGGAGAGGAGGGTCTGCCCCAGGAAGCAGGCGTCCAGGGGCTGCGAGTGGACAAGCTGGACACTTACATGACAGATGGAGAGAAGTCACCAGCAGTGTCCCCATCAGGCTGAGAGATTCTCCCAGAGCAGCTCATCTGTCCCTCAGGCCACTCTTACGGCCCACTGGACTGCCTGCACCCCTCCTCCCCAAGTCCCTGAGGGCCACCTGCTGGGGGGTGGGGGTGTGTGTGTGTTTCTACCGAAGGCTCCAGCGCCACTGTGAGGTGTGCACTCTGCGCACAGGGCACTCACACCACCACTGGGCCCGGAAGCTGACTGGAGGACCCAGCACCTGGCATGGCAGCCGAGGCAGGGAAAGCGAGCTCAGCTAGGCTTCACAGGCACGCTGGCCAGGGGAGGGGATCCCGGCAGCCCCCACTGAGGCGCCAATGGACACCGCGACCGCTGGCAGAGGGGAAGCCACCGATCTGGAGCTCCCCAGGGCCTGTTAGAGGGGAGCAGCGGCGGGCTGGGTACTTGCCTGCCAGGCCTGCTGCTGGCCCTGCACCTGCCGCTGCAGCACCTCCACCTGCCTGCGCCCTGCCAGGACGGCCTCGGCCAGCGCCTGGTTCTTGGCCTCCTGCCTTTGCACGTGGCGCAGGAGGGTGTCCCGCTGCTGTAGGAAGTAGGGTGCCAGGACGCTGCACAGGTCCTTCTCGGGGGTCCCGCTGGGGCGCCTGGGGGCCACAGGAAGGCCATGAGCCGGAGGGTCCTACCTCCAACCCCTGCCCCGTCCTAGGCCTGGCCTTCGCCACTGTACCGCCTCGCGCAGTCTGGGCCCCAGCGGACTGTGCTGACAGCTGTCGAGAGCAGGGCGGTGGGAGCTGGTGGCTCCTGAGGGAGGGCCCAGGAGCTGCTCAGAGGGAACTGGGAAGCAGGGCTGAAGTGGCGCGAGCACGCGGGGAGTGGACTATTCTCTTATGTTCTAAGGTCACAGAGGGCAAAACCGTGGCAAGGACACAGCAGCCCTGCAGCCTGGGGGCCTGGAGGGACGCGAGGGAGTGGAGGTCCAGAGGCCAGGCCCACCATGGCGGCAGCGTGGGGGGCCCTGTGACAGCACTGAGCGTGCAGCAGGTGCTCCCTAAACATTCACTGAAGGAAGGAAGAAAGAAATCGCAGCCAGGTGCCTGGGCAGCCTGGCCCACGTGTACTTCCGAGCTGTCTCCCACCTCCTCCCTCTGCCCTGGGCTCCCCTCTCACTGGCCCACGGCCTGTTCCAGCAGTGCGCTGTGTGTCACCCTCTCAGGGCCCAGGAGCCCACAGCTGCCTCTGCCAGCCCCTTTCTCACCAGGCCGGCCCCTTGTGGTCTTTGCCGTCTTCCACAATTCTATCCAAGGAGTTCAAGACAGTTTCTAGGTTCCCTTCCTCTTTGATTTCTGAGATTTCCTCCTAAGGGAAAGGAGGAAAGAGCAGCAATGACACTGGACAAGCTGGTGGGGCAAATATGCTAATCCGAGAACCCCACTCAGGAAGATTCAGCCAATTTCCATTGTCTCTTTCTACCTTCCCAGAAGTTCCAACTTTTCTACAATATGTGGCTTTTCTAATTGAGGCAATAAGATATAAATGGCAAACTTTTAAAAGAGCCCGCAGCAAGCCCCTCCAGCTGGCCTTCCCCTCTGCACACTGCCGGCTGCCTGGGCTATCCTCGGCAGTGGTGGACAGGAGGGAGCCAAGTCCTCCTCTGCATCCCCAGTAGGATTCAGTCAGTTTAATGCCTCTCTGAGCCAGGCACTGGGCCGGGAGTGGGAGCAGGACGTACACAGCGAGGGAGGCTTTGTCCTGCCCTTGCTGAACTCAGGACGGAGAAACACATAATTACACCATAGGCCAAGGGGCGAAGGGGCCATTTAGGATGCTCATGATAGGGAGGGGTGCCGGGCCTGCAGCTGCAGAGGAGATAGGTCACTGCCCCGGGAGGACAAGCTAGAGACAGAAGCCAAGCCGCTGATGGTGGCTCTGGGCTTCCGGCCACTCACCCGGATGGATGCCTGCAGCTGAGTGACAAACTTGTCGTGGATCCGCTGGGTCATCTCAGGCTGCAGCTGGTGGAAGTGCTTGTAGCAGTCAGCAAACCTCTGGTAGCTGGCAGGAGAAGAAGGTCGACCCTGCCCATCACCACCCACCCGCCTGGGCCCTGGGCCTCTGCCTCGGCATGGCCTCCAGCTGTCTGCTCTGGGCTGGCTCATGCTTCGGATGAAAATCTCCCTTGCAGGGCGAGTGACAGGATGGCTCGGCCTCACAGTGCCCGCAGTGCCCTCCTGTGTGCAGCCCCACTTCACAGGGGGCCGAGGTGCAGCATCACTGAGCTCAGGGGTCCGAGGCCAGCCTGGCTACCCAGCAAGACCCCATCTCCAAAATAAAACACAAAACAATGAAGGAACACAACAGAAAGGGGTCGAGATTACTGCAAAGGAGCCCAGAAAGCCGCATCTGCTCAGGTACCCAAGAGGAGGCCAGGAGCGGGACAGGGCCCACCTCAGGAGCACAGGAGGAAAGCAGGTTCTTCCCCGAGCGAGCGCAGTGAGGACTTGGGAGCAGTGTGACTGCCCTGTGCGCTCCCTGAAAAACACTCAGCTGAAGCAGGAGAGTGACAGACTTCAGAAAACACACATCCCTCAAGAGGAAAATTTTATCTTCTCATGCAAGCCGTGGCGTCCTGCCCTCTGCAAGGTTGCGGGGCCCCCCAGGGACTCGTAGCAGTGGGACAGGCACAGCAGGCCCACATGAGCAGGGTGCAACTGGGACTGAGGCGATTCTGGCTGCCCACTCCGGGCCCCAGCTCCATGCCTGGCCTGCTCGGGCAGGCGTCCTTGCTGGAGCCTCCCCTGTGGCCTCTCTGCCTCTCTCCTTCACCCCAGGAGAGATCGGGCCCTGCCTTGGCCTTTGGGGGATGCAGGAGGCCACCCAGCTGCATCCTGGGAAGGGTCCTGGCTTTGCTTGGGTTCAAATCCTGATGCTACTACTCATCCGCTCAGACCTTGGACAACCTCTTCCTGTCAGCCTCGGCTTCCTTGTCTGCCAAGTACGGACGAGGATGACGTCTGTATCTCAAAGCTGCTGCGAGCATCACTGCAGTCCCATGTACAAAGTGGTCAGCTGGCACCTGGCACACTGACCCCCAGCTTCCTCGGTCCTGTTCTCACAAGCACTCTGAACCCTGGGGGTGCAGAAGCCAGTAACGTCGAGGTGTCCTGCAGCCGAGGAGTCGCTTCCCCTCGGAAGGCCGTAAATGTGTTTTGGCTGCATATACAGAAGCCACCCCAGCGCCAGGAAGAGCCTGTCACCTTGCCATCAGGGTCTGTCCTCGCCCTAGAGAAGAGGCTAAATTACAAGGCTAAGCCTATCATCAGCGAAAGTAACCTTTAAAAACTGCACTAAAGAAAATCCAGTAAAACCACACTGCTGTGTTCCAGTGACCACAGCAACTGACTTGAGTTTGCTCTTTGTGCTCTGAGAACCCTGCAGATTCTGAACACTGAGAAAGCATTTCAGTGCCCCCACTGAGGGACGCGAGAGTGCAGGCAGCTCGGCAGAGGTGAGGCCTCCAGCCCAGGACCGCAGGACAAACGGCTCCCCAAACCAAGCCTTCACAGAAGTCTGACTCAGACTACTGGGGCAGTTAAGGCCCGATCCGAGCCCGGCCGTCGGTCAGTCTGTCAGGTGATAAGTGCAGATACACTGCAGGACATCACCGGGCCACAGCTTCGGACCAGCGGGTGGCAGGCGGGCGGCCCGTTCACAGCTTTCCCGCCAGAGGGCAGCAGCGAGCGGCGCAACCCAGGCGGAGGACAGGACGTGCGGGGCCTGTTAAGGACGCAGATGCTAGGTCTTCCTCGAGCAAACACGTCTGTGTCTGGACTTTTCTTTCCGCCTTTGTGGACCCGTGCACACTAGGCAGGCCCAGGACGGAGAAAGGGAGAAGAGGCAATAGAAAAGAGGGGTATTGAACCCAGGGCCTCTGTACTGAGCTACACCCTCCGCCCTTTTTTAATTTTTTGAGACAGGGTCTTGCTATGTAGTTCAGCCTGACCTTGAACTCACTATGTAGCCCAGGCTGGCCTCGAACTTACAGCAGTCCTCCTGCCTCAGCCTCCTGAGTACTGGGATTACAGGTGTGCAACACCACGCCTAGCTCTTAAACAGAAAATTTTAAAAGGTAATTGTTTGGGCCGGGGATTTAGCTCAGTGGTGCCCGCCACCTGCCTCGCAAGCGCAAGATCCTAAATTCGACCCCTGGTACCAAAAAATAAAAAATAAAATAAAATAAAAGGTAATTGTTTGAAAAGATCAATAAACCAAGTGCGGTGGTATGTGCCTGTAAGCAGCACTCAGAGGCTGAGGCAGGAGAACTGCTGATTGTTCAAGGTTGCCCTGAAATATATACTGACACCCAGTCTCTTATTAATTAATTAAATAGCCAAATGTAGCAGCGTACACTTAAAATCCCAGCTACTTGGGAGGAAGCTGATGCAGAAGGATTGCAAGTTCAAGGCCACCTTGCACAACTTAGCAAGACCATGACTCGTAATGAACAGGGTTAGGGGTGGTAGAGCACTTAGCTTGCACAAGGTCTTCAGTCTAACCCCCAACATTACAAATAAAATAAAACAAAAAAGTTAATAAAATAGACCTCTGGCTAGATCAAGTCCAAAAATAGAAACAATACATAATGGAAAAGGGGGAAATAATAAAAATTAAATAACTGAAATATTTTGAACAGTTCTAAGTTAATAAAATACGACAACAGGGGTAAATTTTAGAGAAAGACTATAAAATAATCCCTGGCACAAGAAGAAATAAAACCTGCACCCAGATATGGTGGCGCACACCTATAGTCCTAGCACTCGAGAGGCTGAAGCAGGAGGATCACCACAAGTTCAAGGCCAGCTTGAACTACATACCAAGACCCTGTCTTAAAAAAAAAAAAGAAAAGAAAAATGAACCCTGCAAAGATCTGTAGCGATTGAACAGTTATACACCAAGATTTGCAACAAGTACAGTGCAGAACGTTGCCGAGAAGAGAGCCCTGTCTGCTAGCACCACTACTGCCCCACAAAGGCTGGGAGCCCCATCAATTCCCCAGAGCCCCAGCCTGCTGCGCTTTTCCAGATTTAAAAGTCCAAACTTAAGGAACAGAGATCTACCAGTGCAGATCAACACTAATGAACTAAAGAAAAATTACAAGATGATCTTAACAGTGGAAGAAATGAACATCTGATAAAGTTCAACATGTATTTATGCATTTGCAGCCTTTTATATTTTTTATTTTTTATTTTTTTTGGTACTGGGGATCGAACTCGGGTACTTGCACTTGCAAGGCAGGTGGCAGCACCACTGAGCTAAATCCCTGGCCCAATATATTTTTTTAAATTTTGAGACACAGTCTTGCTAAGTTCCCCTGGCTGGCCTCAAACTCTTAGTGATTCTCTTGCCTCAACTTCCCAGAGTGCTGGGATTACAGGGGTGTACCATCATACCCAGCTGTAATCATGATTTTCTTTTTTTTGGTACCGGGGATTGAACTCGGGTCCTTGCACTTTTGAAGCAGGTGGCAGAGCCACTGAGCTAAATCCCCAGCCCAAATCATGATTTTCTTCAAAGAAAATTCTCAGAAAAACTGAATGAGACAGGGACTTTACTAAAGATTACGAAGACATCTACATTAGGAAGAAGACAAAAATAATTATCATTCTTATTGTTTAACTTTTTTTTCTTTTAGACAGGGTCTCACTATGTAATTCAGGCTGGTCTTGAATTCTCTGAAATCCTCCCGCCTCAGCCTCATCAGTGCTGGGATTACAGGCATGTGCCAGCACACTTGCCTGTTTAACATAACTGATAACACTGTTAAAAAAAAGAAAAGAGGGCTGGGGATTTAGCTCAGTGGTTTCGCCGCCTGCTGCGCAAGCACAAGGACCCAAGTTCGATCCCTGGTACCAAAAAAGAAAAGAGAGGAGCATTGTGGTAGTGCACGCCTGTGATCCCAGCACTTGGGAGGGTGAGGTAGGAGGACTGTTGTAAGTTCAAGGCTGGCCTGGACCACATAGTGAGACCCTGTCTTGAAAACCAAAAAAGGTGGAGGGGCCCTCTGGGGATGTAGCTCAGTGCAAAGGCCTGGAGTTCAATCTCTAGTAACCTCCCTCGCCCCCAACAACCAGTACACAAGACTGGCAGAACAATTATCTGCCATAAAGGCTCCTGGAGCCTTTCACAGAAAATACTTCTGCGAGCACACCTGCAGCAACATCTGACACAGAGAGAGATTTCTGCCTGTACCACAAATGCCAGTAAATTTTAAAAAAACAAACAAAAAAACCCTCAATGTTTTTGTAAAAAGGAGTGGTGGTCCGAAGAAAAAAAGATATTTTTTTTGAGACACACATATTTCCTGCGGCTCTTCTTCCCACAGCTCTGTGATCACCCTATCTGGAGCTGTATCTGCCCACTGAACGGAACTCCAGGAGGACCGAGGCCTCCAGCACCTCATGCTAACCCGGCATGGACGTGGTCATGAGGAGAAAGTGCGCACACTGATGGGAAAGATCTGGGCCCAGGAGGGACAGAGACAGAAAAGACGGAAGTCTGCGTTTTGTTTTTGAGATGGGGGTTGGGATTTCCCCACACTGCCCAGGCTGGCCCTGATCTCTGGGCTCTGTTGATCCTGCTGCCTCAGCCTCCCGGGTGGCCGGGACTGCAGGGACACATCACTGACCGGGGCCACAGGATGGAGTCTTCATGGTAGACCAGGGACAGTGGCGACAGAGGCCCGGATAGGCAGTGCCAGGGCACCACACGGAATTCTGGTGACTGCTGCAGCACTTACGCGTCCACCTGATGGGGTTGGGGTGAAACTCTTCCTCTGAAGGGTGCACGCACGCTGTGGTGTGTGTGCACCCCTGTAGTCCCAGCACTCGGGAGGCTGAGGCAGGAGGATCTCAAGTTTGAGTCCAGCCTGTGCAATTCAGCGACTTAGTGAGACCCAGAAATTTAAAAATAAATGAATGTATAAATAAAGGGGGCTGGGGATACAACTCGTTGCAAAGGTCCTGGGTTCAAATTCCAGAATGGCCAAAAAAAGTGTCCACTATTGCTTACTGTTGATATAAAAGTCAACGAAAGACAGAGGGGGAAAATGCCTTATGGTAATGCTTGGTCCTCACAACCTCCCAGCGAAGGCATTTATGAGTCCCACAAGTGCTAGCAGTTTTCTACGTGCACTTGGCCCCGTTAATTCTCCAAAGGACCCCGAGGGGAGGCGCTGCCGCGGCGTCCGACAACCAGGAACCGGCCCGGCGAGCCCGGAACCCCTCCCTTAACGCCGCGTTTTCATCGGAACGAGGCTTGCTGCAGAAGGAGCAGCCAGGTGGCGCGGGTTACCTGCGAGCCCTCCAGGCTCCGCATCTGACAGCGCAATGCGGCCTCAGCGACCACCACCGCGGACCCCGAACCCGCTGCCCACGTGACCGTGCCTCCGGGCCGATCTCGCGGGATTTGGACCGCGGCTGGGCCCAACCTCTCTCCCCCTCACCGTCTCCCGCTTTACCTCCCGGCGGCGACCAGCTTCTCGAGAAAAGTGTCCACCATGGTGTCGAGGAGCTTCACTCGCGAAATGCTAGTGCCAGGTGGCATGGATTCCGAAGAGGGCCCGTCCAGCCTTTTCTCAGCCGCCGCCTCATCGAGGCCGCTGACTTCAGCCATATTGAAGTCAAACCGCCAAATCGAACTGCCTCGGCCGTCCCCCCCATTGGTGCTCCCGATTGGCCGCCCCTGCATTGGTTGCCTCTGATTGGGGCGGTGGAATGTCTGTCACCGAGGCGGGCGGCTGGCGGAACTGGCAAGTAGTGCTTCAACGTACAGAACGGGAAAATACAAACAAACCAAAGCCCACGGGCTGAATAAAAACTTTTAATTACACTTCAGAGACTTCGTACAGTGCAACAGAGAATATTCGCTAGTACAGTGTTCACAAGAGTCCATGTTAGCATTTTAAATGAACCTGCATTTCCATCCCCGTCCTTCAGTACTCCAATCAGGTTGCCTGTCTCCCCCAGGCTCTCCAAGTGTTGTTTTTGTCTTTTTAGTTTTGGTTACCAACACATTAAAACTTCCAGCTGCTTTGGTCTCCAGTTTTAGGAAAACAGAAGGCCACTGTCCCATCCCCACCCAGACATATTTAAAACCCATTCCCGGTCCCTCAACTTAATACCGGGAGTCCCTTTAGTTCTTTAGTTCCACACAGAGCATCCTCTTAAACAGAGGGAAGGGAGAGGGAGGGAGGATGAGTATGAATGAATAAGAGAGAAAGGACTGAAATACTGTGCAGGAAAAATGAATCCGAAGGAAAGGAGTCCGGCAGAGAGAAACACGGCTGTCTGTACTTCCAGAGCGGCCTCGGTCTAACTTGTGAGCCCCTGCTCCAGACTCCCAAGTGCTGGGATTTCCCGGCTTGTGCCACCACGCCCGGCCTGTCCGTGATGCTTCACCCACTCTGCCACCGAGGGAAGGAGGGAAGATGGGAGAAAACCAATCTCCAAAGGTCTTAACAGGAAAAGCTCCAAGAGGAGGGCCTTTGCTGCCATGATACATGGAGGTTCTTAGGGTGGACGAGGGACAGAAGAATCAAATGATCTGTGGGCTCAACTCTTGGGACAGCCATTTGTGAGTAGAAATTGAAGGGCTCTCTTGACAAAGTGCATGAAGGGACAAAGAAAAAATAAGAGAAGTGAATGGGAGAAAAGCCTTAAAGATGGGTCCAGGTGGGGAGCGGTAGCGGTGAAGGTAGAGAAATACGGTTTTCAGGTTTCTCCCTGGCCAGGATGGAAGAACGAGGCGCAGCCATAAGAAATCAAGGCTTCAGGTAACTAGCACCTTTCAAATTGGCACCATGGCCTTTCCCAGAGTGGGACCATTAAAAAGGTTTAAATATCTTTCAGGCCAAATATCTCAAATAGGAAGGCACTGACTGCCTTCCTCTCATTCCATTTATGGCAGCTTTCAGCCCGCCACCCAGGCTTGGTGGAGGAGGTGGAGTGGGGAGGATGACGCAGGGAAGGAGCGCCACCTCCCGGCTCCCGAGGACGGCGACTGCAGATGATCTCGGCAGTATCTGGCTGGTGAACTCGGTGGTCCTAGTATTGGGCAACTTCCTGAACTTTCCTTATTCTCTTGCAAGCATGGGTGCTGTGTCGAGGAAGATTTCATATCCAGGGAGAGGAAAACAACATTCCACACCTCAAAAACTTGCATGGTGAGACAACTCTGTGCCCAGTCTGGCGACTGGGGTGTCGTGTGTCCCTCAGCTGCCTGTGGTGAGAACCTCCACCATTTTCTCCTAGGCTTGGCTCAGTGGCCTGAGGAGAAGTGGTAGGTGACATGTGGCCTCTTGTTGCTTTGCAAACCAACTGCTCTCTCAACCAGACTTTTCCAGATGGTGCTCCAACTCCAGTGTGCCCCAGACAGCCTGTCCCTCCCACTGTAGTCCCCTGGCCCTGGGGAAGTCAACAGCTCAGGGCTGCTGGGACCAATGGGATGCTGAAAGGATACAGGACAGGAAACGGGTCAAGGGAGAAGCTATATGACATTTCTACCTGTCTGAGGAAGGGTAGGCTCTGACAGCAGGACTAAGACCATAGCTTAGTTCACAGATGTTTAAAAAACACACACAAAAAATAAACTAGTATTCACTTTTGTCCCTACCCTAACGACTCCTCTAGAGAGGACGAGGGCTCTGCAGAGCCACAGTCCCTGTGCAAAGGTGCCTGGGCACTTGCCCCAAGAGGCAGGGAACAGAAGGTCAGTCCCAGATTTTAAAAAGCAGGTGTAAGAGATGAAGCGGGAGGGCTGGGAGCAGCTGCTTAGGCATGTGGGCTGGAACCAGTGGTAGTAAGCAGGCTGAGTTCGAGGCCCTTCTCAGCATCTCAGGACCGTGCAGCAGGAAGAGGGAGGAGCCAGCAGGATGGAGGTGGGGTGAGATCCTCGGTCGGTCGGATGGAGCACGGGGACTGCATGAGGCGGCCCAGTTCAGGAGAATTAAAAATAGCAGGGGCAGGGGGCCAGGCGTGGAACCTCTTCAGCAAGAGCAGTTCACAGGCTCCGCCCCGTCCTGGACCGGCCACGTGGCCGGGGGACATCGGAGGAGAGTGCACTCGCTCCCTGCTTTGCCCTAGCCCGGAGTAGTGTGGGAAACGCAAGCTGCTCAGCCTCGGCGTCTACCAGTGCCTGGAGTCCACCAGCTCGGGACGCAGGCTGAGCTTCTTGAGGCTCTCGTAGCCCACCACAATGACAATGGTGGAGGGCGTGGCTGAGATGATCCTGGCCGAGAGCCCCTTCATGAGGCCCCAGGGCCCCTCTTCCGCCATCAGCTGTCTGAAGGTTAGAATGATGGAGCTCTTGCCTTCAACCTGCAAAAGTCCACAGGTGGCGGATCACGGCCCACGGCGGTCAGAGCCCCTCTGCTCCTCCTGGCTCTGGCTCTGGCTCTGCCTCTGCCTCGGGTGCAGGTGGGGAGCCAGACTGGAGTCAGGGGCTGGTTCTGCTGGGGGGGGGGGGGGCAGCGCCGCAGTGATTTCCTGTGAGCTGGGGCACCAGGCGTGGGTGGGGTGGGGTGGAGTCTGCTCCCTGGCTCACAGCACAGCGCTGGGTAATTAGTGCTTTGCACCTCAGTGTCCTCGAATGTAGAATAGCAGTGACAGTACCTCCACCATGAGGTTGTTTTGAATGAAAAGGAAATATTTCTAGATGCTGCCAACAGTGGCTGGCAGACACTAAGTGCTCAGTGTTGCCTCTGGACCGGGGGCTTCCTCTGATCAGGGAGGCTGGGTTTCTTGTTCTTCTTTTTTGGTACCGGGGATCGAACTTGGGTCCTTCCGCTTGTGAGGCAGGCAGTGGAACCACTGAGCTAAATCCCAGGCCCTCTTTCTCGTTTTTGAGACAGGGTCTGGCTATGTAGCTCAGACTGGTTTTGAACTCACCATGTAGCCCAGGCTGCGCTCAAACTGCTATCCTCCTGCCTCAGCCTCCCAAGTGCTGGGATCACAGGCATCGCCACCACGCCTGGCTGGCTGAGGCTCTCCATATCCCCTTACCCCCAGCTTGGGAGCCCCTCAGAGTAGAGACCTGTTATTTCTTCCATTCTCCTCCCAGAACACCAGCACTAGGTCCACAGGAGGGGGGGGGTCTGACCCTGAACACTTCTGCTCCAAAACATTCAGATACCAAAGTTTTCTTTTCTTTCTTTCTTTCTTTTTTTTTTTTTGGTGCTTTTTTTTAAGACAGGGTCTCCCTATGTAGTTCAGGCTGGCCCTGAACTCATTATGTAGCCCAGGGTGGCCTTGAACTCATGGTGATCCTCCTGCCTCAGCCTCCTGAGTGCTCAGATTATAGGCGTGCACCACCATGCCTGGCAATGTGTTCATTTTCAAATGTCAGGGAAGCATTCTTTTCCTAGGGACAAAAATACCTATGTTTGCTACACATCTCCTTTCTGACACTGATCCTCAACCAGTTGTTTATTTTTTCTTTTCTTTTTTCAGATGGGGGTCCCCTGTCATTTCCAGGCTGGTCTCAAGTGACCCCCTGCCTCCCCAGTAGCAGGAACTACAGGCTGCACTGCCACACCCAGCTCCCCTACCTACTAAGGTTCCTTTCTTTTCCTCCTCTCCTCACCATCTGGTTAGAATGACCACACCCCCGTACATCTTTGATTCTCTGCCTTTCTTCCTCAGTATACGTTCTTTTTTTTTGGTACCGGGGATCAAGCTTGGGAACTCCACCTTTCTTCCTGAGGTACCCAAGCCCAGCATTAAAATCTCCCTTGATTCCCACCTGAAACCCCCGACCCTTGGCTTGCCCTACACCATCAGTAGGTTCTCCCTCCAGGGGAAAGACCAGAGTCATTGAGTTGACTGCAGACAGACTCATTTCTGGACAGTGCTGCCATGGGCTCTGTTGGTGTTTTTGCCGGGCCCACACAGCCCAGTCTGTGAAAGCTATTTAAAAACAGTCTCTGGGGCCGGCGATTTAGCTCAGTGGTTTTGTCGCCTGCTGTGCAAGTGCAAGGACCGGAGTTCAATCCCCAGTACCAAAAAAAAAAAGAACCAGTCTCTGTAAACAGCCCATGCTCTGGTGGAAAAACCAGACGTAGGAAATGAGTGAAATCAACACCTCCACGAACCGCAAGTATGCAAGACGAGGGAAGCGTGGTTTACAGGCTAAGGAACAGGATTCCAGTTGACAGCTGGAAGAAACAGTAAGAAAGCTGGGCTCAGTGGTGCACACTTGTGATCCCAGCGCTCGGGAGGCTGAGGCAGGAGGATCACCTAGAGTTTGAGGCCAACCTGAACTGCACAGCAAAACACTGTCTTGAAAAAAACAATAATTAATTTTAAAGAGCAGGAAGAATTCCTGGAGGCAGGCATGGGTCACAGGACAGCTCTCAAGGCAGTGGACAGTACTGGTTGCTTTCTGTGGCCTCGCAGAGGCTGCCCCTCCCGGGAGCGGGGGGGGGGGGGGGGGCTTTACCTGCACACGGGTCCGGATTACGTCCATGGGGTTGGTGAGGACGGAGGCAGTGGCGGCAGCCAGGGGCCCGGAGACGGCCTGGAGGACGATGTGTGGACATTCCTTAGGGCACAGGTGCGAGAGCTGCTCTGCAACCAGGAGAGATGCAGCCTCAAGATGCGCCCCGCGCCTCTCACCCCTACACCGGTGCCGCTACGAACTGTCATACACCTCTGCCGCCAGAAGTCACCCTTTAAAACTGGGCAGGAGTCCTGCAAAGCCTCCCTGCTTGCTGACTCTTTCATCCAATGGGCAGAAAACCCCTCCTGACAGAACACCGGGCCCTTGCTCTGCTCCTCCCAACTCAGGCTGCAGAAGCGGCTGCACACTGCCTGCGTATGCATCGAGAAAGTGCTGAATCCCATTAAAAACGGTGGCTGACGTCTGTGGCCTCGGAGGGACGGCGGCTAGGGGGTGCAGTGGGCAGGAGTCCTTTCTCCTTCACACCTGTACCTTTCCCCAGCTCTTGTACTGGGGCCATGCGAATGCTTTCACAAATGAAACAATTAATATTAAAATAGAAAGTCTTATTCTGCAGCAGGAGCTTTTCACTGGCCTATATCCTGAAAGAATTCACTTTTCAAATTGCTAATGACGATGGACACAGATTCACTCATTCCCACTCCCTGCAATTAAATACTGCACTTATACCTTCTGGGGGTGAAAGACAAAAAAGTTCATTCCTTTATTCCAGGAAGACTTATTAAGCAAGTCATAAACTGGTCACCCCCCCACCCCCCTCCTGAGGGTTTAACAGTGAATAAAAGAGCCTCAAATTGCTGCCCTGAGGAAATTCACAATCTAGTGGGGGAAGACGACAATGGACAAACAAAAAAGCAAAATGCATAGCCATACCAGAAAGTATATGCTGTAGATACAAATAAAGTACCAAGGCAGGGGTAAGAGAGAGGATTTCATTTTAAACACCGTAGGTGTGGAAGCCCTTCCAAGAGACTAAAGCTTGGGCAAAGACCTCAAAGTAAGCCCCACGTTGTAGGTAAAGAGCTTTCAGCCACAGGACAACGCCTATGCAAGGGTCCTGAGGCAGTGTTCCCAGCATCAAGTCCAGTAGCCTGGAGCAGAATGCAAGAGAGAGGGAGGGATGCAGAGGTTAGAGGGAGGGATGCAGGGGTTGAAGGGAGGGCAGGGCAAGGGGGAAAAATAAGAACCAAGAGAGTGGGCCAGGGATTTAGCTCAGTGGTTCCGCCACCTGCCTCGCAAGCACAAGGACCTGAGTTCAATCCCCCGTACAAAAAACAAACAAACAAACAAGAACCAAGAGAGTATGTAAAGGTGCACATCTTCAGTGATGAATGTCATTATGTTGTACACCTAAAATGTACCAATAAATGGATATACAAAAAAAATAAAAGAATGCATGAGAGAAAAAGAGTAAAGGAAACCCAGCAGGTAATCACTTACAGCCTTGGAGCACTGCATGGAATCAAACTTTTACACTGAGTGAGACTGGACATAAAATCCTTGTATCGCAGTGATTGCCTCTCAGCTTTCTCTCCCGCAACCAGTCACCCTACCTGTAAGACCCTTCCCCTCATACTCCTACCTTTGGTAGTTTGTGCCCAGGCGACTACAGACTGGAGAAGTGCAGCAGTGGTGCCGGCAGGGCAGAAGGACAGTTGTGCAGTCCCAGGTGGCAAGACAGAATCCCCCAAGCCCTGCCAGAGCCCTCTCCCCGTTTCTAATCTCTTTCTCCCCAGAGTTCTGTAAACAGAAACGTGAACTTTGGGCTGTGTCTCATGGGTGCCCTATTTCTCCCGCAAGGAAGGTATTTTGCAATCCTTAGACCGCTGCCTTCGTGGGCCTCTCTGCTCTGGCCCTGGGCCTACAAGCTGCAGTGGGATTCAGGTTCCCATTCTAAGGGTGCAATGTGCCACCTTCCTGGGCTTAAGCAAAGAATGAAATAACAAAGGCAAAAGGGTGGTGAGGAGTCCATGTCTTCCCTTCCTCTTCACTAAGGAGAGGAAAGAAATGTTTATTGAGCCAGGTGTGGTGGTACGGATCTGGAAGCCCAGCACTTTGGGAGCCTGAGGCAGGAGGATCACTAAGTTTGATCCCAGTCTGGGCAATTTAGCAAAGACTTGTCTCAAAATTAAAAAAAAAAATTTTTTAAAGGCCTGGAGATGTCGCTCAGGGCAAAGGCCTGGGGTTCAACTCCCAATACTGCAAAATAAATATATAACTCGTTTAAAAAAGAGGGAATTTCTTGAACACTTATTATCTGCAGGGAGAAGATGAGAAGTCTGTTAACTAATTGACTTGGGCAAGTAATATAAATGAACATTTATTTAATGCTTATTAAATGCCAGGCACTGAGATGAGTACAGTGGACTTATGAACTCTATCGGTTCCTGAGGGCTGGTTGTTGCTCAAGTTGGTTGTAAGTCAATACAGCTGAGATCTGGATGTTTACCTGGGTACATGCTATAGATAACAAGAGGCAGGTAAATCTTCCATTAACCTAATTAACCCAGGTTGTTCGTGTGTCAGGCTGGTCATAACTTGAGAGTCTACTGTATAAGACATGAATCTGGGAAATGTCCTCAGAGAACATATTCTGAGCCAGGCATGGTGGCACATGCCTGTAATCCCAGCACTCAAAAAGCTGAGGCAGGAGGATCACCTCAAGTGCCAGGCCAGCCTGGGCTACATAGTGAGACTTTGTCTCAACCCCCCCCCCAAAAAAAACAAAAAAACCTTATAATTAGGGACCAGGGCCTTGGATGTAGTTCAGTGGCACAGCACCTGCCTGGCAAGCACAAGGCCCTGAGTTCGATTCCCAATAACAAAAAAGAAAAAAAGGGGCTGCACAAGGACCCAACTTCGATCCCCAGTACCAAAAAAATAAAAATAAAAATAAATAATAAAAATAAAGTGTCTGAATAAGAAAAAAAAAATAATAAAAATAAATATATATATATATGGGATTTGGAAGTTGGGGGTAAAATATTCCAAATTATGACAAGTGCTAAGAAAGAAATAAGGTGCTAATAGGACACACATGCATAAATACCAAATAGTTTCTCTGGTGTGAGAAACTGAAAGTGTAAATAAGGACTAAATGTATAATAGATATTGTGAAATAGGAAGAAAAGGGGCAAAGGGGAAGGAAGTGGGGGGGGTAGGGGAAAGGAAAGAAGGGAATGGAATTAATATGAGAAAATGGAAAAATAGGAACAAAATCTTTGTAAATAAGAGGGGTTGAAGGGAGGGCAGGGGAAGGGGGAAAAATAAGAACCAAGAGAGATTATGTAAAGGTGCAAATTTCCAATGATGAATGTCATCATATTGTATACCTAAAATGTACCAATGATTAGAATGCAAAATAGGAAGAAAAGGTCCAAAGGGGTAGGGGTAGTGGGAGGGGCAGGGGAAAAGAAAGAAGGGAAAGGAAAAATGCTGAGAAATGGAAAAAATGGAAATAAAGTCTCTGTAAATAGGGAAGGGTGGAGGGCGTGAAGGGAGGGCTAGGAATGGGGAAAAAATAAGAACCAAGATGCATTATGTAAAGATACAATTCCCAATGAGAAATGTAAATGTGTTGTATACCTACAATGTACCAATAAAAGAATTTAAGGAAAAAAAAAAAAGAAAACCAAAAAAATCCTCTTCCTCATGGGGCAGGGAGAGAAGTCTTTTTTGCAAATCTGAGCCCCAAAGCCCAAGGAGGAGCCAGCCACACAAAGAACAGGGGAAAGGTGTCCCAGGCAGACAGGACAGAGCAGGACCTGAGCCCATGGCCAGGTCGGGCTGGAGCCTGGAGACCAGTGGCACGGGTTGGGGCTGGAACATCAGACGGAAACAAACTCCTCTTCGGCCGTGTAGGTGGCGGGAAGGAAGTGGATTTGCCCTAAATGCCCTCAGCACTGGCAGATGTGTACCAAAAAGGAGGACGATGACCAGTCTACTCACTCGGAAAACACTTGCCAAGCCTTTTTGATTCCCAGACCCTGAGCTGGGCAAGAGGAGGAACAACAGAACAAAAGGAGGCAGATGCCTGAGCCATGTGGCAGCCGCCAGGAGGTCTGGCACCCAGAAGGAACACCTGCCGCAACTCCGGACAGGTTAGTGTGAGAACGGAGATGCTGGAAACACAGGGAAATGAGCTGTAATTGTAAGTGAAATCAAATAAGAACAGACACAGACTGCAGAGGAAATGCTCACCTTTCCTGGGAAGCTTCTTCTTGGGTTCGTTTTTTTTTGGTGGTACTGTAGATGGAACCCAGGGGCTGCTCTACCACTGAGCTACCCTGACTCTTTCAATGTGTTTCATCTTGAGTCTTTTTGTTTCTGGTACCTAGAATCAAACTCAGGGCCTTGCGCTTAGGAGGCAGGCGTGGTGCCACTGAGCTAAATCCCTGGCCCTTTTTTTTTGAGACACAGTCTCGCTATGTAGTTCAGGCTGGCCTTGAATTCACTATGTAGCCCAGGCTGGCATCAGACTGGAAGCAATCCTCCTGCCTCAGCCTCCCGAGTGCTGGGATTACAGGCGTGCACCACCATGCGCAGCTCAGGAATCCAAATTTTTAATAAATAGCTTATGAATATTAAATGAAAGATTGTGCAAAACAAAAGAAGAGAACGCTAACAAAAAAAGAATATATCGTCAGGATAGAAGAAGCGCTAGAAAGGTACAGCGCCACAGAAACAAGATGATTTCAGGTTAGGAAGTCATTTCAAAGTTTCAGCTGGACAGAGAATGGCCACCACAAAAGGTAAGGCACCAGCAGCGGACTAGGGGGGCTGCAAGGCACAGACCACCCTAACCCAGGGGAGCCAGTCGGCCTGGGCCTCAGGCAGCAGCTCGCTCAGGTCCCGCGCAGGGCCAGGGCCAGCATGGCCCTTTCAGGAAGCAGCTCAACAGTGTGTCTGTTGAGGGGCCTCAGAGCATGTTCTTCCTTCAGGTAACAGGAAAGCGGAGACAGGGTCTTTTACAAATGGGAGGGGCCAAGAGATGGGGGAGGGGCGCGGGAGGGAGAAGGGGTGAAGACAGAGTCAAGACGCGTCCCTCCCGGGCCTGCGCCAGCTCCCCGTGAGCAATGCCATCTTTGCTGCTGCAGACACGCAGCAATGACAAATAAAAATGGTAGGGCGGGGCTGGGGATGTAGCTCAGTGGTTCCACCGCCTGCTGTGCAAGGCCAAGGACCCGAGAGTTCGATCCCCGGTGCCAAAAAAATAAAAAATGAAAAATGAAAAAATAAAACGTGGTCCTTTGACCTAGCATCCCAGCTTCTGGAAAACATTTTGAATAAAATGTCTTATTAACAAAGACACACTGTGGGAGTCAAAAGATTGAATGTTCTCTCCTGCTTGTGTTTGACAATGCTGAGGCTCTTAAGTTCGAGGTTACCCATCAGTTTATCCGCAGACCCCAAACACCAGGCAGCTTTTGTCCCCTGACACCTCCCAACCCTCTGTCCATACTCGGCTGCCTCAGGTCGATTCCAGTGCCCCATGGCATGTGCGGTGCCCTGTGAACCACACCTACCTCGCCTGTGGGTCCCCTGGGCGTGGAGCCCACTCCCCGGTGCAGCTGCCTCCACCCCAACACGCACCGATGTCGCCCACCGCTGGCCTCCCCCCCCCTCCTGCCCGCTTACCTGCATAGAAGTGGTAGAAGGGCCACCAGACGGCGCTGTTTGGGATATAGGTAAGTAGCGAAGCCACGTAGCCTCGGTAGAAGCCTCGAAGCCCATCGGCCCTCAGGATCTGCCTGATGATGTCCTTGGTTTGGCCAAAGGCAACGACCCCCTGTCCTTCTAGGTTCCCACGCACCTGGAAGCGGCCCATTTTCTCGCCCTTGCGCTGCATCATCAGGTGTTGAGACACCACGTCGATGGGCACCGTGATACTTTGGGCCACCAGGGAGGCCGAGCCGCCAGCCACCAGGGACTTGACTGTGTTGCTCTGACTGTAGTCGGCTACAAACTTCCGGGTGAGCTCGTAGGTGGTGACGTAGCACTGGCCAGAGATGAGGGTGAAGGTGTTGACCAGGAAGCCCCGGTACAGGCCGGTCACCCCGTCTGCCCGCAGGATCTTGATGAAGGCGTCAAAGGTCCCGTGGTAGAGGCTCCTGCCCTTCTGAACCTGCAGGCGCGTGCGAATGAGGGTGAACGGGTAGACGCTGACGCGGATCATCATCGTCATGGCTACGCCAAACACGTAGAACTTCTTCTTGTCCAGGTGTTCCCACTCGATGATCTGGATGTTGCGTTTGTCCTCCATCTCGCCTGAGGAACTGGGGTTGGGGCGGGTGTCAGGACCTGTGCGCTCCCCTCCCGGCCAGACGCCAGAGCCCTCTCCTCAGGCTGCGGCTCCCCAAAGCTCAGCTCCCTGCCTGGCTCTGACTCCTGCCCCAATCCCTTCCCAACTCAGTCCCTTCCTCCGTAAGCCACTCCTCACCTGGGGCTCCCCCCGCTCTACTCGCACCTCAGCCCCCTGCCCTGGCCTGGATGCATGTGCCCTGAACTGTCTGTCTGGGCCAGGGCGGCACAGCCCTGGGGAGGGACCCTTCTCCTTATCTGGCTCATGCAGCCACAGGACAGCACGCTGTGGACAAGCCAAGCACCTGCAGGACACAGGTGACTCCTCCAAGTGACATGGAGGAGGCCCCTGGGCTCCCTGAGGATGCAGCGGCGCCTCAGCACCACTCCCCACTGCCTTGGCCTGGTCATCGCTAGATCCCTGCACAGCCCCTCTGAGCTCCCGGAACACTCAGTCTCCCCAGCCTGCGTTAGAAGAAAGTGTGGGGAAGAGTCCAAAGGCTTTAATGCCACAGGGCATCGCTACCACCTGCCAGCCTCCAGGGACAGAAGGGGGAAGCAGGGAGCAGGCCAAAGGTCAGAATCCTCTTCCGGTTAGCAGATAACTGACTCCAGAAAGAGAAGAGCCCTGAGCTACAGTTTCCCTGCAGAGCCTGGAAAGCAAGGGGTGGAGGACAGATGGGACCAGGTACTGTCGACCCCACGCCACGCCCACTCGCACAGCCTGGAGAATGAAGGGCAGAGAAGGGACAGAGAAGACAGACGCCGCTTTCGAGACACTCACAGGTTGTCCAAGGTGACAGCAAAGCCTTCTAGGGAGTGGGTAGAGGACACAGAGGAAAAGAAAGCAGGGCAAATGAATGCGCATGGATGGAGCCCACATGTGAGTTTATCCATCGCCTAAAATTTCAAACAAAACTAATAAGCTTACTAATATGATAATCGCATGAAACCAGGAGCTTCAAATTTAGGAAATGTGAAGTCAGAGGACACCATATATTAGAAATATTCTCAGTGGTAATGTCATGTGCACCAGGTTGGTAGGGTGCTGGAAATGTTCACCCAGACAGGAAAAGTGGGAACCTGAATTCCAGAAGGGAGAAGTCAGGGGCCCCTGGGTTTTAGGGAAGGAGATAGCCACCTCCTAGGCAGGAGTCTAAAGGACAGACACATCCCACACAAGCAGCTCTGGCAGCAAACCCCACACTGTCACAGGACAGGGCCAAAGTTTCCAAAAGAGGCGAAGAACCTGGAGCTACTTTACCCACAGAATACACGCTGAGTCTGACACAGAAAAATAATTTTCAGGACTTGTCAGTAAGAGGAATGGAGGCCCGGGCATGTAGCTCAGTGGTGCCTTACCTACCTGGCAAGTGCAAGACCCTGACCTCGATTCCCGGTACCAAGGAAAAGAAGGCACGGAAAAGATATACTTAGAAGAAAAGTACACACTCAGAGGGGCATGTGTGTGCTCAGAGAATGAGAAGCATTATTTTCTGGAGCTGGGAATATTGGGGGTGGGGGCTGGGGAAATTGTGAATCTTTAGGAAGTTTCATCTTGGTCTACAGGAGAAAAAGATGGTCCACCCACAGGAAAAAGATAACAGCTGGCCGTGGTGGTGCACACCTGTGACCCTAGCACTTGGGAGGCTGAGGCAAGAGGATTGCTGCAAGTTCAATGCCAGCTTAGGCTACGTGATGAGTTCAAGGGCACTCTGAACTACATAGGGAGACCCTATAAAAAAAAAACAAATAACAGGCCACTATAGGAGAAAGGCAGGGCCTGGTGTATTATTTATTTTCTTTTAGTTTTGAAAGTGAGTGATCTATGATGTTTTTGCATAAAAACATTCTTTAACTCTCTGAATCTGTTTCTCAGGTTTCTGCCCTTTCCTCTATCAACGAAGTTAATTTATGGACTTACAGTATCTTTAAGGGATTTGGGGTCTCACAGGCCTGGAAGAAAAGTGACATAAACAAGCCTAGGGAGTACAGCTATAGATAACTTTGAATAACTTTCATTGTCCTGAATTTGCAGTCTTCTTAAAAACACAACTTTGAAATTATGATTTTCCTTGTCTCCCTTTTACCCATCTTGATTTTTTCTACCCAAGTGTCTAATCAGAGTTCATCCCCAACCAGAGGCCCAGCTCGGGTGCAGTTATCTCGTGTCCCATGGCAACTGCGCTCAGTGTGGGTGGAAGCCAGTTGGGGGCAAGACTGGCTTTGGAGAATCCCTGACCCGCACTGCATCACTTCCACAAAGAGTGGGCTACTCAGGTGCAAACTGTCCCAAAAGCTGAGACAGGGAGGGACACAGGGAACCACCACAGGCTTCCTGGAGGACAAAGCAGGTGAGCGAAGGAGGAAACCTGTGAGCAGTGAAACTGAGAGGACACTGCTTGGAGAAGGGAAAAGAGAAGTCAGGTGTTGGCCAAACGAGGAAAGTAAGGCTGTGGGAAATCAGCTAAAGATGGGGCTCCACAGGCACCAGAACTCCTAAACACACAGTGCCACTTGCTGTAACACAGGTGGCCCTGCCTGTCCAGGCCCAGCCTAAGCTACCGGGCGATCTAGCAGGGCAATCTCCTCGGAGCCATGAGAGAAAGTGGTCACTGCGTTTCCAACACCATTAACAGATCAGGACATGTATGGGAAACACTAGGATTTCTGGAATACCTACTGCCTCCTGCAATCCTTCCAGCTTAACCCATGCCCATCAGATACTCCCGGTAAAGAGGAGATGGAGGGCTGGGGAGATTAAATGTAATGGGCCCAAAGTCATGCAGCTGCCCAGTGGTGGAAGCAGAATCCAAGCCAAGATTTCTCTTCTCCTCTGTCCTGCTTTCCACCCTGGGGAGTTGAAGACTCCAATCCAAAGCCATGCCGCTCAGGTTAAAGCCAAGCCATGCCCACCAGTGGAAACCAGAGTTAATGCCCTCAGACCACAGGTTACCCACTGGCTCCTGGGCATGCAGCTGCCCAGCGACTCTCTCCGCTCTGTACAGAAAGCAAGTGCGGCCTCTCTCCCAGTGAGCTCGTGGGGTGGCTGAACGCAGGGGTTGAGCAGGCACATGTTGTCACAGGACAAACACAGCAGGCTCATGCAGGAGGGCCTCCTCTGGGCATGCGCCAGCTTCACGCACACAGGGCAGAAGGGCAGAGTGGTGACAGGCTCTGTTCTGGGACTTGGCTTTCCGGACACCTCCTGAGGAGCAATCCACAGGCAACACCCCTGGCCCCACTCCCGCCTTGTTCCATCCTCATATGTGCCAGTGTGTTTTAAATTCCCAAAAAGAAGCAGGGACTCTCGGAAGCAGGTGACTGCCACCACTGTCACAGTACTGGAAGTCACCAAGCATCACGCCTCAGAGGATCAGGGTGCTGCACCAGCCTCCGTTCCCTCCAAAGGAGGCCACTCTTAGAAGCCTGGATCTCAAACTGCTCACTGCTACATAACCCTCAAACTTCCTGCTGAAATAATAAAACCAGTTTTGGGTTAGGGATTTAGCTCAGTGGTTCCGGCACCTGCCTTGCAAGCACAAGGTCCCAAGTTCAATCCCCGGTACCAATAAATAAATAAATAAATAAATAAAACCAGTTCTTCTTTACCCTATGGAAAATCCTCTTTGCAGACACCTGTATTCAAAATCCCTTCAGCCTTCTGTTCAAGAACTTCAACCTTTTTTTTTTTTTTTTCCCCCCTGGGGATTGAATCCAAGGCCTTCCTGTTGAGCTATATCCACAGCTTTTTTTTTTAATTTTTAATTTAAAACAGTGTCTTGCTAAGTCAATAAGTTGCCTGGGCTGGGCTCAAACCTTTGATCCTCCTGCCTCAGCCTCCTAGAGTGCTGGGATTACAGGAGCCCAACTTCTTTATAGCCCTTTCTCAGACTCTTGCTTGTATGCATGGCTCCAATTCCAGATTTTCTTTCACCTTTAAAATTGTTCAGGCCCAAATGTACAGCACTTTGTACTGAAGTCATTAAGTAAAATGTCGGAGGCAGAATTCCCCCTACTGATGACTCCAGTGAAAAGGGACACATTGGCCCAGGTATGTAACCCTCTTTTCCACTTTTCTCCTTGCACAAAACAAATCCCACTAGGTTCTTAGATAAGATTCTGGCTTAGAAGGCAGTGTCCACTGGGAGACAACAGAAAGAACAGCAGTTGTCAGAGATGCAGTCGGAACTCCACTCCATCACTCATTATCAAGAGACTGGACCCAAGTCACTTCTGTGAGATTCAGTTTCTTCCTCTGTGAAGTGGGGTTAAGAAAGCCTGCCATGGCTAAATGACAATTTGTGCTGTAGCACATAGGAGCTAATATCTGTAAAAAGCATTTTGTCAACAGGAAATCACTTCTGTTACTGCAGAAAGTTCTGTTTCATTATGATGCTCTGTGTTGTCCACAGACCAGCAGTACTGGCCATCATCTGAGCTAGAAATAGAGGATTTCAGGCTGTACTACAGATCTGCTGGATAAGAACCAAAATTTTGTTTGTCTCTTTGTTTTTGAGACAGGGTCTTGCTATGTAGTTCAGGCTGACCTTGAACTCAAGGCAATCCTCCTGCCTCAAGCTCCCAAGTGCTGGGATCACAGGTGTGGGCCACCATGGCCAGCTATGAAGCAATATTTAATATCTGTAGATGGTTTTTACACATATCAAAGTTATTATCGATTGTCACTATAATAAGAACTGCAAGCCAAGTATTGTAGCGCACACCTGTAATCCCAGCACTCTGGAAGCTGAAGCAGGAGGATCACAAGTTAGAGTCTTTCCTGAGCAACTTAGTGAGGCCTATCTCAAAAAATAAAAAGGGCTGGGGGTGGTTTGGTGCCTACCTGTAAACCCAGCACTTGGAGGCTGAGGCAGGAGGATGGACTTGAATTCAAGGCCACCTTGGCTGCACAGTGAGTTCAAGATCAGCCTGAACTATAGAGTGAGACCCTGTCTCAAAAAAAAAACTCACCTTCTATAACCCACAAGACAACCATGGATCCCCACTTGGAGATGGAAATAAGGGGCCGACAGCCTCTATCCCTTCTGTCCCCCTGCATCTGCATCCGGGAATACATGTGCGTACTTGCTCACCAGTCCTACTGAATATACGTTCCTTATGTGACATCCCTGGCCATGCCTCCACAGACCCCCTCCTTTACGACGATCTCCTCCCTCAGACATGATGAGAATCCCACCCGGCCTTCTTTGGTCTTCCTTAGGTGCCCACGGGATCACGCATCACAGACACCACGTGACAGCCTCTCCATGCACTCCATGTGACACTCTCCTTTATGCATCTTCCGTCCTGGCCCCCCGCAGCTGATGCTGGGTCCTCAGATCTGCCCCTCGCCAGCTCCGTCGCTGTCAGCGAATCTCACGCTCCTGCAGCAGGAAGAGGTGCCCGCTGGACCGCCCTTCAGCCCCGGCGCTGCAGCCCAGCACCTTGCACACTACCTTCTGACAGGTCCCGGTCCTCAGACCGCGGCCGTCAGGCACCCCAAACCCGGCTCACCTTCTCAGACCCCGGAGGTTCCCCCGCGTCTGAGGCGCACTCCACGCCCGGACCTCTAGGGCGCAGCCCCAGCTGGACTCCCCGTTCCCAGCGACTGGAAGCCTCCGGTCGCATCTTCCTCCATCTCGACTCGGATCCTGGTGCTGCCGGAACCGGAAACTGGGACGCTGTCATTACCGCCCCCTGAGGAGGGCGTGAAAAAGCCATTCACCAATGGCGTCCTGAGCCTTCGACCCTCCCCCGGGAGCGAGGCCGGAAGGCTCTGACTGCCATCTTGGCACGGGGCAGTCTCCACGCCCCCTTCAGCTTCGCTGTGCCCTCACCCATAACAGCGCGTGCGTGTTCTGCTTGGGCTCTTTCTAATTCGTGCAAACTGAGCGACTTTTTTTTTTTTTTTTTTTTTTTTCACAACGGGGACTTTTTTGAAGATCCGCTTGTAAATGGGTCACCTTGTGTTTCAGGATTTGTTGAAATCTTTACATTAAAATCTAATCTTTAGTTTTTGTGTTACTTTTATCATTGTTTCTAGAGCTAAAATAGAGGTCAAAGTGAAGCAGGAAGGACAGAAGTTAGATAAATTAGATAACCTATATTGAGGTTTGGGAACTCAAAAAAAGGCAGGAATAGGGGATACCCTGGAGTTGGGAAAAAGAACATCATCTGGGGCTGGAGATTTAGCTCAGTGGTGCCGCCGACTGCTTCACAAGCACAAGGTCCCGGGTTCTATCCCCGGTACAAAAAAAAAAAAAAAAAAAAAAGAACTACCATCTAACTCTGGACTGGTTTTGTATAGATTTTTTGTTGTGTGTGTATAGTGTTTTTGTTTTTGAGACAAGGTCTCGCTGTGTAGTCCAGGCTGGCTTGAACATGCTAAGTAGCTTAGGCTGTCCTCAAACTCTGTGATCCTCCTGCCTCAGCCTCCTAAGTGCTGGAATTACAGGCGTTCACCACCATGCCCGGCCTATCTATAGTTTTAAATTTTGTTTATTCTTACTTCCATTCTTCCATTTTTATTTCCTTCAATTTTACTAACTTGAATTGGTTTTTTTGTTGTTTTTTGTTTGTTTTTTGGTAGCGGGGATCGAACTCGGGTCCTTACACTTGCGCAGCAGGTGGTGAAACCAATCAGCTAAATCCCCGGTCCAAACTTAAATTGTTTTTAAAAATTGTATATATTGGGCCAGGGATTTACCTCAGTGGTTCGGGTGCCTGCCTTGCAAGCGCAAGGTCCCGAGTTCAATCCCTGGTACCAAAACAAACAAACAAACAAACAAACAAATTGTATATATGGAGTAATATTATAGACAGCTAAGTTATGTAGAAATAGTATAGGCAGTCACAGTCAGACAGGGCTAGATCCTCGAGGGAGTCTGTGCAGAAGATAAGAACACCTCAAAAACTGGCTGGAGTCACATAGAAGATTAAAGTCATAATGGCCAGGTATACATACTTCCCTAAGGAAGTTTAAGATTATTATTATTTTTTTTTTTTTGGTACCGGGGAACGAACTTGGGACCTTGCACTTGCAAGGCAGGCAGCAGAACCACTGGGCTAAATGCCTGGCCACGGAAGTTTAAAATTATTGGTACCACCCTTTTGAGACTTCCCATGTAAATAAACCATTATCTCATTAGGGGTGGAACATCTTCTCCCACCCAATAGGACTGCTGGTTGTAACTCCAGTTGGTCAACTGAAGACTCAGACTCCTCTACATGGCCTTCAAAGTCTCTCTTCTGTACATAGGTAGATCTCAGCGTCCTTAGAGAGACATTGACCCAGGATTTCTCAACCCCACACGGGAAAGGATGTTGTAATGTTCCTTCCAGAACTTTTTAAGGGATAAATCTGTATCTGAGAACATCTGGAAGCACAAGTGGTCAACATTCAGGTTGTAACTCAAGACCTTGTAAGTTAAAACTTAAAATTCTGGTTGTAACCCAAGTTGTTCATATGTAAGGCCCGTTGTAGCTCCAGGGTTCACTGTACTGAGACTAGGACTACTAAGACTAAAAAGAAGACTAAGACTACAGATTGTCCATCAAGGTTACTGATCTCATCCATATGCCCTTGCTTCTACTGGGTCAGTATTAGCTAAGTAGCTCTACTTGTATTTGTATTATTTGCTTATAATTTGGCCCACATTGTACCCTCCCCTTGTGACTTTGCTCTATAAAACTTTCTCAGAGAAGTGTGCTTGTTGGCAGCCTGTTCAGGACCCCTCCTGTCTCTCAGGAGCTATTCCTATTCCCCTTCTTACCCCCCACTTCTATTCCCCATTCCTGTTCCTCAATAAAGTTTCCACTTTGAACCTCTGTTGTTCCTTAAAATTCATTCTTCCTCTTCAGGGAACACAAACTTGGCACATCTAACAGTTAGGAGGTTGGGAGTTACATTTATATCCCCTATATCAGTATCATGTGATGTTTCAATACATATATACATGTATACTTTTTTTTTGTGGTACTGGGGATCAAACCCAGGTCCTTGCCCTTGCAAGGCAGGCGGTAAAACCACTGAGCTAAATCCCTGGCCCTACATGTATAATTTTTAAATCAAGTTAAACATATCTATCTCCTCAACATTTATCATTTTTTTCTTTTTTCTTTTTTTGGTACCGGGGATCGAACTCGGGACCTTGCACATGTGGGGCAGGCACTGGAACCACTGAGCTAAATCCCCAGCCCTATCATTTCTTTATAATGGAAACATTCAGGGTCCTTGATTCTACCTTTTTGGAAAATACACTATATAGGGCCAGGGATGTAGCTCAATGGCACCACACCTGCCTGGCAAGCACAAGGTCCTGAGTTCGATCTCTAGTACAAAAAAAAATACATTATATAATTGTTACCTATAGTCACTTTACATGCAAGAACATTAGAACTTCTTTTTTTTTTTTTTCTTTTTTGGTACTGGTGATTGAACTCAGGACCTTGCGCTTTTGAGGCATGCAGCGGCAGCACTGAGCTAAATCCCTGGCCCCAACATTAGAACTTCTTTTTTTTCTTTTTGGTACTGGAGATCAAACTCTGGTCCTTGCACTTGTGCAGCAGGTGGCGAAACCACTGAGCTAAATCCTCAGCCCATTAGAACTTCTTAATCCTGTCTGGCTGTAATTTAGTAGCTGTTGTCAAATTCCTCCACTTCTCCTTCCCTTCAACTCTTCTCAGCCTCCGCGAACCGCCATTCTACTCACAACTTCTTTAAGATAATTTTATATATCCCACAAACGAGTGAGAGTATATGGAATTTATCTCTCTACACTGGCCTTCTTTCACTTAATGTTATGATCTCCAGTTCCATTCACAATGTCACAAATAACAGAATTTCCTTTTTATGGCAGTGCAGTATGCATTGTATATATGTGACATATTTTCTTTCATCCTTCAGTTGACGGAAAGTTTAGTAGTTTTTGTTCATTTGTTTGTTTGTTTTTGTTTTGAGACTATGCAGTTCAGGCTGGCCTTAAAGTCGCTATGTAGCCTGGGCTGGCCTCAAACTCATGGCACTCCTCCTGCCTCAGCCTCCCAAGAGTGTTGGGATTATAGCTGTGAATCACTATGTCTGGTATTTCTTGGTTATGGAGAATAATGCCAAATGAAGCATGGAAGTGTGGATACTGATTTCATTTACTTTGGATACTTACCAAGCAGCAGAATTACTGGATCATATGGTAGTTCTACTTTTAAATTTCTGTGGAAATCCCAGACTGTTTTCCACAGTGTCTATACTAATAGTCCCAACAACAGTGTGGAAGGGTTCCCTTTTCTCTATATCCTCACCAGCATTTGTTACCTTTTTTCTTTTTTATATAGCTAGTCTTGTCAGAGTAAGGTGATAAATCATTGTGGTCTTAAGAAGTCCTAGTACAGGCCATCTAGAAGCTGGAGAACTGGAATATGGGTAGTGTGGCTCAGTCCAAACCCTAAAGCTTCAAGCCATGTGTGGTGGCCCATGCCTGTAATCCCAGCCCTCAGGAGGCTGAGGCAGGAGGATCACTTCGAGTTTGAGGCCAGCCTGGGCTACATAGCGAGATGCTGTTTCTAAAAAAAACACCCTAAAGCTTCAGCCAAAGCAGCTAGTAGTCCAGTGCCAAAGACCTCAGTGCCTGGGGGCTGCTGCTCTAAATCCTGGAGTCCCAGGCCCAAAACCCTAGAGTCCTGGTATCTAAGGACAGCAGAAAAGGACAAAGACTTACTTTTCTTTGCCTTTTCCCCAGTCCTGGGGATTGAATCCAGGAAGTGCTGTGCCAAATCCTCAGTCCTCTTTTTATTTTGTTTATTTTCAAATTTTATTCTGAGACAGACTCGCTAAGTTGCACAGGCTGTTCTCAAACTTGCAATCCTCCTGCCTCAGCCTCTAGAGTAGCTGGGATTACGAGTGTGTTTTCTACCTTTTTCTTCTGTCTGGTCCCCCAACTAATTGGATGGTGCCCTTATCCCCACTCAGTTCACCAACACACACACGCACACGCGCACCCCAGTCTGTTCTGGAAGAAGACACACCCAGAAGTGATCCTTTATGAGGTCTCGGGGTATCCCTTAATCCAGTCCATCTGACACCTGAACTAACCATCACAGCAAACATTTGAGGCAGCCTGACGGTCACGTGGCTAAGACGCCAGGCTGGTCCTGCCCTGCACTGCCTGGAGCCCAGGAGAAAGCTTGGCTCTTGAGCTGTGTAGCTGGCAATGTGAGAAACATAATGCTTTAAAGCAGATTTTCCTCCTATTCCTTTTGCGACACTGGGGATTAAACCCAGCTGCTTCTGCACTAAGTGCAAAGCCAGCCCTTGTTTTGAGATGGTGTCTCAGTAAATTGCTAAATTGCCCAGGTGGGACTTGAACTTGTGATCTTCCTGCCTCAGTCTCCCAGAGTACTGTGGTCACAGGCTTGTGCCACTGCACTTGGATGCCTTTATTATTAGTATTTATTTTGAAACAGGTTCTCACTAAGTTGCTCAGGCTGGGCTCAATCTTGCAATCCTCCTGCCTCAGCCTCCAGAGTGCTGGGATGACAGGGATTACAGGTGCATACCACCATGCCCAGCATGTCCACTCCTTTTACCCAACAGGTAAAAAATTGAGGTGCAGACAGAAGGGGGTGTATAAGTCTAATAACAGCACATGAAAGCCCCGGAGCCCTTTCCACTGCTGCACTCTGCCCCTTCTCCCTTGGTCCAGAGGTCATTGTGGCCACAAGAGGAAGCCAGGAAAGCTGATCGAAGTGTGAAGGCTATGGTAAAAGTGCACTGTGGGGTGGGAAAAGGAAAGGAGCAGCAGGAGAAAAAAATACCTGAAGTAGACAAACAGTTCTGATGAAAAAGCCACTGTAGACAGGTCTGGAAGAGATGTTCGCACACTCGCATTCACTGAGGCATTATTCACAACAGCCAAAGTGGGAGAAACCCAGATGCTCAGCAATCAATGAATGGATAAAGAAAATCTGGTATGAATACACAGTGGAATATTATTCAACTTTAAAAGATAATAAAATCCTGTTGAGCCAGGCATGGTGCGGCACGCCTGTAACCTCAACACCTCTGGGAGGCTGGGGCAGGAGGATCAGGAGTTGAGCCCAACCTAGGCAACCTAGGGAATTTGTGAGACTCTTCTCTAAAAATAAAAAGTAAGGGCAGGAGAGAGGAAGGGCCAGGGATTTAGCTCAGTGGTTCTGCTGCCTGCCTCGCAGGCGCAAGGTCCCAAGTTTGATCACCAGTATCAAAAAAATAAATAAGTAAATAATTAAAAATAAGAAAAGATAGCCAGGCATGGTGGCCCATGTCTGTAATTCCAGCACTCAGGAAGCTGAGGCAGGGGAATCATCATGAGTTCAAGCCCAGCCTGGGCTACATAGTGAGTTCAAGATCAGCTTGAACTACATAGTAAAATCCTGCCTTGGGGTGGGGAGGGGGTTAGTGGAAAGAAGAAAGAAAAGAAAAGATCTGTGAATGTAGTTCAGGACAAAGCCCCTAATTTTAATTTCCAGTACTGGGGAGGGGGCTGGGTTAAAAAGAAGAAAATCGTGTTGAAAAATACAACGTGGATGAACTTGGAGGACACTGAGCTAAGCAAATGAGTCAGCCATAAAAGGACAAGCACTGTACAATCCCACTTAAAAGAGATACAGAGAGGGCCGGGGATTTAGCTCAGTGGTTTCGCCGCTTGCTGCGCAAGTGCAGGGACCTGAGTTCAATCCCCGGTACCAAAAAACAAAATAAAACATAAAAGAGATACAGAGAGCAGTCAAACTCATGAAAACCAAAAGCAGAATGGTAGTTTGGCAGGGCTTGGCAAGCGGGCAGGAGGAGGCTGCTGTGTAACAGGTATGGACTATCAGTTCTTCGAGATGCAACACTTGCAGCAATCTGTCACACAAATGCGAATACAATAGCACCACTGAACTGCACACTGAGAAGTAGCTGGGGGCAAACCCTATAGTGTGTGTGTGTGTGTGTGTGTGTGTGCGTGTGTGTGTGTGTGTGTTTACCATAATTTTTTAAAAACTTAAAAGAACCTGTGGTAAAACAGTGTTTTAAGGGGCCAGGGATGAAGCTCAGCGGTGCAGCACCTGTCTGGCAAGGGCAAGACCGTCTGTTCGATTCCCAGTACCAAAAAAAAAAAAAGAAAGAAAGAGAGAGATATGTGAAGAGGGTGGCCAGAATGAAGGCCCTGCAAAGGTGGAAGCTGCGCCTGGCATGTAGGGGCTGAGAGTCACAGGAACAGAGGACAGGAGGCAGGCGGTGAGACAGCCAGTATGGAGCCTCTCCAAGGGACAGGACAGAGACCAGGGAGGAGGCCTGGACTGGGCAGACAGTCAGGGGCAGGATGGCTGTGTCTGGTATTCATGCAGACCACCAAGCACATCTGGAGGAGGAGGGGGAGATACAGAGGAGGAAGGGGAAAGGGAGGTGGAGAGTGACAGCTTATAGAACAAATTCCTGGCCGGAGAGAGGAGGCCCTGGTGGAGGGAGCAGGCAGAGGCGGCGGTGTGGGCGGAGCCTCGTGTGAGCCGCCGGAGTGGGGAGCGGCCAGGCTGGGCAGCTGCACTGTCTTCTTATAAATTCACCCGCTAGGAGTGAGGACCAACTGCCGCTAGGGGCTGAGCTGGAGTCACGAGAAGCGTGGGAGAGCCGGGGAGCCACTGTGGGGCCTTGGCCAGGGAGTTACGGCAGACGAGGTATCACCCACTGTCTAGCAGACCCAAGTGGAGCTGGCCCACACAGCCCGAGCTTGGTGCCCTTCAGGCAGGGGTTCCAGAGAGCGCCCGGCCGCAGCCCCAGAGTCCTCCGGCCGGTGGATGCCGTGGCCACTTGCTCTGCTCACATCCTGGCTGTCCTCCGCTGGCGCGCTCTGCTCCAACAGAAACGTCAGCGACCGTAAGCTTTTCTCTTTTTAATAAAAATAAATCTCCTGTGACAAGCAGTTTTCAAACAAAGGGAGAGAGAGGAGAGGTCGGGGTCAGCCAGGGTGAAGGGGAGAACGAAACTCGGACCACCCCTGCCACGTTAGTCAGGACAGCGCGGGGCCGGCCCCAGCCGAAGCCGGAAGGGATGTGTCAGGCTCCAGGAACAATCTCCTGGAGTCGGTAAGGGGAGCGGTTGGTCAGCTCCCTGCAGGACCTGCAGACCCCTGGGAGTGGGGTGTTTGTGTCCAAGGTAGCAGCTGCCTTCAGAGTGAGTTTCCAGGAGTGTTGTCCTAGCTCTGGGCTATTTACCGTCTGGGCTTCATTACTGTCAGGTCCTGCAGCACTCAGGTTTTAGGGTCTCCCGGATGGGATTTTCTGGAGGGTTCCTGGGATGGCCAGAACGGAAGGACCCTCTCCAGGTCCTCCTGTCACAGCACAGGTGCGGGTCGGGGGCACCCCACTTCAGACAGCCCCGTGCATGGCAGAAGGGAGTCGCACTGGGGACCAGGCTCCATGCAGGGCCCCCTGCGTGCTACTGGCGGCACAGATGGCAGGAGAAGCTCCAGCGGAGGAGGAGGAGGAGGGAGGTCACCCCACATGTCACCCCCGCCCCAGTCAGGGCTGAGCGGCTTGGGGCCGCAGCCAGCATGGCTAGGTGCACGTCCCACTCAAGCCCAGCCTGCGCCCGGGTTAAGCCACCTCCGTGCCCAGGCAGTTGTTGTCGGCATCCACATCAGTGGCAGAGGTCCGGCTTTCTTTGGGGGGCTGGACGCGTGGCTCCCTGCTCAAGGGGGCCTTCTCCCCAGGGGGCAGCGTCCCACAGCCCTGGACCTTGCCCCGAGCCCGCAGTGCCCCCAGTGGGGAGGCCAGGAGGACGATGAGGGCCCCGGAGAGCACTAAGGCGAGGAGGACAGTGACGACGAGAAAGTGAAGCCAGTAGGATCGCTGGGCAGCCGCAGTGGCCCCGCCACCAACCCTGGTCAGCGGGACCTGCACACGCTCCCGGGGAATGCCCGCCAGCTCCGGGTCCAGGGCCAGGGGCTGGTCCTGGCTGTGCACCCAGTAGGAGACCACTGGGTATGAGAAGCCGTTCTCAGTGGCTATGCACTGGTAGAGGCCGCCGACTCCATCCTGGGGCAACAGCAAGAGGGAGCCATTGTAGACGGCGGAAGAGGCTTCGGGGACAGTCCTGGTACCACGACTCCAGCGGTAGGAGGCCAGCACGGACAGGTGGGGGCAGGGGAGCTCCAGGATGGAGTTGGGGACCACGAGGACTTCTTTAACTAGGGGACAAGGAAAGATGGGTCAGAGAGAGCAGAAGGAAGACAGCGAAGGGAGTGAGGAGCCTGCATTTGGACCTCCACTCTCATCTCCAGCTTCCATTTCAACTCCCAAACTCAATGTTCATCCCTTCTGTCTTCACGGAGCCCCGAAGTAACCTCCGGTCCTTCTAACTCCAGCCTGCTACCCACTCCAACTTCAGCCTCATCCTAATCCCACTTTGGCCCCCGCCAGAATTCCTGCTATTCTTCCCTATGGCCAGGACCCAGATCCAGCCCAGCTCTGGGGTTCAGGTCTCAGGCAGACAGGGGCCAGGGAAGACGGGAGCAGGAATGCCCACCCTGCCTGAGCGAGCGCCTGCCCAAGCCCCACACTCACTGATCTGGGGGCGGCTCTGAGGCCGGTGGCTCCTGCCCAGTGGGCCCTTGGCACAGGCCCATTCCGGGTTCCCCCGCTCCATGTCCTGCTTCCAGGACATTCTGAGGAGGCAAGGCGAGCAAAAATCATCTCTTGGAACAGACAGAAGTGGGAAGAGGAGAAAGGGAGGGAAGGGCAGAGAGGAAGACAGCCGAGGAGAGAAGGTTGGACAGGAGGGGACCTGGGGACCCAGGATGGCTGGAGCAGCTTCGGAACTGTCAGCCAAATGCCAGGCCAGGAGAAGGCCCCACGGGAGGGTGCACCTTGGAGTGAATGTGTCAGTGGGCCCTGGAGAGGAGGAGCAGCAGAAGCCAGGGAAGAAGGGCCCCAGCTGGTCACCTCACCTGCCACCTAGGCCTGGCACTTACAGGTCCAGGGTCCACAGCAGGGAGCAGACTCTCGACTCGGGGTCCCAGGCGCAGTGGGGGTCCCGGGCAAGGACACAGTCAACACAGCTCTCGTAGACACTGCAGTTGGCCCGGGGCACCCTCCAGACGCCTCCAGAGAAGCCTGCAAACACTGCACCCTGGTGGAGATGAGTGTCAGGAAGCCCCGGACACCTCGAAAAGCCCCAGCTCCCCGCCCGCCCCACCAGACCAACGAGCCCCCACCTGGCTGGGGGCCAGCTGCAGGTTGCGAATGGGCTCGGGCTCAGGGAACAGCTGGATCTCCTCCACCAGGTAAGCACGGCTGGCCTGGCTCACCACGGCCTTGTGCAGGAAGCCGGTGGCTGCAAGGAGACACAGCTGAGATCCCTCCCCTTGCAGCACGGCCTCCCCGCTGTCACATGCTCCTCGGGCAGCACTAGTGCTGGCACAGACTGACAGGCCACTCCCCTTCAGGCACCCTTCCTCTCAGCCCCTCAAGGCCAGAAGGAGTGAGGTCTACCCTCGGTGCCCCCCGCTCCTCTCCACCCTGACACGGCTGCAAGTCCATACAGCTCTTCTTAAACCACGGAATGCTCCCACCAAGCACCACGAAGCCAGAAGCTCGGGAAGGGCATGGACTGCACTGTCCCCCCCCCCCCCCCGCACCGTATTTCCAGAAACAAGCAAGCCACCAGGTGTAGTAAACGCCTGCTGAACAAATGCACACGCGGCTGATCTCAGAGGGCTCCCCCCTCGGCTGGGGAGCAGCCCCACACCAGTCCCTCCTCACAGGATGTCCGGAGCCCTTACTCACAGGTGCCCAGGTACATGACCACATAGCTGTGCCCATCCAGGCCCCGGGCTGTCTCCACCGTGAGCCGAGTGTACTCCACATCGGATTTCACCAGCAGGGGTGTCCCCACCACCTGCTCATCCATCAGGAAATGGTCCTTCATGAAGGTCAAGGCCTTATCAGAGGAGGGGCCCACCGCACACTGCAGGAGGAAGCAGGCGGCTCAGTCAGCTCGACACTTTGCTTTCCTGCAGCTCGAGCAGTGCCACCTCCTCCCTCCCTCCCCCAGGCTGCTGTTCGCCTTTGGCTTCTTCCTGCAGGAGCCACGGCTCTCAGCTCAGGACTCTGAGCCATCTGGCTACAAGTTCCAGCCCTGGCGGCTGAGGTTCCTTGGCTGTAAGGAGAGCATGCACCAGAACTCAGAAAGTCACCAGCGCAGTGCTGGGCGCACAGGAAGTGCTGTGGATGCGCTGCAACTGCCACGTGTTCCTGCCCCTTCCTTAGCACCTGTGCCAGAGGAAGCAAGGTGACAGCCCCTGCAGGCAAGGACGCCGTTTCACTCTGGAGTCCCAGGCCCAGCCCAGGACCTGGCGCACAGATACTGTTCAGCCAGCGCCTGCTGCCTCCACGACGGAGTGAAGGGCGTCACAGAGTGGGGCGGTGTGGCATGGAGCTTTTGCATGACTCGGGAGAGCCTCTCCTCCATTCTGGGCCTCTTTTTTCTCACCCAAATGAGGGGGTTGGACCAGCTGCTCACCAAAGGCCCTGCCAACACGAGAGCGTGCTGTGGCTCTGGGACAGCTGTGTCCCATCATCCAGGCCCGAGCGCACCTTATGGGGCCAGCCTCAACCCCGTCACGGATACACTGTCTTCAGAGAAGTTACTTCACCCCTCCAAGCTCAACTTCCATATCTATAAAGGGAGGTAACATCCACATCCTCTGTGATGCCAGCAGGAACACACACCTCCTCCTGCCTCTTCCCAAAAGGATTTCTTTTGTAGAAGTAGAAACTTACAGGGACATGTGAAACAGGGAAGCAGGCAAATCTTCCACATTTTGGAAGCAGGAAAACAAATGAACTGGGGCTGGGGATGTAGCTCAGTGGCGCTACACCTGCCTGGCAACCGCAAAGTCCTGAGTTCAGTCCCCAGTACCACAAAAAAAGAAAGAAAGAAAACCAAATGAACCAACAAAAACAACTCAGACAGAAAAGAGTCTTCTCAAACCAGCTCTGAAGCCCTGAAACATCTGATTTACAAGGTAAATTCCTAAAATGCATGAATTATGGCCCCAGCTATCCCCTGGAATCGAGGAGAAGGGAAAGCTAAACAGGGAGGATCACTGCTAAGTCTGTTCAGAAGCAGGCCAGTCTCCTCCCAGCTCCACACGCCTGGGGGACCACCCCTTCCACATCCAGCCCCTGCAGGTGAGGAGCTGATCCCCGAAGAAAGCACACAGAAGGTCCCTAATGCAGCACAGCAGCCCTGCGGCTGGGGATGCCATCCTGAAGGCAGAGGGACTGAGCACAGGCAACCAAGTAACTTACTGAGACACTGTCTCAAAATTTAAAAATAAAATAAAAAGGGCTGGAGATGTAGCTCAATGGGAAAGCCCTGGGTTCAAACCCCAGCCTGTCTGTCTGTCTGTCTGTCTCTTTCCTCTCTCTCTCCCAATGGAAGGCGCAGAATATAAAATTGAAACACTCTCAAAGACTTGAAAAATACGAAAGGTTTAAAGAGTAGAGGGCCAGTCTAGAAGGCTCAGGCAGAAGTGAGAAAAAGCCTTTAGAACATAAGTGCCAGGAGGGAAGGGCCTTTAGCCTCTCCTGCTCATGGATGGAACCCCAGTGCTTACAACAGTGACACATATACTCGATAAATATTTTTTAAATGAAAAAGAAACAGAGAAATATAGTTCAAGAAAATTTTTTTTTAGTGCTGAGGCTTGAACCCAGGACCTCGTGCATACTAACCAAGTAGAGAACTACTGAGCAACATCTCCAGTCCAACAAAACTTCTTAAAACTAAAGAACTAAATTTCTAGGCTGAAGTGGCCCACTGAATGCCCACCCCGCACAGTAAATGATTAGAGTTTCATTAATGCACACTATCATGAAATGTTTTTCTGGTCTTTTTTTTTTCCTTTTTTGGTACCAGGAATCGAAGTCAGGGCCTTGTGCTTGTGAGGCAGACACTGCACCACTGAGTAACATCCTCAGCCCACTGGCATGAAATTTTAGAATACTAGGACAACCCCCAGAAAAAAGACAGAGTCCAGTGAGAAAATAACAGGTTATAGTCAAAGGACTAAAGAATATCTCTGAGAGGAAAAAAAAAAAAAAAGAATAGCTCTGAGCTTCTCCACAATAGCACTGGATGCTAGAATATAAAAGAGCAAAGTTCTCAAACTTTGAAGGAAAATTATTTCTATTACAGAAACATATGCCTGCTGAGCATGGTAGTGCACACTTGTAATACCAGTTCCTTGGAAGGCCAAGGAAGGAGAATCACAAGTTCCAGGCCAGCCTGGGTAACTAGCAAGACTTTGTCTCAGAAATAAAATTAAAAAGGCTGGCAGATATGGCAGAGCACTTGCCTGGCATGTGTGAGGCCCTGGTTTCAATCTGAGAAAAAAAAAGATTACCTATATCTACCCAAAGCATCAAGTGTGAAAGAAGAATAAAGACAAAAGACATTTTCAGACAGTCAAGTTCTCAAAAACTTTTATCTACTACTATGTGTCTTTTTCCAGGAATCAATGAGATAGCTAAATAATAAGTAAAAAAGAGGAAGCATGGGCCGGGGATTTGGCTCAGTGGTTTCGCCGCCTGCTGTGCAAGCGCAAGGACCTGAGTTCGATCCCCAGTACCAAAAAAAACAGGAAGCAAGAAACACAAGATGTGAGGCAAGAAAAAGAGGCCAAGGGAACCCCTGGACAAGGAGGAAGGGACATTCCAGGGTGGCACTGTGCTCCGGATGTAGAGGCCACCGTGCTAGACGGGCAGATATGAAGGGTTTCCAAGAAGATGAAACTGGTAAAACTGCTAAGGGTCTGCCCTCAGGAGATGGTTAGATAATGCAGGAAGAACCTGGGTCAGCTTCGAGACGAAAGCGTAGAAAACAAAACAAGTTAAAAACAAAAAAAACACAAAGAATTATAAACCCCAGGGAGAACAAAAATTGTGCAAAAAGAAAAAATAATCATGGCTTACTAGCTGGCTCTGCTGTGAATAACAGGGGTCATAATATAAACATTACTTTGATTAAAATCACAGTAGGACTATGGGGGCGCTGGCGGTGGGTGCAGGGGTGCGCTGGACGGCCAGCCAGCTGGGAGGGGGGCTGTGGAAAGCCTACTTGGTAGCTTGCTCTTTTCCAAGGTGCATATTCTGTCCGAGATGAGCATACTACCGATGTCATGTCCTCTACAATCCTCTGAATGTGCAGAGGTGTGCAAAAACAGTTCTTGCTAGTTGCTTCAAGTAGGCTTCAGCGCCCTACCAGCTGGGAATCCCCACCTTCCAGAAGGGGAGTTCAGTAGGGACTGTCTGAAGCTGATATATTGAGAAATAGTAATAAAAATGTGGGGCACGGGACTGGGAGCATAGCTCAGTGGTAGAGCATTGGCCTAGCTTGGTGAGGCCCTGAGTTTGGGCCCCAGAACCACAGCAAAAAAAGCATGGTATTTAGAGAGTTCTACATAAATATAAAAAGAATCCTCTAAAAGAGTTGGTGCCCAGCATGTTTATGCTCGCCTGTAATCCCAGTACTCGGGAGGCTGGGGCAGGAAGATCACCATGAGTTCAAGGCCAGCCTGGGCTACATAGCAAGACCCTGTCACAAAAAAACAAAAAATTAAAATAAAAGATTTGAAGGTGATTGGGGAAAAGTGGAAATTAGGACGTAAGGCTGCTCTTTGTAATCAATCTTCCAGATCTATATGTTACTTTAAATTATGTACATATATAACTCATTAAAAAAAAAAGTTTCCAGGCATGGCAGCACATGCTTGGAACACCAGCACTTGGGAGGCTGATGCAGGAGGCAGCAAGTTTCAAGTTCGAAGCCAACCTGAACTACATAGCAAGACCCTGTCTCAAAATACAAAAACAAGACAACCAAAAAACCCAACCAAACAAAAAGTTATAGCTGGTTGTGGTGGTGCACACCTGTAATCCTAGTTGGTCCAGAGGCTGAGGCAAAAGGATTGCAAGTTTAAGGCCAGCCTGGGCAACTCAGTGAGGCCCTGTCTCAAAATACAATCTTAAAAAGGGGCCGGGCAACAGTACACGGAATGAAGGAAAACTGAAATCATTTCCTCTAAAATCAGGAACAAGGCAAGGCTAATCTACTTTCACCATTCCTATTAAAATAAACAAACAGGGCCGGGGATTTAGCTCAGTGGTTCCGACGCCTGCCTCATGCCTCACAAGTGCAAGATCCCGAGTTTGAGTTCAATCCCTGGTACCAAAAAACAAACAAACAAACAAACAAAACCTAGGAATCAATCCAACCAGGAAGGTGGAAAATCTCTCCAGTGAAAATTACAGAATACTAAAAAAGAATCCAAGAAGACACTAGATAGAAAGACCTCCCATGTTCATGGATGGGGAGATTAACATTATTAAAAGTGGCCACATACCCAAAAGCAACCTACAGATTCAATGCAATCTCCAACAAAATACCGATGAGATTCTTCACAGAACTAGAAAAAAAATCGTAAAATTCATACAGAAACACAAAGGAGGGCCAGGGATTTAGCTCAGTGGTTCTGCCACTTGCCTCGAAAGCGCAAAGACCGGAGTTCGATCCCTGGTACCAAAAAAACCAACAACAACAACAACAAAACGTCATCATATTGGGGCCGGGGATTTAGCTCAGTGGTTCGAGCACCTGCCTCGCAAGTGCAAGGACCCGAGTTCGATCCTCGGTACCAAAAAAAAAAAAAAAAAACACAAAGGACCTAGAATAGCCAATGCAATCGTAAGCAAAAACAGCAAGGCTGAAAGCATCACAAGACCTGATTCACATTATACTACAAAGCCATAGGAACAAAAATAGACATGAAGACCAGTGGAATAGAACAGAGGACACAGGAACAAAATGTACAACTAGAGGCACTGATTCTTTTTGTGTATGTGTGTGTGAGACAGGATCTCACCATATAATTCAGGCTGGCCTTGAACTCATGCCAATCCTCCTGCCTCAGCCTCCCAAGTGCTGGGACTACAAATGTGCACCACCACGCCCAGCTAGAGCCATCTGATTTTCAACAAGGAGCCAAAAGCACGCTGGAGAAAAGACAGCCTGTTTACCAAACGATGCTGGGGAAACTGGATATACATGGAAGACTGAAACTAGATCCCTATCTCTATGTGCAAAAATCAATTCAAAATAGATCAAAGACCGAGGTATAACATCTGAAATTCTGAAACTTATAGAAGAAACAAAGGGAAACACTTGAATAGGACCCCAACAGCACAGAAAATAATTACAAGAATCAACAAATAAGACTACATGTAATTAAAGTTTTCTGCACAGCGAAAGAAACAACCAACAGTGAATGGGAGAAAATCCTGGCCAGCTTTTCTTCTGACGGAGGGTTAATTCATATCTAGAATGTATAATGAACTCAAAAAACAGCACAAAGGAATAGCCCAATCAATAAATGGGCAAGTTAATTGAACACACACTTCTCAAAAGAAGTACAAAGGACCAATAACTATGTTCAATGTCTTTAGACATTGGGAAAAAGCAAATCAAAACTACACTGAGGGGCCGGGGATTTAGCTCAGTGGCACCTCGCCCACCTCACAAGCACAAGGTCCTGAGTTCTATCCCTGGTACCAAAAAAGAAGAGTACAAAAAAACAAAATGCTGGGGAGGATGCAGGAAAAAAGGAACCCTTCTACACTGCTGGTGGAAATGTAAATTAAAAACAGAATTCAGTATGCAGGTTCCTCAAAAAACTAAAATTAGAACTGCCATATGACCCTGCCATAGCATGCCTTGCTAATACCAAAGGAATTAAGGTCAGGATCCTATATGGGCACCTGCATACCCATGTTTACTGAGACACAATTCCAAGTTCCACAATATGGAACCAGCCGAGGCACCCATCGATAGATGAATGGACAAAGAAGATGTGTACATATGCACAATAGAATATTATTAAGCCATAAAGAAGAAAAAATTATGTCATTTTCAGAAATGTGGATGGACCTGAGACCATCATGTTAAACAAAATAAGCCACACTCAAAAAAAAAAAAAAATAAGCCACACTCAAAAAGACAAGTATCATGTTTTCCCTAATATGTGGATATGATCAAAATGTTACATGCATGCATGAGAATACCACACTTAAACCCAATAGTCTATAAAAGTAATAGTAATAAAAATATGTTTTTTTAAAAAGGCAGGGGCTAGGGAATGTGGCTCAGTGGCAGAGCTCTTGCCTGGCATGTACAAGGCCCTGGGTTCAATCCCCAGTACTAGGGAAAAAAAATCAAAGTTAGTAAGAAACACAGGTGATGCCGGGTGTGGTGGCTCACACCTGTGGTCCCAGCACTTGGGGAGGCTGAGGCAGGAGGATTGCCATGAGTTCAAGGCCTGTGTGGGCTACATAGTGAGTTCAAAGCCAGCCTGAACTATAGAGTTGAGACCCTGTCTCAGAAAAGAAAAGAAAGATGAAAAAGAAAAGAAAAGAAACACAGGTGAAGAGTCCTTGGTACATAGTCCACGTTCCCTTAACTCCTCGGTGACACAGCCAGACATTTAGTGAGCGCTTAGTCTTGGGGAGGAGGTGGCCCTGCGTCTGCTCCGGGGTCGGACCGTGCTGGACGCCTGTGGGGCATGGACAGCAGCCCAGGTGTGTGTCTGAGCAGACAGGGCCGTGAGGTGGGAGTGCCAGGAGCCCCCGTGTTTGCCAAGTGAGGTCAGATGCTTCACCACGCGATCGTGTTGGGAGGCCTAGCTTGTGTGGGGTGATACTCACACTGCCTGGCCGCGGGCTTGTCTCAGGGTTCACATAAGTCATCCAGCGTGAAGTTTCTTTGTTCAACTCCTTGAACTGCCCCTTAAAGACATTCTCGATGTCTGAGAGAGAGAAGGAGCAAACTGCGGAACTCCTGGTCCCACCGACCTGCCTGAAGACAGAGAGAGGAGACATTGGACATCTCGGCCTCCCTCTGCAGTCCACTGCCCCCAGCCCCGGCCCCGCAGTGAGAATGCTCACTGCCCCAGGAGGGCAGGGCTGTCAGAGCTCAGCCAACCTCAGCCGTCTCTTCTGCCCCTTGGGGAGTGAGGCAGGAGTTCCGTGACCGCCCAGGCCCTGGCTCTAGGCCCATCGCAGGATCTGCAACGTGATTACCCTTAATGAGGATTAATTGGGGCACGGGCCCTGGGGTGGGTCCTCCTGCCCTGCCTGGGCTGGCACACACCCTAGGAGGGGCAGCACAACTGGCCCCAGGCTGGCTCCCCGAGAAGCCTCTTCTTTGAGGCCCCTGGACTGACTCCTCAAAGACCACAGCTGGACTACCAGACTGTTTTTCTGCCTTCGTCCTGGTCTGTGGAACAGAAAGTCTCTCTCCCGCTGTTTAGCCTATTGTACACACCAAGTACTCTGTTCTGAGTCCTAGGACTCGAGACCTCTGGTACCTGACACATCCTCAGCAAGTACTTAGGCACTGCAGGGCCAGACCAGGGCTGTGGGACCTTGGACAGATCAGTTAACGTCTCTCAACCTCTAAGCGATGAATTTAATTTTCTCTAATGACAGTGGTGGTTTCCCTCTTCGCCCTGGCCATTGGGAAGCTCAGAGAGAGAAGTGCAATCGTCACTCAAGGACAACCGTTTGGACTAGTGCTGTCCTGGCTTCCTGCATTCTCCTCTTTCCCGGTTCCTCACCTATGTCATCAGTTCTAATGCTGGTCTCTTGTAAACTTCGTCCCATCCTTCTGGGACCAGGCAGAATATAAAAGTAGTCAGAACCTGTCTGGGCGCTATTTCCCCACCTACATGAAGGGCACCACCGAAACTGCTGGGAGGTGGTGACCGTCACGCGCCCTGCCGAGTGTGCTCTCCCTCAGAGCCGGGCCACAGCGGCCTCCGTCCGGGTTCCAGCCCGGTTCACGCGCCGCCGCTCACCACTGGGAGGTGAAGACCGCGTAGACGCGGGCCTCGGCGGCCGATTCGGCGGGCAGCAGCACCGCGTGGCGGATGACGTTGAAGGGCAGCTGCCCGGGCTGGGTGCAGAGCAGCTGAGCCTTGAGGAAGGTGGTCCACTTCTTCTGCAGCAGCTTCTCTCCGCCCATGTCGTTCTAGGGGCGCAGGATGAGTCCGGGGACGCACCGGCTGGCGTGGCCCCACCTTAACCGCGTGGCCCCGCCCCGCCCCCTGCCCATTGGCTCCCGCGAGGCCGGCCCCGCCCCACCGAGCCGCAGACCTTGCAGACTTGAGCCACGCGGGAGGTGCGGAGCTTCTCGAAGAAGTCGAACTCGCTGGCTGTCTCCTCGAAGAAGAAGTAGACGACCTGGGTCGAGGGCACGGCGGCTACGAAGGAGGCGTCCGCTGCAGGGGCGGCAGAGGGTTAGGGACCTGGATGTCCTGAGTCTCCCCGGGAGAAGCCTTGGATGGCTCTGGAGACCGCGAGGCGGGCTGTGCGGAACCCCGCCGCCGGGGGAGGGGTAACGGCGGGGGTGCGTGCGCGTTAGACCCCAGCGCCGGGGCCGTCGCTCGCAGCCCCAGGCTCCGAGACCCCGGGAGGGCAGCGCGTGGGACTGGGGCCGCGTCCTTACACTGCAGCCAGCGGAGGAAAGTGTCCGTCTTGAGGACAGGCCGGGGGCCCAGCGTGCGCATCAGGATGGGCTCGCTGCCCAGGAAGTTGTTCATGGTGCCTGAGTAGAGCATCCCATCTGGGGGGGGGGGCGGGGGGAGACGGGGGAGTTTGGCCGGCGGAGGCCGCCCAGATGTGCCTCTGCGCGGGCCGGCATCTGTATCCGTCCCGGCCCCCGTCCTTCCTCCACACTTCCACGCCGGGTGCCCTCTTAAGCTCCTCTGTCCACAGGAAGTGACCGGTATGGCCTTCTGTGCTTGGCGCTTTTCGAGGCTTTCTCCGGCTACACTCTCTCACAAGCCCCTGAATCACTCGCAAAGCGCCATCATTCATGAATTCCAGACAGTAACTGCTTTCTGGCTTCTGTACCTTGGGTGCTGCCCTTCTCTTCCTGGAACACCTTCCTTGCCTCTCTACCTAGCCATCTTCGAGTCCTGCTCAAAAGCCAAAGACTGCCGGGCGTGATGGCGCATGCCTGTAATTCCAGCACTCAGGAGGCTGAGGCAGAAAGATCCCCGTGACTTTGAGGCCAGTGTGGGCCTCATGGTGAATTCATGGCCAGCCTGAACTACCGTGCAAGACCCTGTCTCCAAAAACAAGAAACAAAAAAACCCCTCAAAGACCACCTCCTCCAGGAAGCCAGGAGGGCACAGGGCCGTGATTTCATCTCTATAACCCCGTAAGTACCCAGCCAATACCTGGCACACCAGAGCAGATGTTCACACAGCCCACCTTGCTTGGACAAGCAACTGAACCTCAGGCTTCTCTTCTGCCTGATGCCCTTCCTGAACCCTCATGCCTCTCTTTCCTCATCTCTCTTTCCACTTCCTCCGAGGCCGTTTCAGCAGGAAGTAGGAGTTGGGGTGCCACGTGCTCCCTCTGGCCTGTGCTTGCAGCTCCTCCCTCTCAGGAAACTCCATCCTGTCATGCCTTTCACAGAGTGACGAGAAGGCAGGTCAGGTCAGGTCCAAGGCTGGACCAGGGAGGCCGATACTCACCCACCAAGATGGCAGTGTGCTTGTGAGCAGGGTCAAAGGGGCTCTGACCTTTCCCCTCCATCACCGTTTTCTCCGATATGGGTGACAGTTGGGAATCTCGGAATTCCTAGCGGGAGAAGCGAGGCTGGGGGCCCAGAACCCCAGGGTCTCCCATCTGGGAAATGAGGGGAGAAGGGAAGGGGACCGCGAGGGACATTGATCTGGGGCCCAGAGTCCATGAGGGTCCCAAGGAACCCGTTTTCCAGAGCCATGGGGTTAGGCTGGGAGAGGAGTGAGCAGGGTTGCCCAGCCCCTGCAAGCTGGGTGCCAGGTAACTCACGATGAAGGTGCAGGCAGGGCTGAAGGCAAAGGTGCCACAGGCGTAGAGATGGGTGGCATTGAAGGAGACCAGGACTCGGATGAAGTTGAAGCACTGCGTCTGGGGGAGAGGAGAACTCAGGCCCTCGGGCTACGCTCTGCGGGGGGCTGCCCCTCCCTCCCGAGTGCAGGGCGCAGAGGGCATGCAGGCCGTGCCTGTGCCGCTCTGCAGCGCTGCCCACCCCCCCACCCCCCGCCCGGCAGTAGTGTGCAAACAAGGCCCGTGCCCTCAGCCAAGCCCTCACCTCGCTGCTCTTCTTCTTCAGGGCACACTCGTGCTTCTTCCTGTCGCTGGCCGGCCAGGGTATCTGAGGTGGGTTGGGAGGACCGGGACGGAGGGACATGAGGCCTTCAGCGCTTCTGCGACCCCCTGTCCCTCTCAGCTCACCGGCGGGCGCACGCGCGGTAGATGGGGACCTGCTCGTGAGCAGTGACACCCACTTGTGACCGGGTTATTACTCTGCTAACCCTAATATTCACTGGGACACCGCTCCATGACAGAACACAGCCTAAGGAAGCAGAGCTGAGTTCAAGTCTAACTGCCACTTACTAGCTCCGCCATCTTGGTCAGTTAGTGTCGTGGGCTGCTGGTGGGCACAGCTGGGTGCACACATAAACCCTAACACTTGGCATTGACCGTGTTCTTCTGTCACACCTTGAAGAGTCTACTTTTCTTTTTCTTCAAGACAGGGTCTTGCTGTGTAGATCAGACTGGCCTTGAGGTCACTGTGTAGCCCAGGCTGACCTCCAACTCCCAGCCATCCTCCTGCCTCAGCCTCCCAAGTGCTGGGATTACAGGTGTGCAACACCACACCCGGCCGAGTACATTTCAACCAGTGCCCCATATACTCAAGTGACCAACAGACTCCATACTGAAAAATAAACTATGGAATCACCCAGTAATTGCTAGCACCTCCCTCCCTTACCTCCTCTCTTCTCTCTCCCATGCTCCCCCTGGGACAGTAACAGAGACGCTTCGGTGATTTCTACCAGTGGGTGGATATCAAGTTATTGGTATAATTTGAGTCAGTGTTTATCTCCTATGCCAGTGGTTTCCATATCACCCTCTCAGCAGTTGATATTATTCAATCGGTGACACCGGTGAGCAGTGAAACCACAGTCACATTTCTTGTCCGTTCCCTGCCAGGACTTATGGAAGGAGAATGCTGATGGTTGCTGATGGCAGGTAATGGCAATTGGGCTGTTCTCCAAAGGCTGCCCCAGAGCAGGGCAGCAGCCTCCTTGCCCCCAGTGCACACCCGGCGGCCCCGGCCTCCTCACCATGCTCCTCAGCTGTGGGGCTCCGGGGTGCTGGACATCCAAGGCCAGAACGGCCTCCCGGACACCCACGTATAGAGTGTTCCCGCCACCGCTCAGGAGCAGGGTGTCGAAGTCTTGGAGGCCTTTCTGGTGGAAGAGGCTCAGGGCCCTGCGTGGGTCCCCTGTGGGGAGCAGAGGGAAGGGCAGAGTGGTGAGGAGCAGCTGGACCCACTGTGGTCACCCCAGCCCCCTTGCCCCCTGCCCTGCTGCAGCCACAGGAGCTCTGTGTTGAGCCCCAGCGGAGAGGAGAGGCAGCCTGGGGTGGGGCCAGACGTGTAGACAGACAGGAAGTGGAGAGGGGCACACTGGGTGCTATTTCAGGCCTGGGGTTCGGTGAGAGAGGTGCTGGTCCCCGGGGGGGCAGCAGCAGGTGGGGGCCCTCACAGGCAGGGCTCACAGCCACGGGCAGGAAGGGCAGAAGCGGACAGGACTGTGTGGCAGAGCTGTTCGGGGTTTTCAGGGTCCCTATTGCCACCTCTGCCACCACCCCTGTTTCCCTCCCCTCCTCTATTACAGGACACTTCCAGAACTAGAAGCATTGTGAATAGAAAGGAAGCATCTGCACCCTTCCTGAGGTCCTCGTGGCATGCCTGAGTGTCGCCTGGGCAGAAGTGAGTGGACCTATGGGGAGGCTCACAGGCCCTGTCCCTCTCCCAGGCCTGATGTGGAGGGGGTGCCTGTGCTCGTTCATGTGTGCCCCACCCTGCACCGCTGCTGCATCAGCAAGAAGGACAAACAGCTCGGAGCCTTGCATTAGCAGCCACACCATGGCGGCAGCTAGAGGGCTGCGACCTGACTGTCCCCTCTGGAGGCCTAGGGAGCCTTGGCCGGAGAGTGCAGTAGGAAGGGCCCAAGGGTGGCTCAGGGAGGGGGTTACGGAGCTGCTGGTGTCGGGGTCACTCTGCTCCCCCCATGAGGCTATGAGCTCCTGGAGGGCAGGGCTGGGCATGGTCCCTGTTTGTGCCCCCACTGCCAACACAGAAGGGGCCTCTCCGTCAACAGGCAGCTGCATTTTCTCTACCAGACACGCACGTGCCCAGGAGACCCACCCCTGCTGCTCCCTCGGGGCCTCTCCTGGAGGTGAGGCCACAGCCCCACCTCCTCGGTGAGAGCCTGCAGGCTGTGCCTCGGGGTTCTGGGCCCTACATGCCAGCCGGTCATCCCAAGAGCTCATCCTCTGGGCCTGGCATGTGGTTGGTACCAGCCTGGGACACTCTTGGGCACTGGGTCTGCAGATGACATGCTAGCATGGGCCTTGACTTTGGGGGACCTGGGGTGTGGAAGCGCTTGGGGCTAAGGTGCCCCTCGTGGTCACAGTGACAGTTGAAAGAGAAACCTCCAACTTTGTGGAACTGCCCTGGGCCCCAGCCCCTCTTGCTCCCTGCCTCTGTGCATTTCCATTTCTCTCTGTCTCTCTCTCCCACCACCTCTGTTGCTCCCTGACATCTTCCTGGGCATCTTATGTCTCCATGTCTGGGCCCCCGCCCTCTGCCCCCTCTCCATCTGCACCCCACCCCCTCCTGGCACCACACACTTACCTGCACTGTACCTGACCCTGGGCATGGGCCCCTGCCCACCAGCCCCAGCAGTCAGCGGCGGCAGCAGCAGCAAGAGCAGTTGGAAGAAGAAAAGGCCCAGGAGGCTCCAGGGGTCCAGGCCTAGGGCTGGGAGGGCCATGCTCGGCCAGAGGCTGTCACCAGACGGCTCTGGGGAAACAGGCACCGGGCATTTTCTGGGTGAGCTGTCCTCACCACATCCCCCCTGGCAGCCAATCGGAGAGCCCCAGGGAGCAGAAGTGTGTGTGTGTGTGTGTGTGTGTGTGTGTGTGTGTGTGTGGCCACAGGGGAGGGGAGAGCCCTCAGTCTCACTTCCATCCCACTCACTGGCCTCAGCCTGTTGCCTCAGTTTCCCTTCTCCACAGGGCGCTGGCCCCCATCCTGCCCCTCTGGTCTCTCCTCACCAACACCTCTGCTGAGCCATTTGTCACCGGACTAGCAGGGAAGTCCCTTGTGCCTCCTGTCCTCTTCGGCTTCTCCCTCTTCCCAGAACCCAGAGACCAGGGGCTCCAGGGAGCGAGATCCTGTGCTCACAGGAGACACGCTTGGCACCATCCTCTCGCCTGTCACTCTGCTCTGTTACACATCCCACGACCTGGACCCATGCTGGACCTAGGTGTGAGTGGCCTGCTTTAACCTGCCCCCAGCCCCACCCGGCTCTCTTCTTCCAGGAGGGCCAGGCAAGTCCACCCTCCCCTTGGCTGTGAGAGCTTCCCAGGGCAGCCAGGGCAGGGGAGCGGGCTTCTCCCAGCCTCTGCAGCCCCATCTCTGGTCTCTGGGCCCTGTGCCTGCCCCCTGGGCTCTGCATTCATCCCCTGGGGCCACCAGCCACAAGCCCAGTCTCACCTCACACACCCTCGGGCCAGCTGTGGTGAGAAACCCTTGTGCAGACTCTGGGACTGGAGCACCATCCAAGAGAAAGGAGGACGGGGTTCCTGGGCCCCAGAGGCAGCAAACAAAGGCTCAGCCCGGCTGGAAAGGGAGCACGGCTCTCCAGGCACCCATCATGCCAAAGCCAGAAGCACCAGGAGCTCTGTGCTAGGGAAACCAGAATTTCCACCTCCAGTTGTGACAGATCCTGGCTTGGGCGGAAGTTGGTGGTTTGGGAGGGAAAAGGCTGACCTGCCTGGCGGCAGACACACCTCTCCCTCGCTCCTCTTGCTTCAGACTGCACAGTTTAAAAGGTCTTTCTGGGCTGCTCAGCCACACTCTGCCTCTCTGCCACACTGCATCCGGTCTGTCCAGCCTGGCTGTGGTTTCCTCCCTCTTTCGATTTCCCAGACAGTGGATGAAACATCTCTCAGGTTTCTCTTCTCACTTGTGTATGTTTGGGGTCTCACCACTCCTACCTCCTGGGAAGTCCCTGAGTACTTGAACCTTCACCCTCCCACTCTTAGGCCACAATCTAAAAGGTATGGAGCTGTTAGTAGACTTGGCTGAGGAAGTCCCCCTGCAGCATCACCCTGCCACCATCAGCGTGCCATCAGGCGAGTGGGAAGCCCAGGACATCCCCCAGCTGAGTGTGTGCTTAACAGGACTCGCCTCTGAGGCCCCCACCCCCGAGGTGGCTGCCAGGGGGAGCCTCATGGGGCAGCCTCGTAACGCAGGGTTAATGAGGCCCCAGGCCTGTGAAGTGGGTAGCTCCTGCCCACTCAGCTGCGTCAGGTGACGGCAGGTTAAAGAGCACACATCCCACAGGGCCCAGCCAACGCCAACAAGTGATCCCTCCATTCCAGGCTCATGCTGCTCACCATACATCAGAAGCCCTCTCTGAGTGTGACTCCATCCCTTCTTTGACAGTGCCAGCCATCAGGGAGCCATCATGAGGCAGCCCCTCAGCCTTTCTCTCCCTCTGCTCCCAACATCACTCAGTCCCCCAGGCTCCTCTGACACAGGCTGCTCTTGACGACTGTTTCTGCCAGGACTTGTGACCTTGAGACCCCTATACTCTCCCACAGGCTGGTTGCCAGGTCCCTCCCAGGCTCCCAGAGTCAAGGGAAACTTCCATTCCCCTGACTCCCAGCTTGCATGTGGGAGGCTGCCTTGCCCGGGACCTTTCTGCTGGAACCCACTGGCTCACCTGGGTCACAGGGAGGGGCTCTGATGGGGAAGCGAGGGGGGTTCCAGCATTCTTCTGGCCCAGACCTCTCTCCCCAGCCCCTCAGCCAGCTGGAATACTTGGCAGGTTGGGCCACAGCCCTCCCCACAGTGTCAGGAGGTTGGTGCCACCACGATGCCACTTTACAGAGAAAGAAGGAGGCTACACAGCTCCAAGGAAAGCTAAATTCAGATCTGCCCCTTCCAAAAGGAATCCTTCGCCAGGACAGTGGCTCCTGAGGCCTGTTCCCTCAGCCCCACCTCCCAATCCCTGTTGGAAATTACTTTGGAGCTGCTTGGGTGAAGAAGGGAGTGTGGAAGGGGAGGGCAGCAAGCTCTGTCTTCTCTAAAGCTAAGAAACAACATCTCTGGGGTCAACGTGGCAGGAAGGGAATCTCCCGGAAGAGAAGTCTCTGGTGGCATCTCCCCCACCCCTGCGCAGGGCAGAAGAGCCAGATGGGGAGGAGGGCTCCCTGCCCCCCAGCAATGCGCCCCTGGCCCGGAGGCCTCTGAGTGTGGCCCCCAAGCCTCACAGGCAACAGCTGTGGAGCCCACTGCAGGGCCGGCTGGGTGGTGACACCCTGCACTGTCACCGGGTCCCCGAGCTCAGAAGGGCCCACTCGCCCTGTGAGGCTCTGCCCTTGCTGTCTTCAAAGTCTTAATAATTTTTAAACCAGGGCCCCACATTTTCATTTTCCAGTGGACCCCACAAATTATGCAGCAGGTCCTGGCCACTCAGGAAGCTCAGAGCTGGCAGGGCCCCACCCCTTCCTCACTGTACAGCGAGGAAACCGAGGCTGGGAGAAGAGGCCAGCCGGACTGGAGTCAGGGCGGCCAGTAGCGGCGGTGGGGTCAGATGTCTGAGGAGCAGGTGCAGCTCAACACCTTCCTCACTCCTGTGTGCCGTCCCCCGGCCGCCTTCTACACCCTGGAGCCCAGAGTTCAGCCTCCGCCCCGGGGTCCCGTTCCCCGCTGGACTCCTCTCCCACATGGGACAGCAGCACTTCCTGCCGGCTGGAAGGGGGGGGGGGAGGCGGGACTCAGGGCTTCTCCCCTTACCCCTCCGTCCACCTCGCAGCCTCCGCCCCCGGGCTCTCTGCAGAGCGCCTCAGGGAGGGAGGGCGCGTGGACACATCCCACTCCTGCCTTCACAGTGACCGGGCGGGTCCAGTTCCCCTCCTCCCCCTCCTCCTCCTCCTCCTCCTCCCCCCAGCATGAGAGCGGCCCTCGGAAAAGCAGAGTCCCGAACAACATCTGCTTCCGGCTCCCCTTCCTCAGCCCCTCCTTCTAATCACAAAAGAGTCAAACCAACTTATGTGCGTCGTGTCGTGGCCAGTGTCTGCTGTGTCCAGGCCCCGGGGGGTCCCCTCCCACCCAGCCCGTCCCCCGTGACCCTTACCCAGCGCCTCCCAGCTCCGCTCCTCGGCTGCCCAGTGCTGGCGCTGCTCTGAGGAGCTCACACAATGCCCGACCCCTGGGTCGGCCCCTTCGAGGGCAGAGCGGCGGCAGACAATGGCCCGCCCCCTCCCTCCAGGGCTGTCAGGGGCTCCCCGCTCATTACCTGCAGCTGGGGTGCCGCTGCGTTTCCCCCTGGAATGTCAGGCGTTCCGGTTTCCCAGAGCCTTGTCCCTGCCACACCCCCACCCCCATCCCCAACCCCATCCCACCTCACTGGTCCTTAGTCACCATGGCAACCGCATCTCTAAGTAGGAGGGACCAGAATCTCCCCATATTCTTCCTCCTCCTCCTGTGCCCCACTGTGTCCCATCTTCTGCGGCTCCTGGAGCCATATGTGTGGGAAAGGGGGGCTCCAGATGTGGGCGCAGGGGTGGCGAGGGTGGTAGTCCCCTTCCCACTTGCAGGCAGGCACCACTGGGCAGATGCTTCCCGGCTGGTTTAGGGAGTCAGGCGGGGCCACCTCCCCTTCATGGCCGTGTCTCTGTGTATGTGAGGGACACACCTGGGCATCAGCCTGGCCCCATGCAGACGAGGTTCCCGTGAGGACACAAATGAACGCATGAACGTCTATGCAAACATGCCCCGGACAGGGCCTCTGTCAGGAAGCCGAAGCAGCCTCTTCTGCTGCTATCACCCTGACTTCCTAGGAGGGTCCACCTCAGGCCAGGTTCCACCTTTCTTCCTAGCCACCCCAAGAGGCCTATCAGGAGGGAAGTGTTGGTGTGTTGTAGGAGGAGTGGAGGCAGACTTCAGAAAAGAGCTTTGCAAAGGTCTAGGCAGAGAAAAAGCCAAGCCTGAGCAGGAGTCTCCCTGAGCTTCGAGGGAGCAGAGGCTTGGGCGAAGGCTCTGGGAACTGGGTGCCATGTCCCTGTCAGGTTGGCCCTAAGCACCTGTTACCAGAGCTCCTCCATGCCCACTCAGCCTCAGCTTCCCCACTGCTAAGCCAAGGAGTGGAAAAGCCCCTTCCAGGATGGTTCTCAATGTGCAGGGGACTGTGGGGCGGCACCACGGGAGCCAGGCACAGCGCTTTCCAGGCTGAAGCAGGAAGATCACAAGTTGGAGGTCAGACTGAACAATTTAGCAAGACCTTGTTTTAAAATAAATGCAAAAAGAGGGGCTGGGGATTTAGCTCAGGGGCACTGCACCTGCCTCCAAAGCTCAAGGTCCTGAGTTCAATCCCTGGTACAAAAAAAAAAAATGCAAAAAGGGCTGGGGATGTGCCTCAGTGGTGGAGCACCCAGGTTCAATTTCCAGTAAGAATAAGAAAAAGATGAATAGAAAAGAAGCCAGAAAAGAAGAGAAGAAGCCAGGCGTGGTGGCACATGCCTATAATCCCTGCACATGGGAGGCTGAGGCAGGAGGATCACCTTGAGTTTGAGGCCAATCTGGGCTACATAGTGGGTTCAAGGCCAGCCTGGACTACATTGTGAGACCCTGTCTCCAAAAACAAACAAACAAACAAATAAATAAATAAATAAATAAAAAGAAAGAAAAGAAAAAGAGAAAGCACTATGAGACCGACGAGCAAGTCCTGAGTCCCTGGCCTGGCTGTCCTTAACTTGCTGTGTGATCTAGGTCACAGCACTTGCCCTCTCTGATTCACATAAGTTAAAAAATGGAGGGGCCAGGGATTTAACTCAGTGGTTCCACTACCTGCCTCGAAAGAGCAAGGTCCTGAGTTCGATTCCTGATACCAAAAAAACAATGTCTTTTCAGCCCACCTGGGAACAGCTTGGCTCCTCTCCAGTTACTAGTATTTTTAAGAAGGAAGTGAATGCTGGAGGCTGCCAGGACAGAGGGTTTCACAGGCCGATTCCAGTTCCCTTTTAGGTCTAGGTTAGAGTGTTGGCCAAGCACTTAGGGAGGGGCAAGGAGAACGTGGCATGGAGGCAGAGCTGACTGCGCAGCTGCTCTCATACCCCCGGCTGCCCTCAGCACCCTCACCTGCCTTAGGAACCGCCGTGTGCCAGGTTCCTGTCCCCAGGGCAGCAGGGGGAGAAATCATTTGAGATGGAGAAGGCAGGACTGCAGAAGCTGAGCTCGTCCTCCAGCAGGCGGGGTCCCCCGGGGATATGCTGGGGACCCTGCTCCATCTTTTTTAGGAGAAGTGGCCTGGGCTAGGTGGCAGAGGTGGAAAGGGTAACATTTCTGAAACATCCAAAGGAACGAGGGAACCTACAGTCCCCTCTGCTCTCCTTCATTCCGGTTACCCAGCCGGACTCTCAAGGGCCCCTCCTGCCCTTGGCAAACAGAAGCCCAAACTTCCAGAGTCAAGTGGCCCTGGTGAGCTCAAGGGCTTCCTCCTGGCAGGCAGGGCCGCGGTCGCAGTGGGAAATAGTTCTAGCAGCCTGGATGCCGGCTCTCCCGCCCCAGCCCTCTGAAGTGGAGGCCAGAGCCTTTGCACAACCTAAGCTCCATTCCTCTGTGGCACCCCACACAACTCAGTTCCCTCCGCTTTGGCTCTCCGTAGGTTCCCACCTTCAGAGAGATGGGGTGCTGGGCGTTGTGTTTGCTTTTTGTTTTCTTTCGTTTTTTGATACTGGGGATGGAACTCAGGACCTTGCAGTTGAGAGGCAGGCAGCGGCACCACTGAGCTAAATCCCTAGCCTTGGGTGTTGTGTTTGATCGTGGGGGGATGGGGAATGTGGAGAAGTTTAGCAGATGAGGGTCCCAGGGAAAATGAGATAGAAGAGTAGCTGGGGATGTGGTTGCCCACATCCATAATCCCTGCACTTGGATGGAAGGCTGAGGCAGGGAGATCATAAATTCAAGCCCAGCCTGGGCTATGTAGCAACTTAGTGAGATCCTGTCTCAAAATAAAGAATTTTTTAAAAAATAAACAAATAAAATAAAGAATTTATAAAAGGCCTGGGGGGCTGGGGATTTAGCTCAGTGGTTTTGCTGCCTGCTGCACAAGCACAAGGACCCGAGTTCGATCCTTGGTACCAAAAAAAAAAGGGCTGGGGACGCAGCTCAGTGTGAAGCCCCTGCCTTCAACACCCAGTACCACAAAGAAAAAAAAAAAGAAAATAAAAGAAAAGAGCAAGAGAAGAAAGAAAAAAGGGGGCCACTCAAGCATCCTGGTCCTTAGGATTTGCCCCTCGGGAACCATGGAGCTGGCCTTCCCCGGTCAGTGGCCACAAGGCCACCCCTGCCCTCAGCCACCGAGGCTGGCCCACAGACACCTGGTGTCCATGGTCCAGGGGTCTCCATCCCAGCCTCCACCCCGCGCCCAGGCTGCAGCCCCCTCCCCGGCACACGTGCCAGCCTTACCCCCAGCCCAGCAGTGGAGACGCCAACCCAGGCGTCCCAGATTTCCAGCAGAGTCTGCGAGCAGGGCCCGGAGGGGTGCGGGAGGGAGGGCGCCCCAGTTCCCAGGCAGCTCTTAAAGAGACCAAGAAGATTTAGCCAGGGGCAGCTTAGGGGGTGAGTGGAGAACAGAGTGGTGCTGGGGGACTGGACTGCCAGGCCAGGAGGGGAGGGCTATGGCCTCCGCCTCCCCCACCTCCCGAGCCCCGTGTCTCTGCCCAGCCTGTCCCCTCTGCCGTGAGACCCCCATGCGCCCACCAGCTTGCTCCCCACCGCTTGCACACCCTGTCCCTGTTCTCCTTGGACCCCTGCCCACTTCCTCCCCTCCCCCATCCCATGCCACCCCAGTCTCCGGTAGGTGCTGCCAGCTGGCACTGACTGGCACTGGCTGAGAGAATCAGCCTAAGGAGACAGAGCCTGAGGCCTGGCTCTCGGGAGAGGCTAGCCTGGGGAGCTGCCCCACAGGGTGGGGAGCAGCAAAGGCTCTTGCCCCCTCCTGCCTCTGCTGGGCCAGCAGGGCTGTGGCGTGGAAAGGAGAGGACCAGGACAGTCACTAGCCACGGGCCATGGGAGGTGGGAGCACACAGAGCAGGGGGACATAGGAGCACAAAGGAAAGACGGAGAGACTCAGAAATCTGCAATTCTCCATCACAACTGCTCACAGGGCCCGCAGAATCCACGCAGACTCCCCAGACTCACTGGGATGCCACCTCCGGTCAGCGTGGGCTCTGCCAATCCCACCTGGACCCTGCCTTCCTGCAGGTTTCTGTTTGCACTGTCTCCCACCCGGAGCAGGGCTTCTTCTCACACTGCTGGAGAGACCTGTCCTGCCCTTCACACCCATGCCGAGATCCTTCCTCCGCACCCCCTGGGCTCTTATCCCACAGTCCAAGTTGACACAGTATTTTCAGGCAGTTGGGAGTCCTGGGAGACTTCTGGTAAACCTCCCTACGCAGGGCTCCCAGTTGCTTCACTTGTAATGGGAACCATATAGACATGGGGTGCACGCCCATAACCCCAGCTATTTGGGAGGCTGAGGAGGGAAGACAGTAAGCTCAAGTCCAGCCTAGGCAATTTAGTAACTCAGTGAGACTGTGTCTCAAAATAAAAAATTAGCTCAGTACAAAAGTCCTGGGTTCAGTTCCCAGTACTGCAAAAGTAAAACAAAGTATTTTAAAAATTAAGAAAGAAAGAACAGTAGTAACCTGCCCATTAGCGGTGACAGCACAAACTAGTTCCCCTTTTGGAAGTCACTGGCAAGAAGTGCTTCAGAAACGCTTACACCAGCGAGGCCAGCTGACTCTGCGCTTCCGGTAGAAAGCCCTGCGGTGCAGTCAGGTCCTGCACGAGATTCCAGGGACTCACCACGAATAAGACAAAATTATCCACCCTGGGTGCATATGCTCTATGGGGAAGAGAAAACGCACACACACGTGAAACACGTTCAGTGGGTTGGAGTGCTGTCGAGTGGGGTGGTTCTGCTGTGCTAGGCTTCCAGGTGTGAAGGGCATTGTCATTTATAAAATGTAATCAGAGGGCCAGGGATTTAGCTCAGTGGTTCCGGCACCTGTGTCACAAGCACAAGTTCCTGAGTTTGATCCTTGGTACCAAAAAAAAAAAAAAAAAGTGTAATCAGAGAAGGCTTTGCTGGCCGATGATACAGTGATCCAGGCAGAGGGGACACCAAGGCAAATACCCTGGGGCAGGCAAGCACTGGGCCCCAGTCACAGTCACCGGGCTGCAGTGGTGACCAAGGAGGTGGCAGTGCTGGGGTTTCATGCCTGGCGTGGCCTGTCCTTGTGAGCAGCTGTTCTCGAGTGGGAGGTTTGGAAGGCTATGGCTGTTGAGCAGGAGGCCAACTGAACTGCTAAAGGACCATAAGGGAGGAGGAACAGAGCAAGGGTAGAGGCCAGCCAGGACGCCAACCCCACGGTCCGACCTGCTCCCGGATGACCATCAAAGGTGCATGGATCCCACATGCATCATAAAGATTTAAATAAATCCCTGGGTTCAGGGCTGGTGGCATGCACCTGTAGTCCCAGCTACTCAGGCGGCTGAGCCAAGAGCCCAAGAGTTCAAGTCCAGCCTGGGCAACATAAGGAGATAATACCTCAATAATAATTAATAATAATAATAATAATCCTTAGTAGAGTGGTTGCTTAGAATGTGCAAATCCCTGGCTTAACCTCCAGCACAGAAAAAAAAATAAATAAAATTTGAATAAATTTAAATACAATTTTAATGCAGATAGGATTGGCTAAGGATTGATGTGGGGTCCGGGAGAGTGAGGGGAGTTGAGGACGCCTCCAGGGCCGGCGACTGGAGGGAGGAGGGCGGGTCCTGCGCCAAGGCCTGGCGGGCGGCAGCTGTGGGCCGGGCAGTCAGCAGCACCACGCTTGAGGCCGCGGCTGCAGAGGCCTCGTGCGCCTGCGCACCGACCGAAACGAGAATCGGGCCCTGTGCGTTCGTGCAGAGCCCGGGGGAAGCGGGAGAACCCACGGGGGGGCCGGGGAGGGTGAGTCACCGTGACAGTCGAGGGCGGGTCAGGGGGTGCAGGGCGCAGGGACGGTCCCTGGGGCGCAGCTCGGTGCGGGGAGGTCTGCGGAGCGGGACGGGCGGTGTTGCAGCCCCAGTTTTACTCTAGAGTACGTGTTGCACAAAATAGTGCAAACATTTTCAAATAATCCCCTGCTGCCTGCGGGGCGCCGGCCTGGGCGGTCATCACGTGGGCGGCCCCGTGCGCGCACGCAGCGGCTGCGGCCCCCCGCAAGGCCGGCTCCCAGCCGCGTCTGCGCCCTCGCCTCCCGCCCTCGGCCTTCCTCCGGGCCTCGGTCCGGTCCCTGCGTCTCTGTCCCGGGCCGCCGCGCCCCGACCCCAGTGCTGCAGGAGCCTCTGGCGCCCCCCGGTGTCCGCCGCGGGGAGTGGACGCTTACACTCTGGCTCCGAGGGAGCCGCCGTGTCCTGGCCTTCCCGGAGCTGCCCGCCCCGGCAGAAACCCCTACTTCGAGGGCCACCCCCTTCCTCGCAGCTTTTCTTCCTCCAGAGGGCCCAGGCCAGGGAAAGTCGAGGATTTCCAGCCGGACTCGAGGCCTGGCTTCTTTCATTATTTTGCTTTTCCCCACATCCCCAGGCACGCCCCCTTTCCTCCCTGACGGGATTTATTTCTTAGAAGTGCTGGGGACCAACTCCAGGGCAGGAGCTCTGCCACCGCGCCATACCCCCAGCCCTCCCTTTGGGGGGGGGGGGTGAGGGTTCAACTCCTTCGCCAGAGAAAGTAAACGTACATCCCACCACGCATATTTTGTGCTCAGAGAAGCGTGACGTCCGGAGAGCAGGGCTCTGTAGCGACTGTCGCCGTCTCTGCCACGCACTCTGGCCCGGGCCTCCAGCTCCAGGTCAGAGGCAGAGGGGACAGGAGCTCCCTGTCCCGACAGTCTCAGGTCAGACGAGTGCAGCACCGCGGGCGAGGTCTGAGCAGAGCGGTTCCCCTGCCTGGCCTCGGCTCCTCACCTCCCCGGGGCGCTGCATGGGCCCCACGGCCTTGTCACTTTGTCCCCAGTACTTTTCTAACTCCCACTGGAGTGAGGCTCCCAGGACACTGAATGTGTTTTGTTGGGGTTTTTTTGGGGTACCGGGGATCAAACTCGGGACCTTGTGCTTGCAAGGCAGGTGCCAGAACCGAAAGCACTGAGCTAAATCCCCAGGTCCCCGCTTTTTTTTTTTGGTACCGGGGATCGAACTCTGGTCCTTGCGCTTGCACAGCAGGAAGCGGAAACCACTGAGCTAAATCCCCGGCCCTGAATGTGTTCTCTTGCTTATCTCCTTGTCCCCCAAGCCCACAAAGCAACGTTAACTGCGTGCGTGCAAGTCCAGCCCTGTCCAGCGCCCTTCTGCCCTGCTGTCTTAACCCCAAACTCCCGGGGCGGCCAGGGCACCACTGAGCGATCAGTGCTGGAAGCAGGCGTTAGGCAGTAAACTTTTTACTTCTGGGAGGTGTTGTGTGTGCGGGGGGGTCTTCACATCCAGAGGGAGGTCACAGCCTGAGTGTCCAGGTGGGCGCTCTTGGGTTCACCTCACCCTGCGCCCCCAGAGCAGGGGGGGCTGCAGCAGTGCACATGACGCAGTGACACCCACTGACAAAGACACCAGGAGGCCAGGGCTAGAAACAGCTTAGTATATTGATCTGGGGAGGGAAGGGTGCAGATGGGAAACAGGGTGGCAAGGGGCTCCTTAGTGTTTGCCAGTAACTACCTCCAGGCTCCCTTCACCCCCTGGCCTTCCTCCTCTGTCTGGTTCTCACCCTTTCCGGGGTCTCCTCTCCCTCGTCCTGCACGCCTTGACCTCGACCTGACCTCCAGCGACTGCACAGAGCCCAGCCAGGCTCTGAAGCTGGGGAGGTGGGGGCCAACCCCTTTGCTCCCTCTCACCCCCCACCGCATTCCCATCTCTTGTCTAAAGGAAATGTACAGAAGCAAGCGCAGCAGGGTCTGAAGAAGGGGCTCACCCCGGGCAGGGCAGGGTGGGGACAGGAGGGGCAGCCAGAGCCTCAGCCCACTCGGGCACCGGGGAGACCAGCTTGGGCCTCCCCTCTCTCAGGCTGGCCTGGCAGCTGCAGACTCCATGCCTCCCCTCAGGCACCATGTCACGGGGTCCCCGGGGTCGGGGGCAGCCGGGACAGCAAAGGAGAAGCTAGGTCTGTGACGGCATCCCTTCCCTTAGCTCCTACAGGAAGCCCTCTTTGGTATTTAAGGCAGATGTAGAGTTTCCTGGAAGCAGGGAAAGGAAGGAAGGAAGGGGGGAGAAATTAGGGTTGAGAGAGAATTTTTTTTTTGCTTATGCTTTTCCTTCAGTATAAAACCACTGTAGAAAATAACTTCTCTTAGAAAAAAAATACAGAAGAAAAAAAAAACCAAAGCGGGTGTTTTCTTTGGCTTCAAGCCTGCTCCCATGAGGTGCAGGGCAGGGGTGGGCATGAGGTGAGCAGGAAGCAGGGGCCTCCGCCCTCAGCCCTGCCCGGCAGGTCCCAGATTACATGATGCTGCAGTTCTGGGGTTTCTAAGAGAGAAGAGAGGGGAGTGCGTGAGCCGAGGCCGCACTGGTCCCTACCTTCCCGGCCTGCGCCTGTGGAAGGAAGGTGGTGTTGCCCCATCCCTCACCCTCCGCCCCGCCCTCAAGTCTGGGGCTCAGACCGGAGGGGCAGGAAGTGGGAGTGGGCTGTTCAGGACCCAGGCTGAGGGGAGCTCCCACTCCCCCGGGCTGCGGAGGAGAAGGCTCTGTCCCCAGGCCCACTGTGTCCTAAGCCTCAGTGACCAGGGTCTGGTCTAGGGCCAACTCACCTGGGTTCGGGGGCGGGAGTTGCCCAGGAGGTAGGAGCGGGTGACCAGGTTGTCCCCGAAGCTGCCACCCCCACTGCCCCCCACACTGCGGTAGCTGCGAGTGACTGTGACACTGGAGGCGGAGGAGCCAGAGGAGATGGATCCGCCCAGCTGGGCTGCCGAGCTGCTGGCAGATGCCTTGTCGGCTGGCTGCCCGCATGTCCCGCACAGCACGGTGCGTGAGCGCAGGTTGTACTCGGCGGGGTCCCCCGAGCTGCTGCAGTGGGAGCCCTGGGGAGGGAGACAAGGCTCAGGCGGAACGGCGAGTCTGGGACCGACTGCTCAGATGCCAGACACAGGCTCCGGCTCCTGTGGGCTGCCAGCCTTGGGCCGGTGGGCAGGCGGGAAGGTGGGGTTTGTGCTGGGAGCCAGAGGGGCTGGAAGTCAGGGGCTGGAAGGAGGATGCAAAGGGGAGAAAGGTCAAGAAGATGGATGTAGAGAGTGGCTTTGACTCTGAGCTTAAGAGGAAAAGTGGGGTGGGGAAGGAACAAGCTTACAGAGCAGTAGACATGCAAAGTTAATTCGAGAGGGGCAGGAATGAGAGAAAACATTCTTGCAGAAGAAGTGAGGGCGGTAAAAGGACATGCGTGCTATAAGACCAGAAGACAAGAAAGGAAATGCATGCAGCCTGAAAGGGGGGAGATGCAGGGCTGGAGCGCCCACCTCTGTCCTCCGTCCCCTGCCAGGAGACAAATCCAGACAAATCCTTGTCCCCTGCTCCCGTGGGAATTCTCCACGGCACCAGGAAGTTCCCACTCCCTTCCTTACCAGAGGAGGGCACCCAGACACCTGGGCTCCCTGCTCCAGGTAGGGGGAGGAGAGAGAAGAAAGGCCAGGCAGCGAGTGAAGTTCCAAAACATTCTTTAATGAAAAGACTTTGGCATGGGAGGCGGGGAGAGAGGCTGCCCAGGCCCGGCGGGCGCGCTGCGGGCTGCTCAGCGGCGGCTGCCACTCACGTGGTGGTGATGGAGCAGGTCCTCTCCATCCTCATCCTCGTCGTCCTCCACCACGGTCACGGAGCGCACCAGCTTGCGCATGGCCACCTCCTGCAAGGACGCAGGGTGCGGAAGGTCAGGGAGCAGAGCGGTAGCAGCCGGTCTACCTGCGGGGCCAGCTGGGACTTCCTGAACCAGGGGGCCTCGCTTTGCTTGGGAAGGAGCAGGGGAACCCTCCTGGCTGACCTCGCCCCTGGCCCTGTGGGCTGAGGACCGCTGCCCCAGCTCCGGCCACTAGGGGGGCCCCGGGAGCGGAGCGGCACACGCACCTCGCCGGTGGAGTTGATGAGAGCAGTGCGCAGGCTGTTGCCACAGCCCCAGGTGCTCTGTGCCTTCCACACCAGGTCGGTAGGGGGGCTGTGGGTGGCCCCGGCTCCTGAGGCCCAGATCTGGGGAAAGAGGATTAGAGGACAGCGCTCACTCTGCTGCTGCCGTCCTCAGCCCCAGGCGTCCCCGCAGCACCTCCAGGCTCAGAGACTCACCGTCACAACCTGCCCAGCCTTCAGGGTGAATTTTGGTGGGAAGCGGTAGGTCAGCAAGGGGTCATCTCCATTCTGGCGCTTGATCTGCCAGTTGCCCATGGACTGGTCCTGCGGAGGGCAGGGACGAGAGGCAGGTTCAGTGTGCTGCTCCCGGGCCAGGCGGGGGCCGTGGGGCACAACTGCAGTGCCAGCCACTCCAGAGCTGAGCATCACGTCACAGCGAGCCCAGGCAGGCCTGCCTCCGTCCACACAGGGAGGCTGCTTTCCCTCCCTCCACTCCCAGCCGCCTGTGCCCCGGTCCCAAGGATTTGTCCTTGCTCTTTTCCTCTTCCCACTCACTCACTTAGGGCCTATTTTATTTTTATTTTTGGCAGTACTGGGGATTGAATCCAGGGCCTTTTCCACTGAGCTGCATCCCCTTTTCACTGTGTGAGACAAGGTCTCACTAAGTGGCTAAGTCGCCCAGGCTGGGCCCACTCTTGCCTCCTCCCCATCCTCCTGCCTCAGCCTCCCAGAGTGCTGGGATCACAGAGCGTGCAGCACACGCCTGGCACGTAGGGCCTGCTCCTCATCCCTGTTGCAGGTTGGGAAACACCTGCCCCCGGGTTCACAGCGAGTCCAGGAGCCAGGCCCGGAGCTTGGCAGTGCCCCCTCCAGCCCTGCCTGGCAGCCTACCTCGTTGGACTTGTTGTGCAGCCGCACAAACTTGCCCCCCTCGTCCACCTCCTCCACGGCCACGCGCCCGCTAGTGCGCGCGTGCTGCGAGAAGCTGCTGCGGCTCTCTGTGGACTCCAGCTTGCGCTTTTTGGTGATGCTGCCCCCGGCGCCATGCGTCTGGGATGAGTGGGAGGAGGTGCGGCCGCGGCTGCGCTGCGAGGTGGGGCTGGGGGACAGGCGGAGCCTGGGGAGGCAGAGAGGCTGTCAGGCCTGATGCAGGCGCCCACTGCCCCGCCCCCGCCTCCTCCTGGGGCACCCACCTCTCCTCCTCGCCCTCCAGGAGCTTGCGGTAGGCGTGGATCTCCATGTCCAGCGCCAGCTTGATGTCCAGCAGCTCCTGGTACTCGTCAAGCTGCTGCTGCATCCTGGCGCGCATCTCCGCCATCTCCCGCTCCTTGTCGGCCAGCAGCCGGCGGCTGGTGTCCCGTTCCCGGGCCAGCGAGTCCTCCAGGTCCCGAAGCTTCGCCTCCTTGGCTGCCAGCTGGAATGGAGGAAGTGAGGGTCTGGTGAGCTCCCCGGGGCATGGGTACCGGGACATCGAAGACCCGTCCAGCATCTGTGGGCTTTCCTCTGAACCCAGGTGTGGACCAGGAAGTCCTCCCAGCATCTGACTGAAAGCTCTCATTCTGAGGCTAGACCCCACTTCCTCCTGTCCCAAATGGCATGGCCAGCGGGATAATACTGATGGCTCCACCATGGAACCCTGAAGAGGGTTGTGGCAGATCTGAGTTGCAGAGGACAGTGATCTCATTTCCAAACAGGAAACACATCCCTGAGAAGGAAGGCATGGGCAGAGGGAGGGCCGGTGGGGCAGACAGACAATCTGACTATTCTGTCCCTCTCCTCCCCGGGCACCCAGCCCTGACCAGTGCTGCTGGTGAGCGGCATCACCTGCTTCTGCAGCTGGCTCAGCTGGGCCGACAGGCTGTCGATGCGGATCCGGGACTGCTGCAGCTCCTCGTGGGCGGCCCCCACCAGGTTGCTGTTCCTCTCGGCAGACTGCCTGGCGTTGTCCAGCTGCAGGGAATGCACAAGGTTAGGGCTGCGGGCACTGGAAGGGCAGTCGAGGGCCTCCCTGAGGCACAGCCTGGTATGGGCAGGGCCAAGGCTGCCGGGGCAGGGGCTGCGAAGCCCTGGGGAAGCCCTGAGCGGCACCTTGGCAGAGTAGGTCTTCTCCAGCTCCTTCTTGTACTGCTCCACCTGGTCCTCGTGCTGGGCCCGAAGCTCCTGCAGGGCATCGGCCAGGCGACTCTCAAATTCGCGCTGCTTCCCATTATCAATCTCCACCAGCCGGGTCTCGTGGCGGCGCTTGGTCTCACGCAGCTCCTGGAAGGGTTGGAGTGAAAACAGAGACTGCGTCAGAAGGGCCAAGCTCACCCCGGCCCAAGCCCAGGTGGCCACTTCAGTCAGGGGCTGGCGCAGCACCTTCCCCGTGACACAGGGTGGCAGCAGGTGGGCGCTCCCTGACCCGCCCAGCCGTGTCTCACCACCCAGCCCCTACCTCGCTGTAGATGTTCTTCTGGAAATCCAGCTCTTCCTTCAGGGTCTGCAGCCTGTTCTCAGCATCCACCCGCCGCAGCATCTCATCCTGAAGTTGCTTCTTGGCCTCGCCCAGGGCCGCCTCAAGCTGAGAGGAGGGATCAGGGGTCAGGAGGCTCAGGGAGGAGGGCAGAGGGAAGCTGGGCAGTGCTCGCCCTGGGCCCGCTTTACTGCAGAACAGGCCAGTGGATGTGAGGACGTTCACCCTCGCACAGTAACTACTCCAGCTGGGTACTGTGCCGAGGACTCACACGAATCCCTCCAGCACCGTGGGGCCAGCCCTGCACGGCACACACAGCAGCCATGAAGGAGACCCGCACGAAGCAGAGAGGGTGCCTGGGGGTGGAGGGTCTGGGAAGACCTCCAGGAGGCTGACCCTTGGGGACATGCTAGCGGAGCCTGGGGAGGGCCTGCACGTGGCTGAGGGCCAGAGACATGTTGCAAAGGGACAGGGCGGTGAGGCACGTGTGCCTGCTGCGGTCCCAGAAGATCGGCACTGGTGAAGAACAAAGTGTGGGGCCGGGACATCGGAGGGGATGCAGCTGCCCCGGATGCAGGGGCGGAACTGTGAAGAGATGCTTTTCTCTGCCACGAAAAGAGCCCTGAAGAGGCCAGTTTAGGGCCCCAGCCCCAGACACTGAAAGCAGACGGAGAAGAGGAGGGCGTCCCTGTAGGGGGTAACTGCGGGTGTCCTTGACCTGAGGAGTCAGAGGCCACGAGCTTGAGTGGGCCCTCACCCACCAGCCACGGATCCTGGAGCCTCTCTGAGCCACCCTGAGGGCCAAGAGCCTGAGCTCGAGTCCCAGCCATCCCTTGCAGGAAGCCTCATGCCACTCTGCTCCCTTCTATTTGAGGTCTCCCCTTCCCCGCTTCCCTACTCTCCCGGAGTGTGGTCCAGGGGCCTGGGTCCCCCCCTCGACTCTTAAGGCTGGTGTTCTGTACAGACTGCTTTCCAAGCCAGCTGTTTCGTGACCATTTGTGTTTAGAGGATGTGCCAGCCTGTGGCAAAACACTGTGTGCTGTATTTATTTATTCTGTTAGTTGAAGAAACAAAACTCAAACCACCCCCTTCCCCTTGTCCTGCCTCCTGCGTAGTGCAGCATGATACTGTCTAGTGTATCTGTCTGTCTTTTTGTCCATCTTACTTCCTGGGATGTTGTGACCTGTTCTTTGTCCTACTTGGCTAATAAAAGAGAACCTGGTAGCCTCCCCCCGGCAAAAAAAAGAGCCCTGAAGAAGCCCGGGCGTGGCAAGCACGCTGTCATCCCAGAACTCTGGGAGGCTGAGGCAGAGAGATCACAAGTTCAACCCCAGCCTGGGAAACTTAGCAACTTAGTATGACCCTGTCTCAGAATAAAAAACAAGTGGGCTGGGAATGTAGCTCCAATGCAAAGGTCTTGGGTTCAATCCCTACTATGGGAAGAAGAAAGGCTCTGAAAAGTCTGTGCAGGGGAACACCTTGTTAAGATGTTCATTCTCTTTGTTTTGCTACTGGGGATTGAACCTGGGGCTTTTGACTGAGCTATACCCCAGCACCTTTTTTGGAGACAAGGTCTCTCTGGAGTTCAGACTGGCCTCGAACTCACAGTGATCCTCCTGCCTCAGCCTCCCAAGTGCTGGAATCACAGGCGTGCACCACCATGCCTGGCGGGTTTTTTTTTTTTTTTTCTTTTGAGACAGGGTCTGTCTATGGAGTTCAGGCTGGCCTCAAACTCGAGGCCATCCTCCTGGCTCGGCCCCCCTGTGCTGAGATTACAGGCATGTGCCACCACGCTAGCCACTAAGATGTTCATTTTAGAAAGTGCAGGCAGATGGGCTGGGGAGCACAGCCCTGCATTGGCCCAGAGTCAGCCTTCTCAGGGTCTCTCTGGTGTGGAGTGGCCGCCAGGCTTGTGAAGAGGGCCCGGGAAGGGAGACCGCCCACTGAGCAGAGGAGCCGGTAACTGAGACTGACTCTGGGCCCTGCTTGTAACATGAGAAATCGGCGAGGAGACAGAAGGGTGTCTCAGAGCGCAGCCCACCACATGCGCTGAGGGTCATCAGAGCTGGGTGTGAGTAGCCGTCAGCTCCCCTTGAGGCTGCAGCACTAGCTGCTCCTCTTCTTTTCTTCCAGAGGGCAAAAGCTGTCCAGAGCCATCCAGGCCCAGTCACCGCTCAAAGTTAAAAGGACACAGCTTTTGGATTACTTGAAATTCCTTGTGCTAGGTCCCTCAGCAGCCAAAGGAGGCTGAAGGCAGTCGGGGGACAGGGGGGGCGGGGAGCCAGTGTGCGCACGGGCGGCGGTCACGTGTGCCTACCTTGGCCACCTGCCCCCTCAGGTCGTGCAGCTCGCCCTCCAGCGTGCGCTTCTCACTGAGGGCTGTGCTCAGCGCAGCCTCCTTGGAGTTGAGCAGCGCTTCCAGGTCCTTGAGCCGGGCCTGGGCGGCCATCAGGTCACCCTCCTTTTTGGTGTTGCTGAAAAAGAGAGAAGAGTAGGTTTCAGAAGAGTCGGCTCTCCCTGCAGCTGCCAGGAGGGGGCGTCCTGGCTTTAGGTTTGTGCATCTGCCTGCCTCTGGGGCTGGGCTCCCACCTCCCCCAGGTCCCCCAAACCCCATTCCTGTCCTCCACCCTTCCCATGACTCAGGGCTCAGGAACGTGCCTAGGGCCAAGGGCAAAGCTAGATCCCATGATATGAATGCTTTTCCTTCTCTCCCCTCCCATTCCTCCCAAAAGACACAGGGGCACCTTTGTCTGGCACCCCTCCCACACAGGGCCTTAACCTTCCCCTCCCTGGGCTCCACCCACTTGCCATTCAGCAGCTTCCCTCCCTCCCAGGAGCCCAGCGACCAGGCTCCCAGGCCTGGGGATCACAGGCCCCTAGCACTTCTCCCTGTCTGAGCCCCAAAGCTGTGGTTCCCCCTCCTGACCCCTTCTACCTCGCAGGACACTGGGGAAGGAAAGTCTGGTTAGAGCTCAAGGAGAGAGCTGGGATGCGGGCCATGGAGCACAGTGTGACCTTTCCCTCTCAGGACCCTCTGGATCTGCTGCCAGGGCAGAGAGAGGGTCTCCACCTCCCTCCAATCCCTGAGGAAATCCTGTCCCCCCATCAGCCCCCAGTTGCAGCTCCAGATGTGGCTCCCTGGCCTCCACGCCCATCTGGGCTCCTCAGACTGGCACAACTGCCCCTGGGCTGCCCTGGCCTCCCGCACCTCCCTGGGCCCCTGGCCACTTCCGCCAGTGGGCTGAGGAACAGAGATGCTCTTCCCTCACAACCTCCAGGGACCCCAACAATCTCTGGACTGACATTACAGTCACTCCGCAGATACAGGCGGAGAGAAGGCTATTGATCCAGGGAGGGGCAGAAAAGATCCCGGCCCTGGTCCCAGCTGCTCTGAAACACAGCAGTCCCCAAACAAGCTTAGCTGGAAGGAAAGAACCAAATGTGGGCAGGCGGGAAAGCCTACCCTGGGGAGGAGAAGCAGCGCAGCCCTGTCAACATTTTTCTCCTGCCACAGACGCCCTCAGTTCCGAGAGCACAGGGAGAGAGGCCAGACAGCTGGGGACTCAGGAGATTCCAAACAAGGGGTCACCCCTCCAACTGGCCTCCACCAGGCTGGGAAGGGGACCCAGGGACACCCCAGGGGCTGGTGAAAAACAGAACAAGTTGTCTAATGCAACAGTGTCTCCTGCAAACAGGCCCTTCCAGAGCCCCAGAATGTCTCTCTCCTCCGTCTTGGCCTAAAAAACTAAAAATAAAGTCAAAACCCAGCTCAGGTTTTGGCCGCCATCCGGCCCGGCCGCTGGCTGGGAGCACACCCCCAACTTTCCATGACTTCAGAACTTTTCCAAAGCTGAGGCAGCTGCAAGGGGAGGAGGAGAAAGAAGAAAAACTGCTGGGAAAGTGAAGCACAGGCTCCGGGCTCCTTGGGCCCACTCCCAGGCTGGCACGTGCTTGGCAGAATAGGCCTCCCACCTTGAGGGCCAACTGCAGTAGGTGGCTGCATTCCAGAGATTCCGGGACCCAGGCAACTGCACTTGGCTCAGCCTCCTCCTCTTCCAGCAGAGGACTCAGGTGTGGAGCTGGGTGGCCCCGAAGGCTGGCTAGTGGTCCGGGGCTGCTTGCCTCCACCTCACTGCTTCCCCAGACTCGAGGCTCAGGAGCAGACCCTGAGTGACAAGATGCTGGGGACGGGAAGGAGCGCAGGGTGCTTGCGGCCTGCACCTTGAGAAAATCTCTTCCCTGATCCTCTCCCTGGGGCTCTAGCGGAAATACCCATCCGTGGCTGTGCCCAGCAGATGCTGGCTGAGGAAGACAGGCCCTGTGCTCTGGGAGCTGATGATCCGACAGGCACAGGCATCAGACTGTTTGGTTTTCCCTGTAATCTCTTCTTGCTGCTCCCCAAAGTGACAGTCATGGTAATAATAATAATAATAATAATAATAATAATAATAATAATAATATACAGGCCCAGGGATTTAGCTCAGTGGCACCTGGTCCTGAGTTCAATGCCTAGTACCAAAAATAATAATAATCATAATAATCATAACAATAATATAGTCATGGGCAGGGGGTATTGCTCAGTTGTAGAGTGCCTACCCAGCCATGCTAGGCTCCGGGTTCTAATCCCCAGCACTGCCAATATACATATATATGGTCACATGGTTATGTCACAGGTCTCTTAATGACAGGTTCTGAGAGGCTGACAATTTCATCGTGCAAACATCATAGTGCACTTGTGCAAACTAAGACAGCTATGATGGGACAGGGAGGAAACTACCCTTCATATATATGGTCTGTTGACTAAAATGAGGCATGGGGGACATGACTAATAGTAAACACACAGAGCTTATTATGTACCAGACACTAAGGATTACAGCTACTCTGAGAAAGATGCAGTTCGGCTCACGGACACTGGGGCAGAGGCGGCGTGCGGTAAGTAGGTAGCAGACATAGAAATGGAGCTGAACCAGCGCGGCCATGGTAGACTGACTTCTCAATAACTGAGGGAGGTTCCATCCCGTCCCTCTGGTGCGCTAGGTGCTAGGGATTGCTGGGCAGGTGCTCCACCACTGAGCTGCATCCCAGCCCCTCCCGCAGGTCTGACTGGCCCTGCAGAGAGGGGATTAAAGTAGGAAGACACACCCTGCAGATGAAGGAAACCGCAAGCGAGCTGTGAGCTGGAGGGGGGAGCGGGAAGAGCCTCTGCGGCCTCCTTAGGCCTGGGGAGCTCCCATCTGTGGGGAAGAAGCCACTATCGCCATGGCTCAGCCTGTGACTCAGACCTGGGCAGCACCAATCACCACCTCCTCGGACCCCTTGGGGCTGAAGCAGACACTGGCCAGGCATTGGGCCCTAGCATGGCAGGGGGAGGCTGGGCACGTGCTGAGCACTGTGGCCGGGAAGCCGGGCTGGCAGGGAAGAAAGGGTGAGGCAGGCCAGGAGCTGGGAAGGGTGGGAGCCTCCTCAGGTGACTCATGCCCATGCAGACAATACCAGGGCAGGGGTGGAAATCCTCTAGTGCTCACAGGGGAGACCCTGGCTTCCCAAATCCTGCCCCGGGCCTCTCCTGCATCCTCCATGTGCCCCCAGCACAGGAGTGGATCTGTCCCTGTCCCTGCAGCTCCCTCTGGGGGCAAGAAGGGCTGGGCATCCTGTCCAACGCGTCCGTCCCCCAGCTGGCAAATCCCACACAGCAAGAGGGGAGAGGGGATGTGCGGGATGGACTGCAGGAAGCTCCGAGGATAGGAGGGAGGGCAAAGGAGGGCTGGGGCTGCCAGATGCCAGACCGGGCCACCAGGCCAGGCTGGCGAGCTCCGGCAGAAGGGCGCCAGCCACCGAGGGCCTGGTGGGCACCTTCGGCCAGCGTGCTGCCCCCCACTGAGTCACTGTCCCCTGTGATACGGTCCCAGGCCAGCTATGGAAGCTGGCAGCCTGTTTGAGCCTGGTTGCTCGGAGCAACGAGCTGGCTGGAGGAAGAGGCCGGCGTTTCCTCCCGCGCCTGGGAGAGGCTGGCCGGCCAGACAGACTTCAGATTGGGGCTAAAAATAAGAAGTGGGAGGGGACGAAGGGTGGGGGCAGAGAGGAGCCCAGGCCCGGCCCTGGGTGGCCCAGCCTCACCGGCCCTCGGCGTTCCCCATTGCGCTGGAGGCGCCTCCACCAGGAGCCACGGGCGGCCGGGGACTTCCTGCCTCCCCGGGAAGGCGCCCCCTGTGGCTGGGAAGGCCGGGCTGGTAGCGCCGGGTCTTGGGGATCCTTTCTACGTCCTCCCGAGCTCGGCAGGCAGGACGGGGTCTCCTGCCGCCACCCTACATGGGCATCTCCGCCGCACCCCAATCCAGCCTCTACTGCCTTTCCTTCCTTTTTCTCCTTAGCGTAAAAGTCAATTCTCGGGGGACTGTATGTGTGCACGTGTGTACTCGGGGCTGAGTCCTGGACATTCACACTGTGCTACATTCTCAGCCCTTCTTATTTTGAGAAGTCTCATTGAGTCTCAAACATGCCCAGGCTGGGCTTGAACAGGTACAGTATGGGCCACCATGGCCTGCAGAAATTCCACTGTTTTTAGAATTGCATCACCAGGCATGGTGGTGCATCCCTGTAATTCCAGCACTTGAGAGGCTAAGGCAGGAGGACTGCTTCAAGGCCAGTCTGAACTACATAGTAAGATCCTATGTCAAAAAACCAAACACAGACAGGTGCGGTGCCACACACCTGTAATCCCAGTACTCAGGAGGCTGAAGTAGGAGGATCATTTCCAGTTTGAGGCCAGCCTAGATCACACAGGCCAGCCTGCATTACAAAGCAAATAAATAAATACATAAATAGGGCTGGGGATTTAGCTCAGTGGTTTCGCTGCCTGCTGCACAAGCGCAAGGACCGGAGTTCGATCCCCAGTACCAAAAAAAAAAAAAAAAAACCATAAATAAACCAAATACAGTAAATAGTGCACATACATATGAATGATCTGTATAATGTACACTCAGCACAAAAAGCTTTATATATTTGATCCTCCCCTCTGTCTGATCCACAAATCCTCCCACTGCAGCACTGTATGCCTCTTTCTGAGCCCTTTCCCCCACACTCAGCGGGCTCCACCCAGCCCGGCCCGGCCCTGCTGGTTTCTGCTGGCATACACTTCAACGGCTGGGCCTTCCCCACCACTACGGCCTCTGAATGCCGGACACTAGGCAGCTCTCTGCCTCAGGGCTACCAGTGGGGTCTCTGGCACTTTTATAGGTGGGGAAACCGAGGCCTGGAGAAGGGCAGCTCGGCACTAAAACTCTGCTGGCTAGGTCACCTGAGGACACCCACAGCAGACAGGGACAAAACACAGTGGGCTCATGGGGCTGGGGGCAGCTTGGTCTAGTGTGCGCTCAGCACTCGTGAGGCCTGGGTTCCATCCCAGAACCAGAGGTAAGGGGAAGAGAACAGCCTGCTGCGGTAGGGCAGAGAGGGACTTTGTGAGAGCCAGAGA